ATATAGTGATGTAAGTTTGTTTATACATCTATAATATACTGAAAGAAAGTGAAATTTCCAGAACCGGAGTGTAGATATTAGACAAGTACCTATAAGGCAAGCAAGCTATAAATTATGGTTATAATAAAGGCCTTTGATATCATCTATTTTTCTCTGCTTACCCCGCAAAAGATTTCATATAAATACATTACATACTTATAGGTACACTAGAGTTTTTTCTTAAAAATATAATAAAATTTTAACTAAAAGATGTCTGTACTTGCCGTGTGGTCACGGCATAAAATAGGCCACCCCTTCCTTTCCTGTGGGTGTCGTAAGAAACGACTAAGGGAGAGCGAGAGATGGGCAACAGCGTCCCTCTTAAAACATCTCTAAAGCCCTGACTGCGGTTGCCAATTCGCCCGCCAAGCATGGCAACTGCTGGCAAAACCTGCCCAAGGGAGAGACTTATGTTCATCAATGGACAGTTAAAGGCTAATATGAGTTCTTTACATTGAAAATTATTAAAAAAGAATTATTTAAATAAGACCAATAAAGGCTAAACCAATGTCTTACGATTTTTGTCTGTCTGTCTCTCTAACTGATAATTATCAGTTCTTATCAGGAGTCAGTATCATTCCGGCATCATCCAAAAGCTACTACACCAAATTACACATGGTTTTGACAGTTGCGTTAATGAAAATCTATCAAAATGTAATGTTTTATCTTAATACGCCATCTAAAAGTGGTTTACTTCATTACTTTTTCCTACTTCTGAAACCACGAATACGAAATAGTGGACAAAAAGCCAGTATTTTATATAATTAAATCTAAGAGTAATATTTATATTTGATCGAAACCGGTTTTTAAGTTAATGTAAGAGTGCCACATTTAGATTAGAAAACCACGTTTTAGTTATTCCTTTAGTGGTACCCCGACAAAGAAAATAATAATATAAAAATAAAAACTCACTAGGTAATAAATGAAGCGTAAAGTCAACATTTATTTGATGAAACTGGCAGACATTGTTTACTTTATAGAATAAGATTGACATAGCTGATTGATTCGATGCCAAATTCGACCTCATTTTACAAACTAAATCGATTATAACAAATATGAAGTAAATAAAACGAACACAATTTTTGGAAAAAAAAATATACAAATACACTTATGATTTGTGTGAAAAAATATAAATATGATCGCTAGTCAGTACCGATGTTTTTGTAGCAATCATACAATCTCTTCAGAAAATCCTAAAAAGGGCCAATTAGATTATATTGTTATCGTGTTCTTATTTTCAATAATCTTCCTTTTCATCTATATCTTACTAATGTAATAAAGAAAAAAAATTTGATTGTTTGTTTATACCTTTGATTATATAGATAGAGCATCGAACTTCAAAAACAGGCCAACTTTTTGTCAGTCAATTGTCAAATTAGCTGACTCATTTTTTTTATTAATGTTCTATATACTTACGCACACAATATATCTTGACGTATCTATATTTAATTATTTAATAAATAGAATTAGTTTTCACGTATTAAAAAGTGTAGAATTTATAAGACAAAACAAATATAGAAGTTAATAACAATATAATTGTTGTTTTTTATTAGATTATATAGTTTTATTAGATTATAATAGAGCGAGATATTCCATGCCTAGTCCCGATATGGTTTATCCAACCCTGCGTAAAAATAAAATTCTATGAAATTCAAATACGCTTAAAACTTATACACACACAACCTTATTTCTGTTGGCAGTTCACACTGCTAAATTTCGTAAAAGTAAAATGTAGAAATATTTGAAAATTGAAATGCGACTGAATATTGCAACGTCAAATCCACTACAAAATAAAAAACAAGCGCACTGGAAGCAATTTATTGTAGACGGAAATTTCGATGATAAAGTTTATTTTTCTCGAATAAAAAAAGTATAATATAATAGAATACTACTATCGATCTACTGTTAAATTATTATATGTCAAATGCAGTAACAAAAACGCACACTTATGCACTGCGATTAATAAACAATCAACGGCATTGTTTTGAAAATTTACAATATTTATTTTCCCTTTTGAGAAACAAGGTTCCTGAATCTTAATCATATTCATCTCTTCTACGGAGCTGATGACACCTATTCCGCGAGAATGTTTAAAAACATTAGTAGACGTCACAGTTTTCTACTCCATACTAATTCATAGGTGCCTACTCCTGTCTACTCTTACATCTTTATAGCATAAATTTTCTGAGACATCAATTTAAGAAAAAAGTACTTATATTTTTATGCAACTTAGAATGGCAAACAAGCTGACGGCCCACCTTACTTACAGTAACTTTAAACATAGAAAATTATCTAATATAGTAAAATATCTAAGTAATTTGATGTTTGCTTTTAAATTATACGTAGATCTGATCTAAGTTTTGCGTATAGATACATATAGATTTATCTACAGACTGTAATAAGATAAATATTCAAGTATAACAGGAAAATACGGTGTACTAAGTATCCAGTAATTTATAAAAACCAAAAGACGCTGTAAATCTTTTAGATGTTTTATTTTATTATTTCTCTGAGAGCATTTTCTCGCTCATTTATATCTAATTGCGTTAAAGTCAAAATGTGAAATAAAACAAGAACCAAGTACCTATTTAATCAAATTGCAAACCTCTTGGGCCCTGTACCTTGCCTTCCCTAATTTTTTTATCAGTATAATTATCACAGATTTATAGACGTTGCTGGAAAGGTGAATGCCAGTGGAATCTTAATGTTTATCCATCGGTTCTGTTTTCTAACATCTTTTTTTACTTTAAGTTAGGAATCAAGTGATAATAACTACAATTTTGCTTACACCAACTCCTAAGTGTTAAATTTAGTTCGTAAGAACCTCAAAACAGAAAACACTAACAAACAAATAAACGATTTCACAAAAGGGCATAGAAAGGACGTTATTTCTACTATTTAATTATTGTTAATTTACATTTGTCATAAATGTCTCAAAGTGTTTATCTATCTATTTACAATATTATAAGTACTTTAATACTATGTAGTGTAAAGTATCTTAGAATCTGTGCAACTACAAGAATATTAACATATAATTAGCAAAACCCAATTACCTTAAACCCGATTTCTAAATGAATTCGAATCAAAGTTGTTGAAGGCCCATAACATACATGAAATCGCCTCATAATATAAAAGAAAGTCGCTATCGCTGTCTGTCCATCCCTATGTATGCTTAAATCTTTAAAACTACGCAACGGATTTTGAAGAGGTTTTTTTTTTTTTTTAATAGATAGAGTGATTCAAAAGGAAGGTTTATATGTATAATACATGCATAATAGAGAAACACTGATAATTTTAGAGATTTCTAATAGGCCGGCAGCGCTATTTAGCTAGCTAACATTGCACCCATGCGAAGCTGGGGCGGGTTGCTAGTATAAACTAAAAGGAAAATCTGTTCTTATGAAGTCGAATGGCATGCCTCTCTTCATCACAATAATAAACTTTTTTTTACAAATAATCTTACACGACCGAGTTTTACCTACATAGAAAATATCATTTTTAAAACACTAGCAAGTTCATCTGTTTGTCGCATAATTCTGTCATTAAATATATGTCGTGCTCATATATTTAATGTAAAGTATATCTATGATCTCTCACAGAGTAGCGCTATATTTTTAATAGTTGCATGCCGCGGCTTCACCCGCAAGAACCATTACATAAAATATTATATCTGCTAAGGTAGGGTATTATAACCGTGTACCAAATTTCATTCAAATCCATTCCATAGCTTTTGCATGAAACATTATCCATCAATCATTACGAATATCATTGCGTTTATTATATAAATAGGCTTGACCATGTTATCTAAACAAACTTATTTGACGATATAAAGATGTAAGTCTCCATAAGGGGACGTTCAAATAATACGTAACGCAATGTTTGAAGATTTTGACCCTCCCACCCCAGTAACGCCCGCTAAAATTTTTCTACTTAAATGTTACATAAAACCCAAGTGACCAGAGGGCAACTTTGTACAAAAGTCGTTTGCTTGGGCACCTCTGTCCCATTCGTATTTCTGCCGTGAAGCTGTTGTTTGCATGGTGGAATATGGCAATGAATTTACAGGGTAGAGAGGAATAATACCAGAGTTCTCAGGAATGTCAATGCATGAGGGGTATCATGGGCGAAACAGTATACTCTGTTATGTCCACGGTACTGCTCATGTCATGTTACTACTTTCCATCAGATGGGCCGTCAGCTTGTTTGCCATTCTAAGTCTCATAAAAAAGTGACCATTGTTACCTAAAAGTCAGAATACTAGTGAATACTGACAACGAAAATAAAATAAAAGTGACGTATAATACTGTCGAGTTTTCCCGTAAAACATAAATGAAAAGTGTTGCCAACTAAAGAGGCCTTGATTCCCTAGTTTTTATTTAAATAAAAAACAATATTACATAACGTTGTTCGAACCCCCCTCCCGCACTTGTAACGCATCGTAACGTTTTACAAGACACCCCCTTTCCCCAATTTCCGTTACGTAATACTTAAACACTGCCTAAGACCTCTCTGACCCGATCTATACAGTAGATTAGTCTTGACGCATAAGATGTGGATTGTCTTGTACTCCAACAGTAATCTGTAATCCATCAATTGGTGTCAAAATAATCACGAGTATTCATGCATAATGCTGGAATGGGAGCATGTCGATGTGTCACATGGCGTTAATTTAATACTTACTATTAGTCTAGACTGTAGTACTGACAGTAAATATATTATATATCTGCATCTTTTCTAATTTTTAATTATCATTATAGGAAATTAAACCTAGTATTCAAAGTACTAAAGGTGTACTTGAATAACTAAACCAAAGAGGGATTTAGTACTTTTTATTTTTTAAATGAAAGTTATTAATTTTAAATTCTTGAAACTTTCCAGATATAATAATAAATAATAATAATACAAAATACACTGTTAATGTATAGAGGAGTTATATAGAGACTTTAATTAAAACATCTATATACCTTTTATTCATTGATCTACTATTACTGGTATTTAATAGATTTCATAGTCCGACGATAATTATTTCGACGTCAAAAGGATTCATAAATATATAGGATAAAGTAAAAACACCTTTCATCGTTTAAATAATCACATGAATTTTCATTAAAACATTATATTTCAAATAAAAAAGGTAAGTCTATGAGTCATAAAACGTTACAAATTTTGAGTTAGATTCTAAACACGTGTAACTTAACCGGGGCTACATAATCTAAGCATAGCGAATTTGTTTTGTCACCAAAATCAAGTGATGTCTCTCCGAACAGTCAACAATTTAATAAGGCCAAATTTCATCATCTAGCACCCGTTTACGTCTCGAAAAACTCTCCTTAACTCACAACACCAGTCATCACATTTTATAGTAAATTTAATTACACTGTTGCCAACTCAAAATATCAACAATATATTATAAAATAATCTAAAATATTATCTAAAAATTAATAGTACCTACAATAAAAATATACAACTACATACGTCCAGACGTGCTATTTACAAATTTAAATTGACACATGATTGCAAAAATTGTAAATGAAAAAATAAAAAATAACAGCTATACTTAAAATAATAATTTAATCTCTAGATTATTTAATATCATCTTTGGTTAATAATGCTTTTAACCATTCTAAAGACCAGACCGTGTTCACACAAGCACTTAAATAATTGTATACTCCAAATTAGAGAAGTGACGTCATCGCTACATAAAGTGTAATTTCGTTAATTACGCTCTAAACCTAGATCTAATCAGTCCATAGATAAATATATCTATACTTCGTGGAATACGAATTCTAAGTATGCTTTTATCAATACGGATCAGTTAAATAGTCGCCGACAGCAAGGCGTTGCTCTGTACTTTATAATTATAGTATTTTGGTAGCAAAATAGTCGAATCGGTAACAACAATTATCTTACTGGTGTCAGAAAAAAATAACAATCAAATCTATCAATAAATAAATAATAACAATGCTAAATTTCTTTAGAATTATTATGGATTTTATCGAGAACTGGCAACCCCAAAGATATATGTATACATAAGTAAAGCATGACTAACGATAGTGTTACAAATATCAAAATTTGTTGATGTTTTATATGTAAATGTACATTTATAACATACAGTCAGGTGGAAAGTTACTATTTGATCTTACAAAATATATTGTACCATGCTAATTATGTTAGAACAATAACGTCACTTTTCTATGTATTTATATAAGACATCAATATTATAAAAAATGTAGACTTCTAATGGAATTTTAGAATGGTTACAGAAGCAAGATTTAACAAACATTGCATTATAACACTTCAGTTAACATTTTATAATATTAATTGACGTTTCATGACGATTTATAAAATTATTTTTAAAACAATTATTTTGCAAATTAATTACAAATTCATTTTCTAGGCTGGTAAAAAAGGTGACATATTTTATAAATAATATATATAAATATATATTATAATAAGAGCAATTCAATTTTTGTATAATAGTCAAGTTCATTTATCCCATAGATATTGATTTAAATAGTTTAACTGCGCAAATTAAATAACTATATATAATATAACTATTGTCGCAACTGTACTTCGCATTACAATTCTTAACCCTGCAACCCTTAACAAAGACTTTTTAACACTAGTTAATTATTTGAAGTTTCTAATTTTTTAGAGGAATTTTTTTAATTTCGTTTAAAGGACGGCATTACAGGTTATACTATCGAAAAGGCCGAACTCGAATTAAAAATAATTTAGTACATTATACGTAACACATTAAAAATATATAATAAATTATTTGAGAAGCTCATTTTCATGTCAGTCAAAACTATGACTATCTGTAAACACAAATCAAAAAGGAACGGTAGAAATTCAGTGTTCTTTTTAAGACAAATTTAATTTTGTATCCAATGTAAAAACTAAAAGAATAATATGTTGGTATATATTTATACAATATAATATAAGAGATTGCTAACATCTCACATGATTTTGTAAAAATAATTGTAATTTATGGCAAATATAGCTTCATCTTTTTGATTGAACAAAAGAAGTCATTGAAATTCTTAATATGTATACATCACTTATTATCATTGCACTAAAATATATTTAAAATCTCGGCAAGTATTCGTGAATATAAGAAATCGTTTAGGTTCACGTTACACTTAGCAATATAAAACAGGCATCTAACATAACATTTACAGCTTCAAACTTAGATACTACACACACAAAACTAAATAAAATGCTTTAAAGGAACCACAAAAAAGGTATTCGTATTCAGGCGATGTTTGTATGTTTCGCTTGTTATATCATTCCTACTATGTGTATGTGTCTATTTAATAAGGAAACTCTACCAGATATATAAATTAATGTACAATTATAAAAAAAATCCAGTCTCAAACTATGTTCCCTGTATTAGGATTAAACTTAAAAAGCAATATAGAAATAAATATATTGTAGCAGCAAATATAATCGTGTTAAAATTGACTTTATAGAATATTTGATATTACAGGGCAGTAGGAAAGTACTAACTTTTTGTTTTTACTTATTTTTCAAACACTGTCATAGTAACATTATTATGTAAGAAAATTATAAACCGCCAAACACGTTTTCAGGTATAAATATTATTTTAATAAAATTGCAATTAAACTATGTAAGATCGAATTACGGAATACCTATTAGACATTAGATAATCAGGTCTACAAAATAAGATAAGAGGACTGAACAAAATTTGAATCTCCAATTCCCTAGATTTTAAAAAATCGTCGATCTCTGTAAAAACTTATATAATATTTAAATTATTTATATATTACAAGGATTGCCTTAAAATAAGATCCTAAAATATAGTATTTTCTAAACACAAAGTAAAATATGGCAAGGAAAATTGATTTACTGTATAATTAAAACACGTAGATTTAAAACACAAGTCAAACATTTAAAATACATATACCCGTAAGAGGGCAGACATTAAATTAGTACATAAATTTCTTAAAATGCATTATTATACTTTGTATATTTAATAAGTATAGTTATAAAAATTAAATTGATGATAAAGAAATACACAAAATCTTGTGCTGTCACTAAATTCGTAAATATCTCGATAGCAAAAATGTACATGGCAAATAAATAAATTATTGTATAGTTAAATTCATAATTATATTTACATAGAACATCAGTACAGTTTGTGATAAGTCCAACTGACAAACGAAGGATGCCTAGAACGCGGGGAAATAATAAAGTATGTATCTACCCGCCCGGTTAGACACTGCGGTTAACATCGATCGTTTTTGTATTTTAGTCGTATAAATTATAAAACTTTTGAATTAAAAATGTAGTAAAATTATTATTTAAAAAAAAAATTTAATATCTTTTAATTAACACAACACCGACAGTCCAAGCTCAAATATCACATCCATTACCCGTGTTCATACACATCGCTATGTTCGTACACTGATTCCGACGTTTTAGCACAGCGACGAATCCTTTTATTATTAATTGCTTATTTATTAAATTCATTATACACAATCATATATTACGCAGATATAACAAAACGTCGTTTCAGTGTGCGAAACAGTTATGGCGTATGGATAAGTCACAATACGCTGCAAGATAATAAGATGTCGGATAGGCCTGATTTAAAATTATGAGCAAGTACAAATGTATGCAATTTTATAGAGGGTGGACCCGGAGCTGTATGGATAGCGCTTTATTGAAAAAAATATATAAATATTGAAATATAAATCCGACTTAACATGGTCAAACAAGGCAATTAAATAGAGACGTACAAAATTGTAAGTAGGAACCTAAAAATATTTCTTATATACATTTATATACAATAAGTGATTCAAGCATAAAGCCGTATTTCACACTGGTTTATAAGCGGAGATGCTCTTAAATATAATAATAAAACCGTTAAATTACAAACCGATATATTTGATCATAATCCTTTCACTAAGAAATTGCCCACGTTGACCAGTCGACAGCATGTCAAAAAAAATAACGACTATGTTAACTACACTTTAAAACCGAATCTAGTTAAATAACTTAAATGGCAATAACAGTTAAAATGTAAAGAAACTGCAACATTTTTAACTTTGTGGCATTAGATCTAAATATATCACCCAAAATTATCTTCATTTAGACTAATAATTGTGGTCAAAAATATATATGTATTTATATAAAATTATCCATGTCAGACTCAAACATAATTACATATTTTTTTTACATAGGCAGATTTTTTTTTTACACAGTTTAATTAATCCGAAATCTGTTTGTACTCATCGAGGAATGCATGGCAAATTTGTCTAAGATCTGTAAAGTTGGGACGTAGTTGTGGATCTAAATTCCAGCAATCCGTCATCAAATGCCTATATATCTTCGAAGGGCAGTCATTTGGTATTTGAAAGCTGAAAAGGAATATTCTTTTTAGAATAAATTTATGCGCCAAATAAAGGACATGTTTTATAAATCAATATAAAAATGTATGTTTTTTTTTTTTTAAGAATATAATATGTGTCATTATAAACCACTAAATTAAAAAGGTGATGATAAACGGTTACAGGAGATAGTGATGCTTACAATATCCTTATTGCATTACATGCGCATTGGCGAGCCTGAAGAAATTTTATCACTTTTTTTTTAACAAAATAAAAAATATTAAAATCGATTCAAATAGCTAAGACATCACATTATACACTTAATAACTGCCAAGTTTCTTGTCCGTTCCTTTTAAAGCTTAAGTTTATTTGTAAAAAAATCATTTTATTATTATTTATTTATTTAGGCAGTATTTTTTTACTCAATTTTATAAGAAATTATAAATTAAAATTTAGCACTAACCAAGAGGCGCGTTCTCTGGGTCGTTCAACATCAAATTTGGGCACTTCCTGGCGGACGCGTGTAAATATCTCCCACATGGTGACACCGTAGGACCACACATCGCTTTTAGTCGAAAACAAAAACGGATGTGTGGTGGACTCCGGCGCATACCTATTTATAATAACAAAAATATATTGTGAAATCACAGTATATTTTAAAATGTCAGTTTTTAGATATACTGTGATGTGAGAGAACAGAAAACAAGTGTATATCTTATAATACTTAGAATGGCAAACAAGCTAATGGAATGGTATCCATCGCCTACAGACATGAACAGCAGCATAGACTTTACAGAATATAAAAATAAGAACTATTATGCCCATGGTACCCTTTATTTATTTCCATTCCTGAGGATTACAATGTATCTCCATACCCTATAACTTAACTGCCGTATCTCACTCTTCGATCAAAAATACAAGTGGGACAAAGACTCATGCAGACTCGATTTTTGTATAAAGTCTAGTAATCTGTAAGTTTAGGAGCTATTTATACATTTATACCATCAACTACGAGTGCCGACGAGCGCCATCACGCTCGTGAAATCAGTCGCTGTTTAACTCGCTTTAGAAAAAATATTAAAATTAGATAATTTTTGGAGGACATACAGTTTTTTTTTTTTAGAGACATAGATAAATGGCATCAACACGACAAAGATTTCTTTGGCATCTTTAAGTAGATATGAGTAAAAATCAATGGCACTAAAACGGTTAAATAAACCTGAAATTTGGATTAATAATTAATATTCTTAAAGAGATAACAAGACAGACTTTAAAAATCGTATAGAACATACCAGTTGAAAGGTAGTAGCCTCTCTGTCTTCAGTTGATATACATCGACACCGGGTATCCTTCGCGCTAGTCCGAAATCGGATATTTTCACTCGACATATATCTACTACTAATATATTACGCGTCGCTAAATCACGATGCACTATTTTCTTACTCGAAATATATTCCATACCCTGAAATAATACATTACTTTAATACTGTGTATTTTTTTAAGTGTGCATTTTATTTATAATAATAAGTGTCACAATCACACCATCGACTAGTTCGCGGGGAAGAGATTTGTAGTAATATGGACCATTGCTAGCAATATACCCTGTTAGGTCGACCTCCATGTGGTCCCCCCTGAAAATCATCGTGGCTAATTCTAGTTGAATTCGTCAGAATGGGCTAACCGAACTGCTTTCATCCTCATCAGACATCTACAACTGGTGTCCCACCAGTGTATTACGATAGCGCAGACGGGGTTACCATACCATTATCACCCATTAAAAAACTTACCTTTTCATTCTCACTTACCATCCTTCACTGGTGCTCCGCCAGTATATACCGTTAGCGCAGGCGGAGCTACCATCCCATTATCATCTATTATAAAAAATCGACTAGTCTTGAAGCTAGACAAGAGCTAATTTAGAAAAGTTCGTTTCCTAAATTGACCAGACAAAGAACCCGGAACCCTCATTTACGCACACCAATATACCAGCCACTGTGTAACAAAGATCGTTGCACTGTATTCATATACTTGTTAATATAAACCTTAGAAGGCTATAAATCAAACAATATAAAACAAAAACAAATGTAGGATTCATTAATATAAAAAAAATTTGAATTCTTAGTTCCCCAAAATGTGGCTAACATTTTAAATTTTATCTATACAAAATATTGTACTCACCGTAGCGATGTCCGTTGCGTATTTAAGCAAATGCGAAATACTTAGTTTATCGCCCTGAAACTTGAGGTAGTTGTTGAGAGAACTCTCCTCGAGATATTCCATTACGATAAACACGGTCGGGTCTGGACTCTGATCTTCCCATGAGTAACCTAATATTTTCACTATATTTTCGTGTTTTAAACACTGTAAAGAAAAAAAATTAGTACCACGATTAGTTGATAAATGTAGGATTTGTGTCTATAATTTAAAAGTATTTACTTTCACAAGCAAAACTTTACTGATCTAGGCTCTAAGAAAAGATAAAACACATGAAAATCAATTATATTCCTGTTATTAATACACCACATAGCATATACAGTATTTGAGATAATTTACTCCTACTACACACTATAAATGGCGATATCCCTTTGAAAACAAACATTTGTTTTGCGGACTGCACCAACCTACAAAGTAGAAAAGCGTAAAGTACCGCATTATCCAATATTTATTATAATTTAATACTCACTTTCATGATTTTCAATTCATTTTCAAAGTCAGCATATGCTGACATATTTGCACTCGTCTTTTGTGGAGTGAGTTTTTTGACCGCCACAGTGGTTGGGACTCCACTGTTGTCGTGTTCACTGAACATTAATCCTTTGAATACTACTCCATAACTACCCTGTAATATATAGACGAACATATATAGAAATACTCTTTATCAGGTCTGAACACATATTTAAGAACATTTATATGAGCTAATTGTCTAAGCCATGAGCAAATTGTCAAACAAATTTGTTAATAGATGCATGATATAGAACGAGACAACAACACCAGACCTCGTCTTTTGAGTTTTGTGAGCATAACAAAAAATAACATAGTGACATAAAAAAATGTACATGTTTGCGCAACGCATTATAGTAAAAATAACATAAATTATTTGATTATAATTATTTTGTTTATTTCCGCTACCATTAGTAGTAGCAGTGACGATATTAAACAAAATAATTCTAAATAAATAAATGTAAATAATAATTCTAATAAATATCCCATGGTCCGCAAACCAGAATTCCGCAATAACACCTACTTCAGTAAAATAACACTACTCACCTTTAGTATTGCTAAGCTAAATAATACTTACACCTCCAATTTTCTCCTTGCAACTAACGAGGTAGGTTGTTCCGTGTGATTCGATTGCCTGCATCGGCAAGGGCTTATCATGATGCCAGTCATCTTCGCTGACTTTCAATTCTACCGGAAACTCCAGAGGTTCGCGAGGCACGCTCGATGCATCCTCATTCGCTATACCTACCGCTAACTGCAAATAATTTTATACATTAAAGTATTTTTCATATATTCCAACACAGAATGGCTAATATATTAGCGAATGGCTAATAGGTTAGCTTTCCTGGTGGAAAGTGGTAAATATCATAAATCATCATCATCATTAAATCGTATTAATAAGTAGGCATTATGTGTATATATTATTGTAGAACCCTATGGCGAATTTGGGATCATTATCTCTATAAATAATATATTAAAATATTTACAGCCCTATTTACTTAGAAATTTGAGATCACATCTTAAATTTTTTTAATAACAATTAATATATGAGGAATATTCTCAGAAGATGGAGTATATTTATAGAAATAATATTATCAAAAGTAATATAATAAAAAATATATAATTTAACTTACTCTGTTTCCGTTCACTTGATGCACAGTACCACCATTCATGAATATTGTGCTGCCATTGGAGATCAGAGATCGGTTGCTGGCAACGTCACTTTGCTCATTAGAATTATATCGGTCACCTAGAAAAATTATAAACATCAGGGGTTTGTCGTATACAGAAGTAGAGGATGTAAGTACCAGTGAGAGATGTATTTTTTTTATTTATCAACAATATTTGCTATCAATGTGTATTACATAAACGTCTAAATAAATACATTGCCGAATTACAGTAAAAATTTTGCTGGCAACACAAAATATTGCAGAGTTAATGGCAATATACAATATTCTTCCTTTGCCCAGTGAAAGAATTGTTCGCATTAATTAATTTTGGGATCATAAATAATATATAAAATATATAATTAACTTGATAAATTCTACAACTTCACCGTATCCTACTGCCATGGATAATTTAGTTCAATTTATATCAAAATCTAATATATGGGTGTCATAAACTACTTACTTGCTATAACGGTGTTCATGGCTATGTGATTGGTGACCTTCGGCTGCTCATATTCGTGGATATTCGCATCCTCTGCAAAAAGGTATATTAATAATTACCACATACAGCGTAAAATTATAGTTAAGGTCAAAAAAGTTGAATGTAGTCTACAACGCAATTAACTATGTAAGGATTGGGCATGGATCTTAGACCATAAGATTAGGGTATAGTCTACTATTACTCTGCTAGCCAGTTGATTCAGTATACTTCATATAGCGCAAAAGAAAAATACAAAACATTATAATAACTGAAAAAATTTGGGCATTTTATAAGGGGTTTAGCTTAAATGAGACGATTGTGTACCTCTGTAGAGCATATGGTTGAGGTCCCTCATGATTTCCTGCGGCCGTAACGGACTCGACTGCCAGCACTGCTGCACCAGCGTCCACACCTCCGCGGGACACAGCGCCGGCTGCATTAGCCGGTTGCCTCTCTTGTAACTCTGTTATACGGAAATTACATGTACAGGAAATTGATTACAAATTAATTTTTAAAACATTTTGTACACATAAATAAAAGTACACATTATATTTTAACTGTAATTTTAAGAAAAAATTAAAAATTAGATGGACGCTTATAATTTTCTTACGATTAGAATATCAACTCAATATATCTTAAAAAAAAATCGTTTTTTATTCATCTCAATTTTTTCGTGATACTGCTTATGTCTAGGGCTGTTAGCTAAATTACCATTCTAAGTTACATAAAAAAAGATCAAAGTAAATATATGAAAATAATATATACTAAATATGCAATAAATATAATCGTCAAGCACCATTATATATTTAGCCCTGCTTTAGCAATTGCGATAATAATTATCAATAAAATATTTATTCTTATTCTTTATTGTACACAAAATATAATGTTAACCACAATTCATTTTAGACGTAATGTACAAAGGCGAGCTTAGCTCTAATAAGAGATTTCTTCCAGCATACCTTTTCATGTAAATTGGATTATTATTTTAAAATTTCAGAATTCGAGATAATGTCATTAGACAAAAAAAAAATTGTACAATATATAGTTCACAGTAATATAAAACAAAAATACATATCAATACTTACGATGGCAGTCATAACTGGATTTGTTTCCAATGGAGACAGTCCATAGGAGAACACCTCCCAGATAGTGGTCGCAAATGCCCATATGTCTCCGACTACAGACCGCTTCGCCAAATTCATATCTTCAAAGAATTCAACTGGCATCCAATGTACACTGAAATGTTACCATACCGTCAAAAATTTATATATCAACTTTCCTAAACTATTGTTAACAATATAAATCAGTTATAATTCTACATAATCTATTATGAAAAATATCAACCGATCAAAGTTTATTAATTGATTAATAAATTTGCGTAGTTCGCGTACGGTAATCATAATAAATTCAAAGCATAATATCCTATTTCAATTCTCGTGTTAATTGATATTGTGCCGTATATGCAATGAATACAGAACATTTAATTATGCCACACGTACTACTAAGAATACTCTGACGACACGTGTAGCAAATCGGTCGTGTAGCTTTGTATAAGTTTCAAAACAATTTTCATGAAGGTTTTAGGAAATGAAGGTTCTGGTTTCAAGTTCAATAATATCAGAGTTTATTGCAATATTGTGAAAGATATTTTTTTATTTCTATATTTAAGTGTAATCTTTAGAACAGATTGTACAAATTCTTTTGTAAATAGAAACTTTCACAAGAAATATAGACGAATCCCCTTACTCATAAAACAAAAACCTCCTACAAATTTTATTTCAACTATTATACTGTTTTGTCACTTTTATTCAAATTGAGAATTTAGCACGAAAGAAAAAGACAAAACAGTTCAATAGTCAAATTAGGTTTGCAACGTAAAGTATATAAGGACGTATGGAGTATACTCACTCGTCAACAGTATACGGCCGCAAGCTGGGCCCGGCTAACTTGACAATTAAACGGTCAGGCGCAGCGGCGGCAAGTAGCAAACGGCGACAACGCAGCCGCCCGTGAACCACACCAGCCTCCGATAGGTCCCATAGTGCTCGTGCTACACTCGCTGACACCTTTAGCAGCTCCAACGGCTTCACCTTGCCGCCATTGCTCCTGTACATATAAAAAACACACACATTAAGTCCTGCGCAAACGAGAGAAATTTGTTCTCACACAAAACAATTACAAAATCAATAAAAAAAACTGTTAAATTTGTTCTTAACGATTAATAATCAGTATATTTAATTAATATTATCGTCATATACTCACGTCATCGTATAGCTACATATTTACAACTCATGAAGTAAGGCAACAATTATATACACGTATTTTCTCTCCTGCTTTAGAGTAAAAAAATCTCCAGGTTATTTACTATAATAAATATAAACCAATGCATTCTCTAAATATTTTTGAAGAATTATGGTGTTATGCCACAATGTTTGGTAATTTTAAATGAAATGAAATATTTATTGCTTGTATTACCTATACAAATATTTACTGCCTATTCCACCCTTCAAACCATCAGTCTCGATCCAAGCACAACTGTTTCACCGTAGATGCACGGATGGGACGAATTAAGCATTCAGACGACTTTGGTAAAAAGTTTCCCTCTTGTCAAGTTTCCAAATGTTAAATACCTGAAGTTTCTAATTTGATACCGGGGTTTGCACACTTGATTGTTTTTACAATGATACAATATCATTGTTAAATAATTTAAATATTTTCATTACCTAATATAATGTAATTCCTAAAGTATCAAAAATTATACCAATAGTTTTTTTTTTAATAAATATATAAAAATATCGTTTTGATTTTTTTTTTATTATTTGTCCCCATTAGTAAACGCAGTAAAGGGTACACTTATATATTTTTTAATTTGATTTAAAAAATCAGGCTTATAAGTGTTAATACAGTTTCTTTAAATATATAAACATAAGCAAAAATATATATTTTATATAAACTTACTTGAGATACTCGTTCAAAGGCCCGTACGGCATATACTCGAGGACAAGTGCGGTGGGAGAATTAAATGTCATGCCGTATAAACGTATTATTGAACTAGACTGGATGTTCACGTACTTGCTTGCTAAAGTCATGAAGCCCTGTGTAATTAATAATATTTCCTTTAGTTATTTCTAACATATTTTTTTTTTATTACACTTTGTACTTATACATATTTTAATAGTAACTACATGTGACTATTTACTTTATTTTACATTATTAATATTGCGTTATTTAATACACAAATAAAAAAAAAATGTACTAATACTGTGTAATTTTTGGGGTAATTCACATATCGTCATACTCGTAGAATACTAATGGATCTGACAAAGATTTATATGTAATCTTTGTCAGATCCGTCAGTATTCTACGACTATGACGATATATGCATATTTATTATTATTGTTCTTAAATAATAAATTTCATTCGTGTGCAATATGTATTATTAAAAATATTACTCTACATTATTTGACAATCAGGTAAAATATATAAATATAATTTACATATTTTACTAAACTAAATCAGAAGCGTAAACCTAGCAGTTTCCATTTTGTACTTGCAAATAATAAAACTATGTACCTTTAAATGTTCATCCTGCTGTAGAGCTTTGAAAGCAACAATAAGTTTCTTAGTCTCATCTATTTTCCAAATGGCTTTGCAGGTCATTGTCAAATTCCCAGCGCCGAACTTCTCCGAACCTATATTACATATGATTTTTGAGCAAACATATTTTTTTTATAAATGATAATGGAATAGTAACCACGCCTGCGCTATCAGTATACACTGGCGGGGCCCCAGTGAGAGATGATAGGTGAGAATGAAAAAGCAGGTCAATTAGTCCATCGTAATGACACTTGAAATTCAGCACGATGGTTTCCAGGGGGGACCACATGGAGGTTGACCTTTTTGGGCATATTGCTAACAATGAGACTGGTGGTGCACATTAATAACACCCCCCCCCCCACCCCACCCCCCGCCCTGAGCAAACATATTAGAAAGCCTGATAATCATTTTGAATCACCAGAGAATTATTTTTATATTTCCACAATGTTTTGTGGGGAATGCCTGGGGAACATAGTATATATTGTAATAAAAACATAATAAATACCTATATATAAGTGTATATCCTTATTGAGCAAACAACGCGGGCTCCTGTTGGTCTTAAGTGCTTCCGTCAATTCTGACTGATCTATATGCACGCCTTGCCTCTCAGGTTTACTACATAATAGCACTTGAGATTCATCTGTAAACAAAAAAAAATATATATATATATAGAAATAAATAAATAAATTATAAATATATAGAAAAACTAGAAATAAATTAATAAAAATATCCAATGGAATGCCTTGGCAATGACAATCAGACATTTAAGCAGTTAATATTATGACTATTATATCACAAAACTAGCGATGCGACCCGGCTTCGCACTAGACGTAGACAATTTTTGAAAATCAATGCATATAATAAAAAAAGTTTCAGCAAATCCAACTGATCGGTTATTTTATAGCATTTTATATGTGATTTTTTAGATTGATATAACTTTTTTATTTATGAACCGATTTAAATAAAACAAACACTAAATGTTAAGTGGAGCAAACCGCAACATATTAGTAAAAACCGTATTTAAATCGGTTGAGCCGTTTCTAAGATTAGCGTGCACAAACCTACAGACAAACAGACAACAATTCTAAAAATCATTGTTTTAGCTTCTATTGCGTTCATAGTCTAGCGTATATAATTGTTTTCGTATATATATTCCATGTACAGACATACACTGTGAGCCCGTCATAATACCGGTCGTACGTTTTCATCTCTGAGGACTAAAATGTTATGGCACCATACAATATGTAATTTCCCTGTCATATCTCACCCTTGAAACCTTAACAGTGATATAAGCACAGATGTTTGGCGGCAAAACCCAAAAGAGCCAGATCAACTTTTTCTCTAGTAGTTTATGCTAAGTAAAAAATCAACATTAGACAATGAGATTACATTGTATTTTTATATTGTTTCTACAAGATACGTATTATATATCAATATTAAGATTATATTAAGTCTCGAGTGACTCAAGTGTCAAATGTCTCAAATGTGTAAGAGTCTCGCCGTGTATGCCCTGGCGTAGAATAGGCCACCCCTTCCTTTCCCGTGAATGTCGTAAGGGGCGACTAAGGGAAGACGAGGGATAGGCAGCAGCGTCCCTCCTAAAACACCTCTATAAGCCTAATTGCGGTTGCCAACCCACTTGCCAAGCGTGGCAACCAATGGCAAACCTCCCCTTATGGGGAAGCACTTATGTCCTGCAGTGGACAGTTAATGGCTGAAATAATAATAAAAATTAAGTCTTGATCACTGTTTTCACCAATATACACACAGTAATAGGTACATGTTTTGCAACTGAGACCCGTTTCTTCTAGCACAAGAAATTAGGGGGTAACTCCGTTGCAATCTAGAGTCAGTAAATATATAAATATGTATACTAAATACCAAATACATACCGTATTCAGAAGGTGGTAAACATTCGTTTAAGAATATCTGTCCTTTGGAGTTTTTGTGTTGGCTAATAATACTTTCGATGCTGGGATATTCTTTATTGAGAAATATATATCCATGTCCCTTAAACTCGATTTTGTAGGTCTCTGGGGTGCTGCAACATTAATGTATAATTATAGTAATGTATAAAATACAATATTTAAAAATTCGTATAACCATTTTGCCGTGTGATCCAGGTCACCCCTTCCTTTCCCGTGAGTACCATGAGAATTTAATAGTCGCGAGTTAGGCAGTGGCGACCCCCTTAAATCATCATCAAAAGCCTAACTGTAGTTGTCAACCCGCCGGCTAAGCGTGGAAATAACTAGCAAATGCACCCTTATGGAAGAGGACTATGTTCAGCAGTGGACATTTAAAGCAGATATTTAAAAATTCAATGTTACCAATAACGTAATTATTAAAAACAGTTTGTTACTTATCTCTTGGCGCTTTAACGACTCAACCATTTTAATGAACTTTTGAGTTACGTTGTATTACACGGAGAAAGATAGAAGTTACTAGTAGTTAAGTTATTTAATTAATGTGTATAATAAATGAGAGGCTGGTTTGCTGGTTTGTTCGAATCGAAGCATTTGGCGTTCCATTGTTTCTGCCTACCCTAATGGGAGACAGGCGTGACAGATATGTATGTATGTATGTAATAAATGAGAGACTGCGTTAATGGTAATGTAAGTATTAATTTTACTGTGATATCCTAAAATCTAAACACGGTCATGCGAACAGCTGTTAGGCAGTAGAAACATATAGGTATAAATGAAAAATATATTTTTTTATACCACTGAGATGGCAAACAAACCGTATGCTTCCCACCTGACAGTAAGCGGTTATGAAGGCCTGTAGTATCAGGGGTATTACGCGCGCGTTGCCGACCCTGAAGAAACCTCTTTACCCCCTTTGAAGAACCCCATATTAGTCATAATATATTAATAAAAACACTGTATACTACAGATTTCACAGTGAATTGTTAAATTAGGCTTATCTTAACTCGTTAAATAAATAAATACAAACCTGTTTTTATTACACGCGTCCAAATAAAAGACGTTGTACTCCTCGTGACACTGTCGTAGCAAGTAACAACCGTGCTTGTTTGAACATTTCACTTGTAATTTCCGATATGAAAACGCACCACTGTAAACAAATGCGAACATTTTAGAAATAATAATAATCCATACTGTTATTATAAATGTAAATTTGTTTGTTTTTATTTTACCTCTTGACACCTTAACGGTTTGACCAATCACTGAAAGATATACATTTACTATATGGAGAAGAATGTCGGTTCCGCGAACGAAGATATGGGTAAGAGCTAGTAATTAAATAAATAAATAAAATACTAATATTCTAATAACTCATCATCATTTTGCTCTTATCACATTTATTTAGAGTCGGCGTTATATGATTTTATTCATAGTACACAAGGCCTTTGGTTTTATGACGAGCCGCCTGTCTGACGTCTACCCTCCTTGGGAATGCATTTTTAGATTAGACTAGAAATAATCTTTATTCAAATAGATTTCTTTACAAGCTCTTTTAAATCATCATTTTTTTATGATTGTACTGTTGGATTCGGGGTCTTGTTATCTGCTGAGAAGAACCGGCAAGATACTCTTTTCAAATTATTATGTACAAAATAATTTTACATTTGCATGAGTACTGTGACTATAGTTAGAATTAAATTTTATTTATTTATTTGCTATTGTATTTTCAATAATCCAATATGAATATGAATTATCTTTATTTTTCAAATGACCAGAGTTTTATGCCATACTGAAGATCATTGAAATGTAAACAGGTGTATGTTACACCTCGATAACTGAGATGATAACGGTAACCATCTACCCCTTCACTAGACGTCCACAAATATCGATACTAGATAGATTCTCAATTCAGTGTCTCTCAATTTCGTGTTTATTACTTAATATCATCGCCAATTCTAAACTAATTTTGATCTTTCTTTGTAGTGGTGGCGATCCAAAGTTAATAGTCGCTATTTTTTCAAGCAACATTTAAAAATATCATACTCATATTGTACCCACTTGTACATATAACTTAAATATTATGACAAATGTCTTGAAAGCACTGAGACTACATTTTATACATTAAAATAAATAGCTGAAAAAAATTATCCATGACATGTCCGCAGTTGAAAAACCTAATATTACAAATTCATGCATTCTTATAAAAATAAAATTAAGATTCACTAAGTAAACTGCTGAAATAAAATTTCCAATAAATAATAAAAAAAAATATTTAATTGAAAGAGAGAAAAAAATAATTACGGATATACAACTATAAAAGCAAGTAGCAAAAAATTCAGGCTCATCAGGGGAGATCATTTTTTGTATGAAACCCCAAAAACAACCGACTGGTCATCGCCACCACATGTGTGTTCATTGTTATCTTTTTTACCTACTCTGCGTAGGTACCCGTTTTTTTTTGTTCAAAGCGAGCGAAAAGCGCTCAGATAGTCCCTTTCGACTCGAACTCCCAACATGAAATTGATGTCGAAAAGGTTTTGGCTATTATTACACAGTATTACAGATGGTGTTATCAGTATGAGACCGAAGGCGGTAAGTAAAAAAAATGTTGCATGGTTTTCATACTCGATATAATATTTCCGGTTTCTATTTTTAAATGACTACCAAACGCAGGAAGTTATCTATACGATTGTGTTTTTTTTTCATATTACGCAATATGTTCGTCGATAATAAACCTAATTTCGACAATTTCTTTTATAATCGATAGCGCATGCCTACTACCGTTTTGGTCTCATAATTGTATCGCGATTGAAGTCACCATTGGAGCTGCTATTTTTTACGAACCAAAATCAGTGATATACCTACAAAACCAAAACTGTCCCAAACGCAATAATAAACTTATAGAACTTTATTCAATAATTTTGCTGTTAATAGTTTTCAGTACCTTGTCATGTCACATTAACAAAATATTTTTGTAAAAAATAACAACGGATTTATATGCCATAATTGACTGAAGAAGGAGGAGGGCGAAATTAGACCCATTGCTAGCATAATACCGTCAGGTCGACCTCCTCGCAATCTCCTGTGGAAACCATTTATTTATTCGTACTTTATTGTATACAAAAATTGCATTATTATAATTTATTTCAAATAAAGATATACAACTGATATATAACTCTGTAAGAGTTCTCTTCCACCAAACCTTGAGTGGAAAGGAACATTGATTACCAGCGGGCAGTTTGCGTTCAATAAGAAATGGAAACAGTATATTTGTTTCTACTAAGAAATAATAAACCGTCTTGGTTAATTCGTGGTGAATATGCATAATATGCCAAGAACATAATTCATCTTCACCTATCTTCGCTCATTGAAATCAATAGCATAAATTAATAGCACAAGCGGAGCTCTCATTACATGTTTATCCCTTAAAAAAAAAATTGTACATTATAGATTTATAACTCACCCAACAGGACCATGGCACTTCAGTCTGTACAATTCTTTCAACGACGGCGTTTCGTCATCTTTTGAAAGGTTGAATGTCCATTTAACCATCAACCTGTATTGCAAATACTAATATATCTAATAATACTTTAATACAAAATCAAATTAAACTATAATTAAGGCTAATAATGGGAGATATTATCTTTCTCCGGCTCTATATAAGTACTTATAAAACATTTCATAGACGGCCAATAATCACTATTTGTATTAATATTGAAATAAACATATATTGCTAGAATTATTGATTCACCTTTGGCCAACATGAACTCTAATATCTGTTTATGTACGATGTAGCAAATGTTAAGATCAACATCGTAAACATACAAAATATCGATATACAAAGAAATACGAGTATAAAAAATAAATACGCAAAAAAATAAAAGAAATCATATAATGTACCTGTAGTAACCATCACAGATGGATATGAAAGAGGAAAGTTGCTCTTCAGTCGCAAATTTGAAATATAAAGGTGTTCCTTTCCTGGAAACTTCCAAAGACAGGTCATCTTTTCTCATTAAATAAATTAAATCGTCTATGATGCATACATGAACCCACTAGAAGAGAAATTAAATATTTTAAACATCATATATTGTTATACTCTTCCAGTTTCTTTTTTTAGTAACTCATCAATCAAAGACATAATTAATTATAATATTATTAAAGATAACACTAAATATATTTATTACATACTGCAAACTGTAAATGCAACAGCAGTGTTCATATAAACCAAAACGATTGAAAGCTTTTTCCCGACTTCAAAAAAGGAGGTGGTTCTCAATTCGGTTGATTTTTTTAATTAGTAGCGTAACAATGAGATGGCGGAGCAGAGAAAATGCCACAGGCTGCCGGCCCGAGGGGTATGAACACAAGAATTTAATTACTTTAATAATTAGAGTATTAGCTCAAAAACATATATGAATTATACAAATAAACTATCAAGATGAAGAAAAGCTACGCAACTTGGCTATTCTATCCGTTTACATAATGGGAGGGTCCTATTCAATTTATTTGCCACGTGCCCCAGATAGGATAGTTACGCCTTAGTTTTCTTAGTTTGTTACCTCAGAACTTCATCATTTATAAACCGATTTGGATTTTTTTTTTATCTAAATGAATATACTTTCAGATTGATTTGATAGAAATTTTATCAAAATCGGTTAAGTATTTTACTTTTCAAAACTAAAATAACCTGTTTTGCTATAATTGATTTCGGTTTTTTTGTAACTCAAAATTTGCTTGTTATCTGAATATAAAATATAAGAAATAACTACTAATAATATCTAGGTGAAAATACATAGTTATAGATATAGATAAAGAACAACGCGTACAATTATAAGACAAATACATGAGTTAGGCAACATCAAAGGTAAGTACACAAGATTATAGATAAAAAAATTAATTATAATTTTCGATAAAACGTTGTCATGGGTACCTATAACATATGTAATGCTTCAGGTACGTAAAGCAAGCATGTCAAAGACCTTCCAATAAATTTCAGAGTATACAATGATGTATCGATGGTACTGTACATGTTTATAGGCGACGGTTACCACTTTCCATCGGTTGGGCCGTCAGTTTGTTTATCATACTAAATTGCATAAAAAAAATTAAGGTGGCCTAGAAACTCTTGACATCAAAGGACGACACCTACACACAAGTAGTAGTAGCAATACTGGTACCATAAATATGTGATGACTATTTCTATAGGTGGCAGTTATAACTTTCCATCAAGTGAGCCATCATTTTATTAACCATTTGAAGTTGTGCAGAAAAATAGGTACTACTGGTAGTACATATTTTGTTACAAAAAAAATTAGTACAACAATATAATAAACGCCGTGTGGTCTCGGCATGGAATAAGCCATCCCTTCCTTTCACTTGGGTATTATAAGACTCTTAAGAGGCGACTAAGGAAACTTAATAGTCGAGGGATGAGCAGCAACAGCTCTTAAAAGATCACTGAAGTCTAACTGCGATTGCCAACCCGCTTGCCAAACGTGGCAAATAGTAGCAAAACTGCCCTTATGGAGAAGGCCTATGTTGCAGTACACAGTTAATGGCTAATATATTATAATAAACACAAACCTCTCTTGATACCGTATTGAAGTACCGTATGCCAGGGTATTGTTTATGAAACGGCGCAACAATAACTCTCACTGGAACTACATCATCACCATTTTGCAATAATACATTATTAAACTCCTCCGCTAAATAATTAGGTGCCAATGTGTACAACTGTTCCATGTAACATGTTTTAAAATAACTGCAAAAAACATCGAAATTAATAAAATTTGGGAATAAGAAAAAACAATAAGGTAATCATGACAAACATATGGATTCAACACAAAGTCTGTTCATAATCTTTAGAATTGGTAAAGTAAATAGTTACACAAATAAAAACAAATTTTATGCGAACTATTAACATCGTTTAATACAAAAAAAAAGTCTATGCTATTACCAAAGAAATAAAAATAACATTATAATCTCTTATCACATAGGTACTAACCGTGCAGTATAACCTTGGGCGCATAGTATAGGAACGTGAGTATTTGCGCGTTTCTTAGGAAATGGCCCATGTTTCTTTACTATGATCTTTGGGATGTACTTCTTTCGATTTCTAATTACATCATTTAATGAGAGATTTTCCTCTGTCATGGCACGACACCTGCAAAAATAAGAAGCCTATAGTGTTTACGTATATTCACTACATATACACCACTGCCTAATACGCATGACCCGAGATAAAAGGTTTTTTGTATTGTAGGTGAAATGAAATAAAATGAGATTTTATTCAGTAGGTCAAAAGCCTTTATTTTTACTTATGTATTAAGTTAGGATATCTATCAGTGTACCAAATTTCATTTAAATCCATTAAACCATTTAAGTATGATAGAATTAGAAGCATCCAACACAGCTTTGCAAACTTTCACATTTATGAGTAGGATTTTTAATCAAAATAGTACGAGTTCAGCAAACTTTACAATATATTCGTATACATATATGTTGGTTGTTCATATTTCTATAACTTCAATAGAAGTACAGAATACTTTATATTAAATATTATTTACTTTAGTAAACATTCTAACGAACGGATAAACAGCGACAACATGTGAACTAATCTTCCAGAACTTCGTAATATCTCTACATAATATAAAACAGTCACTGTCACTGCTGTTTCTCGGTTTAGTTCTAAATTACGCAAAGGAGTTTAATGTCAGAATAAGCCAGAATAGGTCCCTAGTAACTTAGTTTCCATTGAAACATACTGACTTGGATAGTAGAACAGATTTTCACAGAACAGATACGCGTTATTCATAAAGTTTATTTTTACATCTCGTGACTTTTGTTACATGAGAATGCTTGAGAGATTACGAAAAATGTTAAATGTAATAATATACCTTATTTCAATATCCTAAAACACTATTTTAAACGCGATCAAAGTCTCCTCTCCAAGCCGATCAGTGTGAACGGAAATTAAGTTACGGCGACTCGCTCTTAGCTTCGCAAAAAAGAAAAGAAGAGAGGGGAGCAAATTTTGATCGCATTTAACATAGAGAAAGATCATTGAAATAAAATTTAATTTTACTTCTATCTTCTTTTATTTTATGTGGATGTTAGAGAACCAACAAATGAAATGTAAAAATAAACCTTATTTAAATTATCCAAAACTCCATTTTAAAAGCGATCTATATCTGCTTTCCTCTACCAGGCGGTCTGTGTGAACAAGTGTCTGTTGTGTATAAAGAACTAAATTATTAATTTCAAGTTTACAAACTACTCAAAGAAATACGTAACTACTATGTAATCAAAAGCGGAAATACAATGTTAAGTATGTATAACATTATTTAATATTTAATTATATTCATTATACTTAATCTGTCTACGAACGTTATATTAAGATTTTGTTTATTACATAGAAATGGAATATTTTGATTTGCATCTAAATATCATCATTTTAACTATTAACTGTTCTTGCTACATTTTAAAGTTGTGACTATCTACAGGGTTGGGTAGTATTGCATTCTGTCACATTGTTTATAGTCACCATTCAAAAACTTTTTTTTGCATTGATTGTCTGATCTTAAATGTAATTTTCACACCACATCATATCACCTTAACTAGGGATTCGTAAAGTGGATTCCGGGGATTTTTTTTTATTTGTGATAATTTGATATGGATATTCATAAAATAAAAGATATTTAGTGGATGTATTGTAGGGATGGGTAATATTTGGGTAATTACCAGAGGGAGACTTTGTACAAAAATCGTTTGCTTGGGTACCTCTGTCCCATTCGTGTTTCTACCGTGAAGCAGTTGTGTTTGCATGGCTGTTTCGATTTGATGGGTGGGATACGAGGTTTGTCCGGAAAGTACGTATAAAAGTTTTTTAAAATTTTTATTTTACAATTATTCAGGTAAATCAATTTTATCCCCTTCAAAGTACTCCCCCTGTGACATAATGCACTTGTGCCAACGCCGTTTCCACTGTGAGAAGGCTCCTTGAAAGTCCTCTGGTTGTAGGTTTCTCAGCTGCCCCGTCGTAGCTTTTTTTATCTCATTTATGTCCCCCAAATGCCGCCCCCGAAGTACCAATTTGGTTTTTGGGAACAAGAAGAAGTCACACGGGGCCAAATCCGGCGAATAGGGGGGTGTTCGGTCACCGTAATGGAATTTTTACTCAAAAACTCACGGACAACAAGAGAGGTGTGGGCAGGGGCATTGTCGTGGTGAAGAATCCAACGCCCCTCTCGCGCCAATTCTGGACGAACTCGTGCCACACGAGCTTTGAGGCGTCTGAGCACATCGACGTAGAATTTTCCATCAACTGTCTGGCCTGGAGGGACGAATTCTTGATGGACAATCCCCCGAACATCGAAAAAAACAATCAACATTGTCTCGGCCCTCTCTGAATCTTTTTAGCCACTTGTGGACGGTTGGTTCCTTCACAGCATCATCCCCATAAACTGTTCTGAGATCGGCAAAAATTTCACGGCCATTCTTGCCGAGTTTCGAGAGAAACTTGATTACGACGCGCTGCTCTTCAACGGAAGCGGGCTCCATGCCGACGGGGTTTCGTTAAGAGGTAACTTCACAGATGGCGTGACAAGCCAGTTCGCACCGCACGGCGGTCAGACCAGAACTGAAGCATTGTTAGGGACATAAGGAAGGGGTCCTGCGCTTACCTGGCCTCCCCACTCCTCTTTCTCGCATTCCAGAACACTTTTATACGAACTTTCCGGACAGACCTCGTATAGCGTGAATTTACTGGGTACAGAGGGATAAAACCTGAGTCCTCAGGAATGGCAACGCATGGGGAGTATCATGGGTGAAACAGTATACTCTGTTATGTCCATGGTACTGCTCATGTCTATAGGCGACGGTTACCACTTTCCATCAGGTGGGACGTCAGCTTGTTTGCCATTCAAAATTGTATAAAAAAAAATACTGATATGGCTCCCATATCTATATATTAGGCTCCTCTGGGTATTGATGGCGGCAAAAAGATCGTCACCCACTTCGATATCGCCCACATTGATAGGCTATATATATCAATATATTGGATAACTGATATTTAATATATCCGTTTATTAGACAATATATTGATATTGTAACTACGATATATAGATATTTTATTTATTTAAACTTTAATGCACAGTAAAATTCAATGTATATTTGGCAGACTCAACATGGGACGGTATTCTGTACCAGTCAACCATTGGGCAAACCGAGAAATATGTAGGTGGTGCATTTATGAATAGAGAAAAAAATAAAGCAATATTTGATAAATTCATATAATATAAACATAAACATAATATTTTAAATAAATAAATTTATACATAAATAAATACATAAAATATTACTATATAAAACAATTAAATAAAACACCTGCAATAGAAAAGCAAATAGTAATCTATAACTCGAACAGCATAACCAGCAGGAGAAGCTTAAAGGGAAAGTGATATTACTATGTAATTATAAGTATTATTTTAGTATTCTGTTCTTAAAAATGTGTATTGTGTGTATCTTAAAAGTTTAGAAATCCCTGGTCTATACTATAAGTTCTCGACATAAGTAATAAGACCCCTTGTAAATGTTTGAGACTTTAAGATGGGCAGTAAAAAAATCCAGAGAATATTAGAGGCCAAGAGATGAGAACATTTATCATTGAGATGGTACAAAGGGGTTGTGAGGAGATTAGAAAATATAGTCAAATAAAAGGCAGATAGTAAACAAAATTAAAATGGGGGCTCTAGAAGAAAACATATTGACAAAGTGGGCAATGGGCAAATTTAGCAAAAAATGCTCAAATGCATTGCTTCATACTAATTTAAAAAAGTAGTTACTAAGAATAATTTCCTGTTTTATGTTTCCCTCTTAATAAAATAAAAAATAGTACAATACTACATAATTGTGTACTGAACTATGTTGTTTGATTTGATATTTCAAGAAATATGTAATTTTGAGATTGCATAGGATTTAAACAGTAGATCTTAGGTCTAATCAAGTCAGCCACCCCTGCTCTAGGTGATATAGATATTAAATACCTAGTAAAACAAAACATACAAATTTTACGAAATAACATTATGTTACTAATTACATTCTAAATAATAGTCCTATTTATTAACTTACATTTCAGTGATACCCAGGCCCAGCAGCTGCTCTTTATATTCTGGATATTTGATTTCAGTAACTTTATTATCATTTATATCATTACGTGCCTGCTGAAAATAGTAATCGAAAGTCTTCTCATCCAACAATCTGAAGAGATTTGATTTGGGCACCTGAAGAGATAGTAGTAATATAATATCATATTGGAAAATATAAAATAATCTTTAAATTATGAACCCTATACTCAGCTACCAACACATCCAAATTTAATTAAATCTTACTATTTGACAATTCTCCGATACATAAGCTAATAAACAATATTGTCTGTGCTAATTAATGAAGACCAATAACTTTTCAAACCTTCTGCTTCTAAACTCTTAAAATTATACCTTCTTACCATTAAATAAACAATATTTATTTATTTGGAAATTGTTTTTATGATTTTATAGAAATTCAATAAATATCTATTAATCTTATTTAATTAGTTTTATACATTTTAACAGCATAGATCTCCAAAATATATTATGATAAAAATATGTTATCATTATGATTATTATTATGCATTCAAAATCATTATTTCCTAAATGTTTAAATAACATCAAAACCCCATTAAATGATTTCAGAATCAGAAATCAAATAAACAATGAAAAAAGAACACTTGATAAATTATTTCTGTAATTGTAGCATAGGAAATCTGAACAAATTCTGCTAGTTGTTAAACTCAATTCCAATCCAATTTATAGACTCCCTCAAAGGTTATCAATATGTTTAGGGGAACATGATAAGCCTAAAGAAAATGTTATCAATATAACATTTGTTTATTTAAAAAATAGAATACACATACAGTAAAGATAAACAAAACCATAATTTACCATAAAGCGAATTCGCAATTCATAATCTCTGCTTCCTTGGAGGACTTCACTATTAGCATTGAGGAAATAATTGGTACCCTTAACTCTCAATGCAAACAACGCACGCGTCAGTGGCGGAATATTATACTTGTTACACAAATGTATGCACAATTCCTCAGCAGTAAAATTTTCCGAACAATGTATAATATCGAGATTACTATTAGTTACCACCGAAACCATAACATTTTCAGGAAGAGATGCCATCATAAAGATGTAATACAACAAGCTCAGACCACTCAACACATTGTCGTATTGATAAGAATTTGTTTACAAAACTAGGACTAAAATACTCTTTGACAAGAGGTTTACAATATCACCGTTCACACAGACTCATTATTAATCAATTTGTTTTTACATTATAAGATCTTGAGTCATATTATTAGATAATATTACAATAAATGTTTATTTATAAACGATTAAAATTATTATAGAATTAAAAAAAATACACTTCGACTATGAACTCTGAATGACCATAGTATAGATCAGACCAGAGATCAGAGACTAGATTCGACAGATTTTAAATAAAATAAAAATGAGCATAGACTAGGAATAATCAAAAATTGCTCAATTTTTAGTAAGAAAGTAATTTAAATAGTTGTTAATATTACGTATAGAAGTTTCGAAAAAGATCTCACAGTGTGATAAAAGTACATTATTATTAAATGATTGAATCAAATACTCATATAGATTTAAAAAAAAAGAACTGTTGCTAAGCATAGACTATAAAGAAAATATACAAACTTCCTTTCTCGTTGCTTTGCTCGCAGTTTACCTATCATTTATTTTTTTTCATTATTTGTCGCCGCCATTGGTGTTAGAGCTTACTATCTTAGGTACTTGTTTTTATATTATTATTCATTAATTAGAGTATCTTATTCGTTTTCTTTAATATTTTTTACGGTAAGAATTCATATTCTTTATAAAATTTGCCTGCAATATGTCATTTAAGCACACATGTTCTTTCCTTTGCACTAAATTACCTGTGTAGCTATCTACTTTGCCGGTATTTAGTGGTTATCCTTCTATATTATTTTCTTAAAATTTCTCTTACAATTACATATTTTAAAGTAACATCATTTAATATTAATCTAAGTTTGTATTGGAAATTATGATAATAACTTGGTCCTGATTTTTCAAAATTATGTAGTTAAAAATTACAATTATGTCTACTTTTGAACAGGTACAACATACCTACTTCACATATTTTCATATTTATTTATTAATTAGAATGTAATATATGTAATGTAATTGAAAACTATATAAAACAAATGGCATTTATTAATTTTTTGTCCAAATGCTGTCAATAGCAAATAATAAAATGAGGGTAGGTACATAATATCCACATTATAAAATACACTAGGCTATAAATTTAGCTATCAACATATTCTTTCTTTGATCAAATTATTGGCTCCAAAATGAACATTATGTGACTATTTTCATCCTAAAAAAATACTTTTTCTTCAGACTGAGTTAGTTCAAGTTCAGCAAAATCTACATGCTTTTAGTTTATTTATTAATTTAATCAGTATCTTTTCTTGTCTCATTTTCAATTGTATTTTATAGAAGAAAATGCTTAGCTGAGGGAATTGGAAAATGTTTTTCTTTGTTCAAAATAACATATAATGTCCCACATGTCCTACTGCCCCACAAAGAAAAAACATTACTATATGATATAATGAAATTGGAGTTTGGGTATTTATTTCTAATAGCACCTAGTCTGTATCTATACTACTAATATAATAATAGTGTGTTAAAATTTCATGTCATTTCAGATAATATGGATGAATGGGATGATGATTCAGAGGTGGTAAGTTTAATAACTGTTTGTTTTGTTCATTTAATATCTGAGATTAATATTAACCTGTGGACAAAATACAACTATGTAACTAGTAGAATAGAAGAGAAGTAGTTTATATCAATTATATTTTTGTTTTAATGTATTTTGTTGTAACTTCATTTTTAAATTAAATTTTTTTCCGTTTATTATATATTACCTTATATAATCTCTATATTTTATATTACTCTTTGAATAATATGGCTTACGTGCATCATAATAAATAACAGATTTACCAATAAACAATATTAAAATTGCCTACTTTTAATTATTAAATTATGTATTCCATTCTTATCAAATTTGATCCCATGAATAAGAATCATTTTATACATACATATATATATATATATATATATATATATATATATAATAATAATAGCTTTTAATATTGAAATAACATAATAAACAATTCCATAAATATTCAATCAATAACTGTATTATCATCCCCTTCTTGTCTGAAGTCAAAGGTCTCCTCCAAAGTCTTCCATTCTAATTTGTTTTTGGCTATCCTCGTTCAAAGTGCACCAGGTACTGCTTTTATGTCTGTAACCCATCAAGTGAATAGTTTCCACTGTCTCCTTTTCCCTTTTTCTTTATATATATATATATATATATATATATATATATATATATATATATATATATATATATATATGATACTGTGCACTAAAGATTATTTATTTAAACTTTAGTGCACAGTAAAATTCTAATACATTTGGGTGGCTTAACACCAGACATAAGGTAGATCTGTGAGGTCATCGTGACTAACTCCACAAGAATTAATCAACATGTGGAGGTCAACCTGATAGGGTATATTGCTAGCAATGGAGATGTAAGATCCCATTACTAATAATCCCCCCCCCCCTCCTGTATAAGAAAGTTCTTAGTCTTCTATTACTATTCTATTTCATATTACATATTAGAGAAAATTATTATTAAATTCTTGCTACCTGATTAAAAGTAATCTGAAAAAGAATACTTAGGAAGAGTCCTTATACCCTTCACATTATAATTTTCACTTCTGTTATTAGGTGGCACCACTTCCGGTTGTTTTATACAATGTAAATGGTGACAATAATGTTGATGAAGGCCACAGTTTATCCAGAGGCCGTGGATTTCAGTCGTTTAATGACAATGGTAAAAAAGTCATACTTTTATTAATTTTTTTAATAGATTTTTATTATAATAATTCTTGACTACCGTAATGTTGATTTGGCAATAACAATATAGAAGCTAAAAGGACCTGTACTTATATAAATTTTTCCAAACTTTCTATAATGACCAAACAGGGCTTTGTGTCTAAAGTTCTACAGAACTTGTAATGTAACACTTCATTCCCACTTAATACAAAGGAACTTGAAACATTTGAAGTGTTAATGTTTTTTTTTTGCCAAATGTTTAAGTGTAACAGTATGTTTTTTGTTGTAGATTTCGACAAGGTCGATAGTAACGGGTTTGGTGAGAGACGCGGGCGCGGCGGCCGCGGTGTCGGTCGAGGGGGGCGTGGGGGGAGAGGAGGGCGGGGCGGCGGCGTCAGAGATCGCGGTGACTTCGAAAGTAATGGAGGTAGGTATTAATAAACAATTTTCAATAAACTGTATCCCCTTTCAATATTCAAGTAAACACTTTGAATAGAACAATAATTAATTATGTCATAATATAATATCATATTATCGATAATATAACCGAAATGATGGTAGAATATAAACCAGATCTAGTTAGTTCTCTGTAGAAATGAACTGTTCTGAAAATATATAATCGTTACTGTGTAATTTTAGTTACTCAAAGAATCTCACGGGGTTTCTTTATGAAATCTGCATTAACCCTTTATTGTGTATGATAGTATCACCTGCATAAAAAAAACTGTTAAAAAAAGGATGAATTACATACTAAAAGGATAATTACATGATAATCGGTTAAACAATTATTCAATGACAGTCTTTATTGTTATTGTGTACATAAATAACAATAACAATTTTAAGTAAGACAATTTCTATGCCCTTGAGAACTCACTTTTTAGTAGATAAAACCCTTGAAAATGTACTAAACTAATATTTGTTAATACAATTTCATGTTACTTGCCAATTAATAGTGTTTAACATTTTAACAATATCAAAGTCAATTGTCAAATTCTATTACTTTCTGTGAATGAAGATTAAATAATGAAATTAAGCATTGTCATCAGGCCTCATAACTTCTCTATTCCTTCATTTGTTAATATAAATATCCTATAAAGCGAATTATGTCACATAAATATGATTGTGAAGTTCCTTTGTGAAAAATTTTGTACATTGATCTCGAATGAATGGATGAAAACTTTATTAATCTATTCATAATGATATAATTATTTAAAATATGTAATTATAAATAAACAGCATTACAACAAGCAAGATCAAGAGGCAGCAATGAGTATATGGTGCAAATTGCAATTGCCTTATAGTAATCTTTTCCAGGCAACCTTAGAATAAAAAATATTATAAATTATACACAAATATTATAAATTCCCAGCGAATATTAAAAATATTATGTATCTTCACGGCAAGGTACTTTGCGTAATGATAGATAAATTACACATGTAACATAACCTTAGCTAAGCGACTTATGTATAACAGCACTTTTATCCAGTTGATATACATTTATTTTCACTATATTTAGTAATTTCAGTTGCCCCTTTAAGTTCTTCAAATAAATAAAAATCTGCTGTACTGTCATGTAAGTCAATAATTAAATTGTATTTCCACACCAGACAACTATGATGACAAAGACCGCGGAGATCGAGGAGAGCGCGGGCGAGGCCGAGGTCGAGGAGGCCGGGGTGGCGGCCGCGGAGGAGGAGGTGGCGGAGACGGCAACGGCTCCCCCGAGTTTGGGGAGAATGGTGAACTTAAAAAGCCCCCAGTTACATATGTCCCACCGGAACCAACCAATAATGAAGAGGAAATATTCAGCAGCACCATCAGCTCTGGCATTAATTTTGACAAATTCGATTGCATTGCTGTTAAAGTAAGCATACATTTTCTTATTGATAATATTTACAAAAAGAAGTCTAACTATTTTATAGATGGGTTATTATATAAGTAGGTAGGTTAGATATATAAGTATTTAGAATTAAAAACTATTTGTTTTTATTTTGTTGGACTTGGTATAGTGTAACCTCTAAGAACTTGCATTATGTGCATACTATATATCGAACTAATTTACGTAATAACGATATTTATTAAAATTTCATTTAAAGGTTAGCGGCGAAAACCCACCACGTGCCATAGAAAGTTTTGAAACTGCCAATTTACGCAAGTATGTTCTTGATAACATTTTAAAATCAGGTTACAAGAAACCAACACCAATTCAAAAACACGCCATACCTATTATAATGTCTGGCAGAGACCTTATGGGGTGTGCGCAGACAGGATCCGGGAAAACGGTAATTAACAGTTTTTTTTATTTGTTGTTTTTTTTTTTTTACCAATCACAATTATATATTAAAATGATTGAATATTTTCCAGGCGGCTTTTCTTCTTCCAATAATTAATACTCTTTTACAAGATTCACGAGAATTGATAGTTGGACCAAGCGGATGTGCTCAACCACAGGTTTTTATTTGCTATTAGATAATTTATTTCATGAACCACGTTATTGGTTTTACTAAATTTTTTTCAATCAGATCATTTTTCATCGGACAAGTGGTTTAAATAAATCAAGATAATCTGTTCATATCACATATTATGTTACATTCAATCATCTATCAAATACATATAGATAATAACAGACAATCAATCTCTCTTTGAATCATAGCATTAGGTATTGTATTCTGTCTGTTTACCCTGTAATGGGAGACGAACATTATTGTTTATATATAAAAATATATATATATATATATATATATTAAGATAATTGAATGTATGTTTTTATTACTCATGCATATTTTACCGACTGAATGGATTCAAATGAAACTTGTGGATTACTTTTTACACGCGAGAAAAGCTGCGAGATATAGGTAGTAGTGCATAATAGCATATATATATATATATATATATATATATATATATATATATATATATATATATAATTTAAATTAATAAGTTCCACGTCTCACAAGCTTTTTATCTATCTAGAAAAAAATACTCAATTTGTTCATATTATGAAATTCTCGTTACATTTCAGGTCATAATAGTGTCACCTACCCGTGAACTGACACTTCAAATATTTAATGAAGCCCGAAAATTTTCGTATGGCTCTGTATTGAAAATTGCTGTTGCGTATGGCGGTACGGCAGTGCGTAATCAAGGGGACACAATTTCTGTAAGTTACGATTTATCTTGATTCATACATTCCATAAATGCTTTTAAAATCGGTCCCATAAAAAAATCTATTTTATAATTAATAAATAATAAAGGCTTGTGTGAACATGTATTCTTCTACCCTCGTGGTTAAAGTATGATACCAGTACACGATACCCGCTTGTTTTCCACTATACTTTTTTTTTACTAACGTCCGCGCGGACTAGCTACATATCTAGTAATAATGGAATTGGTTCATTGCAGCGCAATCTCCTGTTAAACCAGTTGCGGTTTACAAACCAGTCATTGCATATGAAATGGACTAACACTCGAGTTATTTTTTGCTTAACTTTCTAATTAAAATTGCTAATTTTTATGTTATTTAATACAGAAAGGTTGTCACATCTTGGTCGCCACACCCGGACGTCTACATGACTTTGTGGATCGCAATCGTATATCCTTTGATAGTGTAAGGTTCATTGTACTAGATGAAGCTGACCGCATGTTGGATATGGGCTTCATGCCTAGCGTTGAGAAAATGATGGAACATCCCACCATGGTAGCTGTTGTAAGTATTATTTTGTACTATAAAATGTAATATTAAAAGCTTCATAAAAATTAATAACATTTTGTATGCCCTTTATAAAAATAAATAAATAAAGTGATTATAAATATCTTTATTCATAAATGCACTATAGCAAGTCAATAAGTCGAAAACGTCAAATAGCGGTCCTATAAAGTTATATTGGCCTACTATAAGAACATTTTAATCTCAAAATTAGTAGCGTTAAATTAAATTGAATATTTTTCTTTTTTTATGATCTAAAATATAAATCACTTCTGAATATGCTATTAATTACGAAGAATTACATTATTATATGTTGTGCACACCCATCCTAAAGAAATGTTCAATCAACATTGTATTTGCTTAAACTAGTCCGTGTCCATTAATATTTTGATGTATGCATATATTAGTTTTTTTATTAAAATAAGAATTATTATATTTTTATAATTGTTATTGCAAAAATATAATACAGTTGTATATTTATTAAGATTTTTAATAAAATCTCATAATATTTTTGACAGCTGACTGTCTATGGTTTGTAGAACTCAACAAGTTTACAATAAAATCCTCCACTAAACTTATTGTAGATATTGAGGACTTATAGAGTTTTTATTAGAGTGTTTAGGACATTTTAGCTAAAAAAACTATAAACCTGCAATAATGTTTTTTTATGAATAAGATATGTAAGCCGGTTTAGAATACTTCAATCATGAAATTTTATAAAAATTGTACAAGTTGCTAAGGCTAAAAATTATCGTTTTCGCTAGGATTCACGTCAGACGCTGATGTTCTCGGCAACATTCCCTGAAGATATCCAACACTTGGCTGGCAGATTTCTCAACAACTACCTCTTTGTCGCTGTGGGCATAGTCGGTGGCGCCAGCACCGACGTTGATCAGATTTTCCATCAAGTCTCCAAATATGAGAAACAAAATACATTGAAGAAGCTCATTGAAGAGAATGGTAAGCTTATTTGTATTTTCTTACGTATTTGGCTGTATTTCATCAAAAAAGTTATCAATCCTAGATTAGTAGCTCTGGGAAATATGTGATTATATGTTTGTGGTGCTACTTTTAATTATTTATTCCGTTATTTTTGTGACTACTCGCCATTTTTCGTCATACATCACACTAGTGTACATATATAATATTTGTTATGCCTGTTTCCTGTTAGAGTATGCAGAAACAATGGAACACTAAATGTTAGTATAATAAAAATAGTTATTGCATAAATCAGCTTACAATTTTATATAGTCCTAATTCCTGAAATAACATTATCAGTTCCTTTCCGTATACATAAAACTAATAACCTTATATATCCATAAAGAATGACGAAGTCTTAATATCATTTCAGTACCCAATTTACCTTATTTGAAAAATTGTTTTAATTATATGTTTATCATTATGTATAGAGCTTTAAATCTATTTTACTTATATTTAATAAATACATTGGATAATTTCATAGATCGCAAGCGCATCCTGGTGTTTGTGGAGACAAAACGTAATGCAGACTTCATTGCTGCGATGCTCTCTGAGCAGCAGATGCTGACTTCATCAATTCACGGCGACCGCATGCAACGCGAACGCGAAGAAGCGTTACATAACTTCAAAAGCGGTCGCCATTTTATACTAGTAGCCACGGCTGTAGCTGCACGTGGTTTAGGTACGTTTTCATATCAGATCACATTTGGAAATTGTAACAAAATTTTAGACTATATACTTATAAAGGTCAGAGTAAGATCAATTTACAAAGTAAAATTCTATTACGCTCTGGTGGCCACGTAACATTTTTCCAATAGTTATTTTACTAATAGAGTATTGTAATCTAATTTTTTATACTTAGGATATTTAATAAACTATCCAAATACTACTTGATAAGCAGCAATATAACAACATAGCGTTAGAAAATTGTTAATGGAGACTAGCGGTCCCATTTTTTGGCAATATAACTCTCGGATTGAACTCCATGCGATCTGTCCTGAAAATTATGTTTCAATAGTGCCAAATTAGTTTTTCTCTTTTTATTAGCTCTTAAGCATATTGTAAAAATGTTAACTCGCTACAAAGGTGGTAAATAAGCATATGACCCATCTACTGGTAAGCGATTACCATAGCTTATTGATGATTGCCGTACCAAAACCATTGCGCATATTGTCACCCTCTATTTAACAACCCCAATACTTAAAACAGTATTAATGTATTCCATTTTTGTTTTAGATATAAAAAATGTTGACATCGTGGTAAACTACGATCTTCCAAAAAGCATAGATGAGTATGTGCACAGGATCGGTAGGACCGGTCGTGTTGGAAATAGGGGGAAAGCTGTGTCATTCTATGATAGTGAACAAGTAAGTATTCATAGCCGATACAACTTCCAATTTAACTAACTTATTTACAATTATAATAGCTAGTTATTTCTCAGCGACATTGACTGGGTAATATTTTGATTAAAGGTAATAAACTCGACTATAACCCAGGTCAGTATCGACTTTCGTTGAGATGAAAGTGTCCTGTGTTTATCCAGAATTATGACCCAGTATTTAATAATATTCCATCATAATCCACATATGTTCAACTGTGTGATTGAATAACAAACATGTTTACAATGTTTTTACGTTAATAATACTAGCTGCTTCCTGCGGTTTTGCCGGCGTCATTTATTGTAAACTATTTTATATATAAATGTAAGTTATAGTCTGTATGCCTTCATAGTAACGAAAAGGGGATCAAATTTATCTCCTTCAAATTCAAGGATATATAAATCAGTAACTTTTACAGATATACAAACAATACCAGAGGAAGACTGTTCGAAATTTGGATGCTTGAACTTCTTTTCCATTCGTGTTTCAACCATGAGACAATTATGTTTGCATGGTTATGTTTACGCTTTAAAGGTGGGAAATGGCAGTGTAATAATATACAGGGTATGGAACCATAACACCTTAGTCCTCAAGATTGGAAACGCATGGGGTGTATCATGGGTGAAACAGTATACCTTGTTGTGTCCATGGTACTGTTCATGTCTATAGGCGACGATTACAACTAAATCAGGTGAGCCTTCAGCTTGTTTGCCATTCTAAGTTGCATAAAAAAAAAAGAAAAAATCTAACTTAGTTAGATTAAGTCTTAAGAAAGGTAAAATATACATTGCAATATTTAATGTGAGAATGATCCAGAAAGATTTGTAGAACTAGAACAAGCATTAGAAGATATAAAATGATATATAATAGGATTATGCGAGTTAAGAAGAACGGAGAAATAGAAGTACATTGAGATGACATTTTATGGATGCCAAACATAACCATTAACTGAAAGGAATCTTAGGAATTTAACCACCATATTCCTATATAAACCTAATTCAGCTATTGAACTATTTTGTCTGTTAAAAAGTATATCAGAACGGCGTAGAAGAAATATCTTTATGCCCAAGACACTTCTTTTTATTTTTCCTTTAACGCCCACTAATTTAAACCTGTTGAGTTAAATTAGTGGACGTTAAAGGAAAAAAATCAAGAACGTCCCCTACAAGTACACAATAAAAAAGAAATTAAAATGGAGATGAGCAGGACACATTATACGAGAAAAAGCACAAAAGTAGACAGCGACTGTAACAGGTTTCCTAGAATAGGGAAAAGGAGACAGTGGAAACTATTCACTTGATGGGTTACAGACATAAAAGCAGTACCTGGTGCACTTTGAACGAGGATAGCCAAAAACAAATTAGAATGGAAGACTTTGGAGGAGACCTTTGACTTCAGACAAGAAGGGGATGATAATACAGTTATTGATTGAATATTTATGGAATTGTTTATTATGTTATTTCAATATTAAAAGCTATTATATATATATATATATATATATATATATATATATATATATATATATATATATATATATATATATATATGATGATATATAAACATATCTGTATTCTAATTTGTAATTGTGTACAGGACAGCGCACTCGCAGCTGACTTGGCCAAAATATTGCGTCAGGCAGATCAGCAAGTGCCCGACTTCCTACAAGATGGCGGCACCTCAACGTATAAGAGCGACAAATACGGAGGCAGTGATATTCGAGTGAGTACGCTTATAATTTTAATTAAGTTTATACATATGTCTACATAACATATATATATGTTATGTAGACATATGTCATATTGTATACCTTAGTATCCAATATTAAAACAATCTGCACTTTGTTGTGTTATATTGATTTGCTTTATGCTCTTCGCAATTGAAGATATTGTGAATGTAGGTGAAGAGTAATAAAATAAATCAATTGTCTATGGATTTAAGAAATTTTCCTATTGTCCTAAAATATTGCATTCATACTCTTCATAGACTGTAATTTTAGTATATTCTAATTACAGCAGTTATTGATTTCATTTTATTCTCGTATTTTAAAAATAATTTTGTTTATCTACATGCAATCATAAGAGTATGGAATTAAATGAGGTATTACGATATATATACTTATAGTATTAGAAATTAACGTAATTATTTATAATTTTAATTTATTGTTTTCAAATTATTAGTACACTATACCAAACATAAGTTCATAAACACAAGTGTAAGTGATTGAAAGAGAATAAAAAAATAAAATATATGCTGCTATATTTGAATAAGGCAATTAAAACTAATATCGTTATACTTGTAAAAACACTTCTACAAAATTATTATTTTTAAATATTACTTGATAGGTTAACCCTTTGCACTCCAGCCTGGTAACTCATAGAGGATACCAATTACTCCATCACTATATTAGTTACAAGTACATACCTGTGATGTAAAAGAAAAATGGAGTCGTTGCAATAAAACAAAATATTTATTTCTTAACTATTTTACTAAGGGCACCGAGTCAGTAAAACAATCGTGTCATAGTAGCCGCGACAGCGGATTTAATATATCATTTTAATCTCGCAAATACGGCGACAACGGCCTCAACACAACAATTAATATTATTGTTTTATTTCAGAACTTCAATAATGCAACTACACCTGTTAATCAAGGTCAAGAACCAGAAGAAGATTGGTAAATTTATATAGACCATTTGGCAACTGGTTTGATTGAACAATCGCCAGTGATTAATTATAGTTTCAAGATGCAACCAGTGGTGTGGTATATCCATGTTAATACATCAATGGTGCTTATGCTGCCGTTTCATGAATTGATACATGAACAATTTTGGATGTTTGTACCATATAATGGTATGGCATTCTATAAAATGACATTATCTTTCTAATAATCATATACACCTACAAAACAAGACTGTGACTTAACGTATAATTGCTGAGTATTCTAGATTTAGACATTAATTTTAAGACCCGGGTATCCCAAAATGACATCTTTTTTGCATAAGTCCCTTTGATTTTATACATACATCATTGTTGTACTTATATTAGTAGTGTTACTTTCTTTATAACTGTTATTTGTTTTAAGAGTTTGATGATTAGAATAATTTTGCTTAAGGTTTTTTTTTGTCTTTGTTTTTTTTTTTTTTGTTTTTGGATCTATTCTTCGTGATTAAGTATTACCATATGAAACATAATACAAAACTGTGATTTTTAATGTGAAAGTTGCTCATTTGAAATTTTAGAATAGTTACAAATACATATAAGTATATCTATTTTTTAAGAACTTTGCACGATATTTTTGATTCGTATCGAACATATTAACATATAATTATCTAAATGATGAGCAAAGTAAGTGAGTATAGGGTAGTAGTACCCTAAATATGGACTTTGAACACAGCCTCTGGAAATAGTATACAAAGATCACTTTTAAAGGTGAAATTTGTGTATAAAACTTTATATATTCTATATTCTTATAAAGCTGGACCGAAACAACTAGTATCCGCAGTACATAATAAATTATATTTATAATTAATACAATCATATTATAAAAACAGGGTCAAAATGGTAGGTGGTCTAACTTGTTTATTCAAATACATAATATAAATGTTACTAATATTGAAAGAGCGCCATTAATAAACCGATAAAATGATCTAGATACGATATAGCCATAAGACTGATTTTTTTAATTTGACATCTTCGTTTCTTAGATCTCAAAACTTCCTTTTTTAATTACTAATAAGTACCAATATTATCGGCCAGTGGTCGTGTTTAATAATAGATTGTAACAATGTATATATTTATATAAGCCTACCTATTTTATGCTATCTACTAATTTCAACATCTATCTATTATTATGTTATCTTTTACTAGCCTAGCTTAAAAATGCCCACAGTAGTAATTTATTTTACGAATTATTCCCAGAGACCTTGTACAAAGTCAACATTCTCGGGGTAGTGCTAATTCTGCAGTTCCTTCGCTCGTATGTACTAAATAGGAAAAAACGTCCTATTATGAAAGTAGTAGTATAAAAACCATTTCATTTGAATCTCATTATAAGATTCACCCACATCATTAGAAAACATTTAGCATTGTGAATCGTATGAGATTAAAAATTACTTTACTGTTACGGCTTCATATAGACTTGCAGATGCAAAACGGAGCAATTATTCATACATTGTAATCTGTGATTATAATTCTAAGTACTTTGCAAATATATTTTTGCATTGTTTTGCCATAAGTTTAGTTCAAATAAACTTAATTTCAAAGTGAAAACTTTAAACAATGCTATATGCTACGAATTTAAGATTATATAACAACTGAAAGAAATCATTTGATATCTATTATTTAGAAGACAGATGTGCTACATTGTTGTGATCTTTGACTTTGTTTCAAACCCCGCTACTCAAGAACAATTTGTTTTGTTATATTCTACTCATTTGTAAAAGGTTAAATTTCATAATAAAAAAAAAAAATAAAAACATGTCTTTTACTGTTTTAATTGTTTGATAAAACCTATAAATTGAAAACAGTACCTAACATAACAAAACTGAATTTTGTATTTGGTAAATTTATCAAATGAAAATCAGAAGTTTCCAATTATAATTGGAAAAAGGACCGTTAGTGTCTTTTTAGGGCGATAAATAATTATAATTATTTATCGCCCTAAAAAAACACTAACGGTCCTTTTTTCTACTAATTTTAATATTTAAAAATCATTTAACTATATTAAAATTAATAAATTAAGTAAAATAGGAAATACATTATACAAAAACGAATCAATTTATGATTGGACGACTTTTGAATTTGCCACTATTCAGGGATGAGAATACGAAATGGCTTTTTTTTCTGTCAATTCTGCCTCGTTTAGAGGCTCAACTGACCCAATTTCCCTCTATATTTATCATTCCTCTATGGAATCCCTCTAACGAATGGATGCCGGTAGCAAAAGCAGGGTAGGGGGGAGGGATTGTTAGTAGACTTACACTCGCATTGCTAGCAACATACCCTGTCAGGTCGACCTTTACGTGGTCCCCCTGAAAACCGTCGAGTTGAATTCCAAGTGTATTCATCACGAGGGACTAATGAAAACGCAGGTCAATTGTTTTCATTTTCACCTATCATCATTTAGTGGTACCCCGCCAGCGTGTACTGTTAGCGAAGGCGGAGATTAAAAAAAAACACGAGCAGGGTTGACATTCCATTAATATCTACTAAAAAAAACCGGTCAAGTACGAGTTGAACTCGCACGAGGGTTCCGTACAAATTCATCCAGTTTTTTTTCTTTTTATAAGGATTTTATTTTCCTTTAGAAGTAAACTCTAAAAATCGCCAGTCGCACAATACCGTTTCGATTTTTATTACATATAGCTAGTTAACTTGCGATACTTATGCATGTAACGATAAATTTGCAAATGTAAACTCACTTGTAACTTATTTCCAAAATATTGTCTTGTAAAACATGAAATCGTCAACACAAAGGCCAGATAAATTATAATTAAAACGAGAAATAGAAGGAAAAAAAGGATGTGATGGAGAGAATGGGGAGGTCAGTCTTTATTGCTAGCAATATACCCATCCTGCAAGGTCGATTCCACGTGATGTAGCCTGAAAACCATCGTGGATAGTTCCCAGAAATTTTATGATGATAGACCAATTGACTTGACTTCATCCTCGTCTATCATCATTCACTAGTACCCCAAAAGCACAGATGAGGGTATTAACGGGGCCATTTTATTGTCACCATTTAAAAAAAAAAACAATATATAAATCATTCGAAACAAAAACTGCATATAATTTAATATTTTTATTTATGTATCACATTTTAATAAAATCACAGTATATCAACTATATATTTTAAACCTCAACCTACAGAAGTAGGATAAGCAAGCGGAATTTTTAGAGACGGCTCTGGGGTCACCAAATTTCGAACACCCATGGAGAATAAGTGTGGATTAAAAAAATACTATTTATATACTGAAAATCTTGCCTCTTGCCTTCAAAATTGGTTACATGAATCACAAAAGTATATAATGGCCATAACAATGAATGTACTGTCTGGATAATGTCTAGCGCTGGTTGTGTCGTATACGATTCGAGGTCGACCCGCCACCGCGCAGTTTCATTTTGGGCCGATGGTTTATTGCTGTTAACGGTTAATTATTGTATAACGGCTCCATTGCTAGTCGATATTAATGGGTACTCCGTGAAAACCATTGTGAGCAATTCCTAGTGGATACGTCGATGTGTTTTATCCTATTTCTCATTGATACTCCGAACCATAAATGTAAGTTGAGAATAGTAGGACTAGATTACTATTTCATTTCTATACATAAAAATATTGTTAATAGCACACAAATCAAATTCCGTCTTCCTACTTCTGTAGTTCTGTATCTACATTTGCCTCACTTGTATAATTAAAGCTAAGTCTATTAAAAACCCATATAATTATATCTAATATTGCAATACAATAATATTAAAGCCGTAAGTCACATTTATTATACATATATAGGCACCGATTCAATATCTAACATATAACATACCGAAAATATTTCAAAAATTTTCCAATTTTAACAATTGTTCGCTATGTCAGTTCTGAATTAATATCTAGTAAACGAGTAAACATCCAGAAAAAGATTCGTTCAGATATGATTTTTTGTAGATAAATAGTAACACATAAAAAATACACGGAGTGCAAATACATACAAATACAGACTTACATATCTATTATTATTCCGGTCTTTTAGTTAATATTAAATCGTTCAAAATTTTATTTATTTAAACATTAATACACAGTGTATTATTTATTTAAATAAAAAATATATTCATGACTATAATCTATATACTATCAGTCGGTAAGGCCTTTCAACCACAATACACTCAGCTTGGATAGAAGAGATGTGGGTTGGAATCCCATCGGATCGAGTTGTTGGAAGGTATTATTTTAATCTTACTTATTGAGAAATCCTAAAGGCTGGGTTATGTATGTATAATTTATAAAAGATAAAAAAAAAATTGCTGAGATCATTAAAAAAATTACGTACAAAACTTCATTTATTAATAAAGCCTACTGACTGTAGCCTTATCCATTTCTCTTGTAAAGTGCAAAGCAGATGGGGATACCGTATTAAAATATCATGAATAACAAAAAGTAACATGAATTATATAACTTTATATAATAACTTTTATTATAAAGTATAATTAATTTGATTTAAATACACAAACATTTCAGCTATTTTTGTTTAAAAAACTATGAAGATAGAAAGAAACAAAGTTTCCATCCTTTCTTTTCGGAACACAAAAAGTTCTGTATTTTCAACGTTCAATATTTTCGAACATATTGAGCTTTATCTTTCACTTACATAACATTATATACAATGATACACTAATCCTAAAATATATACAAAACCGTGACTTAGAAATTGTAAATCATAACAAAATCGTGATATGTGAAAATTATGTTAAATACACTATGGGGACTTTTATTATATTCCGATAGTATATTCAAAATGTGTCTAAAACGCGAAAGTTTAAAATTAACTATGTGAAGGTTATATTAAACAAACTAGGTTTAATGTACTAAAATAGGTTTCACAAAATTCATATAAAGTAACGTGAAATTGCTACAAGTATATTGCTTTTTAACTTTTTAATAAAACATAGTCCATAGAAAAAATTGTACTATAACAATTTCATTATAGTGAATAAATTTGATAGAAAAAATTGATCGAACGCGACTTCTCTACAAAAATTAATTAGAATTCTCTGTATAAAAATAATTTACTGGTTATAAATCAGCTTAAAAACCTGGCCGATTTTCATTAAATTGCTTGTAAAAAATTATATCCGCTAAAATGTATCTATAAATATATATAAAAAAAATTAGTCAACTTTATATTTTTAAGCCATTAATAACATTCTTAAATATTATGGTATGAAGATGGCATGAACAGAACGTTCATGCCGTAAGTACCTATAATATGAAACGAAGTCTATTACGCAACTACTCAGCCTCATTGTCATCGTTAGAATTGACTGATATTGTCTGATAAGGGGTAGTATGTGTTTTCCATCTAAAGAATGCAACAAACCTGTAACAAATAAAAAGTACTATAGAAACAAATGTAAAAGACGTGCAAATAAACACAAATATAATAAAAAATTCAATCAATTACATGGCATACAAAACAAAATACATTTTTCTTTTATAACATTCGATGCGAGCAGAATTTCACTTGTATCTTTGGAAAATTCTGAAAAGTTTAACATGTTATTTAACAGACTTCTACTGTCTTATGTAAGCTGCTTCATATTAACTTCTGGCAACCCGTACTTTTTACGTTATATCATCACTACATAGTATAAAACAAAGTCGCTTCGGATATGTCTGTCCTTATGTATGCTTAGATCTTTAAAACTACGCGACGGATTTTGATGCGGTTTTTTTTTTTTAATAGATAAAATGATTCAAGAAGAAGGTTTATATTTATAATACAATATATGCATAATATAGTAGAGAAACACTGATCATTTTAGAGATGTCTAATGTCATGTAATGTGCACCCGTGCAAAGTCAGGGCGGGTCGCTAGTAATCTATAATTACGAACCGATTTTATTTTTGTACTCGATAGGTGCATATCTCGTTTTAGTCCATATTAAATTATATCAGGAAAATGTGGCTGTTTCTGTGAAACAAACTGATAAACTATCTGGCGTATTACGTTGTTGTGTTCCCCTCGTATTATGATTCTGAGTACTCACTATTGATACTTACAGTAACATAACGATGCAAGACACATTAATGGCACTTGTCAGCAAACAAACAGCACCAGGGAACGTGGTCAGCGTCACATTGTATAAAGTATTGAATATCACAGGAGCTATTAAAGGGTATATGCCCTCAATGGCGCACATAAGGGCGAACACCTTTGCTATGTCTTCCACAGGCAGTATCTTCGTTAGGTAGGACCTTATTAGGGGAGATGACAAACTGCCGAAAACAGTCACTCCTGCACCTGTAATAAAAAATAATAATAATAAACACAACAATCTCCATAACAGATGTCGGCACGTCGCTTTGTGTAAATGATGACGCGAGTTTGATTCCCAATTGGACCAATTTAGTAAACACTAGCGACCCGTCCTGGCTTTGCACGGGAGGACATTTTTACATTTTAAAAAGTGGCCATTAAGGCTGCACACGCGATGGAAGCTTAAAAATGGAGTAACTTCTCCCGTTTTCCCAACATTTCCCCTCACTGTTCTGCTCCTATTGATCGTAGCGTGATGAAAAGTACTATAATAGTACTATAACCATAAGAATATTCTTCTTATAACTATAAGAATAAGTACTATAACCTGACCAGGAATATGAAGAATAATTGTACCAAATTTCGTTAAAATCCGTCGAGTAGTTTTTGTTTCTATAACGAACAGACAGATAAAAATTTTACTTATTGTATTTTTGGCATCAGTATCGATCACTAATCACCCCCTGATAGTTATTTTAGAAATATATTTCATGTATAGAATTGACCTCTCTACAGGTTTATTATAAGTATAGATTAATTTTTAATTGGGCCTGCTCTATTCTGGATTGTTCCCCCAGTTGTTACTTGGTTCCTTATAATCCATGATAAAAATAGAAAAAATATATTGTTGAATAATAACAATTATAAGTCAAACATTATAGTCATTGCAAGCCAGCTATAAACCGCACCCATGAATATGGACTCCTATCAAATCAAAACTTGTCGGGTAAACCCCATGTTAATACCTACATGAGTAAATCAAATATAAATAATTACAAAATTATCGTTGTATTCGAAAAACATTGGTTCTTTTATTTGATTTACAAGTAGTTAGCCACTAGATAAAATGAGAAATGAGACAAAAAGCAATATCGCTTTAGTAAGATAACAACCACGTACTCAGTCACCCCAAGTACCTCAAATTATATTAATATAAATTTATCATTACTAATATCCTTATCTGATGCTGACTATACTTTACTGATGGTTTACTAGGTGTTATTTTGCGGAAATACATATCTTTGGTTGATTAAAATTATTTTGTTTAATTCCGCTTCTCTTATCTTTTGGAGGAAACAATAAAGAGTATCTATCTATTTTGTCTCTTCAAGTCAGTGACTGTCTATATATAAGTAGATATATGCAAACATAGTTCTATTTCTTAGCGGCAAAAACACAAGCGGTGCACATGCTGAGGACTATTGTGCAAAGCCTCCAATTGATTTCGAGCTCATTATACTGACCTTTTTCTGTACGTAAACCTATTATGGTTTTTCTGGTCTCCCGTTTTTATTCCATAAGTAAAATTTTCCTAAAATGTATTTATTACATAAATTTGTTTCAAGTAAAATATTAATTACTAACTATATCCCGCGGTTTTTCCCATGTGAATCAATACATATATGTTGTGGTAAGTTAAGATTCCCGTTTTTAAACCAATTTTATACCAAATTTAATTTAGGTACATAATCTTAAAAAATAGAGAGGGTGGTAAAGAGATTTCATTCAAAACCGTTCAGTAGTTTTTGCATGAAAGAGTAACAAACATCCATCCATCCATCCATCATTACAAACTTTCACATTTATTACATTAGTAGGATACTTACTAAGATACATGTGCCACGATAATACAGCAAAGGCTTTAACTATGTATTCACCAGCTGACGACAAAAAAGATATTATTGAGAATGCCAAATCGTTGACCCGTAAGTATTTCTGTATAACTGTAACACCAACGAAAGAACCCAGGAATGAGATCAAAACGCTTGCAGCTGAAAACTGGGTGAAGTCTTCTAATGCCCAGTGGAGTTTCTCTCTGGTGTACATATATTCTATTCCTGACATTCCGTACATAATGAACACATTAAGACTATTCGCGAATGTCAATAGTAAGAGCTGGGTCCTTAAGTTATTTGGACGCCGTTTGAAGCATTCTGTTATCATTTCTTTAATTAATAAATAATCAAATACTGATGATAGCGTACCCTGGAAATAAAAAATAGAATTTAGTACAATGAAATCCACCTGCCATGTATCGATGGCAGAATTTCATAATTATTTCTAAGTAAGTATTATATGTGTGTGTATGTGTGTGTTCGTTGTGTGGAGCATTATTGAAAACGTGTTAAATTAATATGATTGTTATACTTATGATAACCGTTTATAATAGTGCATAGAGATAATTGAAATAGGGTACTAAGGGAGTAGTTACATACATCAAATATAAGTACAAACAATTACTGTCATATGAAATATAATTCTTAAAACATATTTCTTCATTTATCCGGGATGTTTATGTAAAATTTAAATAAATTTTATAACAACAATTTATGTTATAATAGAAAGTATAGTAATTCAATTCACTATCAGTATTAGTTATAAAAGAATTTAATGTTATTGTCTAACGTCATTTATGTAAACAGTAAAAGACATTCATTTTATATTAATGCCTACTTAAACATATAGATACGTAAGTAACAATAGATAGATACAACAATACAAATAACTACAATATATAGATAGTACCTGTGTATTAATTATCAATATTACATGATACAGATCACATTATCAATACTTTGTGATTTATCAACAAATATTTATTTAATTCATATATTTTTACTGTATTAGTGTAATGCATAGTCTTTTATGCATAGCGAATTGAGATATCTGGCTGCTCACTAGCTATAAAGTTTTCGTCAACTAGTGCGTTAGAGTTTAAATAAATCGTGAAAGTGGATGAAGAAAAATATCTACATAAGGGCAGAGGCATTTTTTAGTTTTTATCTACGATTTCGTCCACGTGACCTGAAATAAAAAGTATTTCTTCTTCGTCTCAAATATTTATACTCAATTTATTAAACAAAAAATTTTTTTCGTTTCTGTAAAATAACTAAAATTTGGGCACATTTAAAAAAAGAATACAATATGTTGCCAGTCAACAGAAATAACATAAACCATCCGTGGAAAATCACGAAAGTATAATTTCAGTCTCATTATTATGAATTTATTATACCTATACCAAATTATGTAGACGAAACACAAAAGAGGAGGTTATCACGTTGAGTCATAAACACACAATATTATGGACGCCCAGGATGCCACAATCTTTGTTGACGTACATATATATACGCGTATATAAAAATAATACTTAACAATGTCCATTCGATTATGTTATTCGAAATAATATGTATCAGGATATATAGATATTGGCAATGCCTATCAAGACCTAATTTTTCACAAGTTAACAAGAAATAATGAGATAAGTAAACATTGCCTTATTAAAACACGTAATTACTATAATAGTTTAGCATGAAATACAGCGAGATTGTAATGGTCTTGACATAAATTTAAACGAGACGATTACCACGAAACGAATACGAAATATAAACGAACCTATTAGATACTTTTCCATAGTGTTTAAAATTGGTTTGTTTACCATAATGTGATCGCAACATAGCAATAATGACATACACAATCGAAAAAAATCACTATGCACTGACAATTAGGTATCATTATAAGATACCAGAGGGAGACTTTGTACAAAAGTCGATTGCTTGGGTACCTCTGTCCCATTCGTGTTTCAACCGTGAAGCAGTTGTGTTTGCATGGCTGTGTTTCGGTTTGAAGGGTGGGATATGGCGTGAATTTACTGGGTACAGAGGAATAACACCTGAGTCCTCAGGAATGGCAACGCATGGGGGGTATCATGGGCGAAACAGTATACTCTGTTATGTCCATGGTACTGCTCGTGTCTATGGGCGGCGGTTACCACTTTCCATCAGGTGGGCCGTCAGCTTGTTTGCCATTCTAAGTTCTATAAAAAAAAAAAAAAAAAAAAAAAAAAAAAAAAAAAAAAATATAAACCCCGTTAGCCACAATGACTTAATACTATACATACTTCTCAAAGGTCTCATCTCTACAGCATTTTATCTTAATTTCTTGTTTCTTCTGCCATACCCACGATTCGCTTCCATACATAAGTGTTAACGTCAGTACTCCCTGAATTATGGCAAGGCAAGCTTTACTCGATACGTTTTTATTGGCCATAATTTAGAGCATTGCACCGTTAACACTATTTTCCGCATTCACGCTCTTTTCAATATCTCTCACACACTTTCCATCCCTTGTAAACAATGAAGCCAAATATAGAAACTCGCTCAATTGCTCCACTATTTCATCTCTTATCATTATCTGGCACGCCATTAAACTTGCATTCCTCATAAAAACCGTTACATTTGTCTTTTTCGTATTTATTTTCATGCCTTTTCTTGCATACGCTTCATTAATTACAGTCACCATTTGTTGTAATTAATACTCCGATGATGCAAGCAGTACTTTACTACATTTGTATTTATGAATATATCTATTTGTATTAGCCTAATTGTTTTCTATCTAAAAAATATTTAAATACGTTTAACATTTGTCTAGTACACATAGCACATTTACTCAGTTTGAGACTAAACGGCGCTTGGTTCAGGAAAATAAAAAATAAAAAGTATTATTCTCACCTGTACAGCTCCAGTCAATGATTCTTGTAATTGTATATTTGTAACAGCATAAGCTATAACAAACAATGTAGCCGCTATGAGCAATAGGTATACGTTTCCCACTGCTTTTAGTACATACGACGAAATTAGAGAACCAACCACGCTACCCGCTGACACTGCTATCTCCATCATTGTCATTCTGTAATAAAAAAATATAATGTTTACATATTACTATTACAATTACTGTATATACATTTGTACGTACGATGTGTATATATATATATATATATATATATATATGTAATATACGAATAAAATGTTTAAATAAATAACGCATAACATGCCGCAGTCTATTCTTTTAATCGAGTCCATGGTAAATTAGAAGTCCTACTCGTACCTAAGCAAGTTCGCAAAAAAATAGATTTCCCAAAATACTTGCTAACTTAATTATAAAACTAGTGTACGAGAGCCATTTTTATATAAAAAAAAAGTTGCTCATTTGATTATAAGTAGAATAATCTGTTTTTCTATTCTTGTTTAAAGACTTCATTTTTCACATTATTTAGTCTTTTTCTGTAGGATCAGTTGCTAAAATTACGAAGTTAAAAACATCTATCTAGAAAGTTTGTTAACATTGCTAATATGACATGTACTGCGTTGATTAATCCATTTATCAACGCTATCTCACTTTTCTTTGTTACAGCGAACCTATCGGTTACGCAGCAGCAATGTTAAGATAACGTCAAAGTAACTATTGAGTAATCTATTGTATCGCTGTATTAAGATATTTCAGCTATATTTAAAATTACTAATTATTATCATGATTACCTTTCTGCCCTCTTTAAACATTATTATATATATACTAAGTATATTAAAAAAAGGATCTACACTGTATAAGTACTATTACAAAATCACATTCAAGTTAAGAAATGTTTCGAATAGAGAAATAAATTCTTCCAATCCAAGAATCACTTTGCCATAGGACAGTTTCGTCCTGAATTGTATTTTTTAAAAAATAAGTAGTTACAGCAGGACAAGGCATTAGAAGAAAAAAATTTAGAAAAGTGCAAAATTTATCTTAAAAAATCCGGTATCATGAAATTACCGATTATAATGGACCTTTGTAATGTGCATTGTTTGCTCAATTTTGAGAAATATCATTGTTTTTATACCGATAAGTAGTGCTGTTGTAGATCGATTAATCACTAATTTGTTAGAAAATCAATATAAGAGAATCCTATTAACATTTGACGCGTATTCCATAAGTTAAAAATTTCAGTAAAATTAAAAATTAAACATATTATTTGCCATTAATACGGTTTATTACCGCAATAAAATCAATTCGCAAGTCTGCGATTTTGCGTTAATTCATTTAAACGTTTTACGATGATTAAGGACAAAGACTCACTAATAAATATACATAAATAATTATATTGAGTAACATTAATCAGACACAAAAATAAAATACAATTCATAAAGCTATACATGCACCTAATAACAAACAACATTGACAAGCACTATCCAGTTCAAAAAGTCATTAGGATTCTACATATAAATAATATACCATAATAATACCATACTTAATGGGTTGTTTAGAACATAAAAAAGACCCAATTATAAAAACATTATGCTATGTCATATGAAAAAATAAATTTGACTATCCCATTAGTTATTATAATCGTGAGAATATTATTATTACTTTTATATTAACTAACAAGAAGCTCAGTATATACAGAAATGACGGGAATACATGGAGATGCTATGGGAACAGCACATGTAGGTATAGAGTGATATCCATGCCAGTTTTCTCATTTACAGGGCAAGAAACAACAATGACGTTCTATTGTATTCCAATACCTAGGCCCAATTTGTTTGCTATTCCCAGTATTATTCGTATAAAAGAGAATTACGGATTTTTTTAGTATCTTTACCAGTAGGTACAACTGTACTGCAGTCCAAAAAAAGCATTTTAACTTATTCTGAGATAGGTTGCGCTTATCATAAATAAACAACAATCTTTAACACACCTACTTTAAACAGCTATTACATTATCTAGTAATTAGTGTAAAAGTAGGTAAATAAAATGATTATTTTTGGTAACAATATAAATAAAGTAGTTTTAGTCTATAAATTACGTTAAAAGTATGAACAAGTACTATTTTATTAAGTACGATAGACGTAAATAAAATAAAATTTTATTACATAACACGCCCAAATTGTTGTCTCTACAAATTCCCCGATTTTCTCAAATCAATCTATGGAGCACAAAAATCGGCATGATTGTTGTTTTATTAGAATGTGATTGCATTTATACTATTTTGAATTTACATCACGGTTATTTACGTAGATATGTTTTTATGAGCTCGCAAATTATACTTAATCACGGTATTTTTCTCATAAAAAAAGTGCAAAACCAATATTTTAGTTATTATTCTCTGACTCGAGAGCAAGATAATTTTGTGAACTTCTGTCTGTCTCCTAATAGCGTTTGTACTGGATAACGCTTGTATCATTACCTAAGAGACGTGTTCTGAGTTATAGTGACGTCACTTATGTAACACATAGCCCCGGTAAACAACACGGTAAATGCTCCAGACAATGATAGCGGTATTACAGCCAAAGTATACCACCATGGGCCCAAATTATCCAACATAGCATATACAACAATCAAAATTCCCGTCATCGCCTGACCTAAAAATGATAATATAACCATTATAGATTTGGTAATATTTTATTTGATGGTACCTACTTAGAGGAAGCACCTAGACCCCCTACGTACTATACATGGGAGCGATGGATTGTTAATAATAGATATGTGAATTGCTAGCAATAAATCTTTTCAAGTGGACCTCCACGCAGCCCTCCTTAGAAACCACCGTGATTAATTAATTTCTACTGAATTTGGCCACGATGTGGTCCATCATTATACTAATTTCATCATCATCATTCAGTTGTCCTCTACTGCCCTGCCATTATATATTAGTACAAATGCGTGCACCATTCAATCTTCATCCACTGAAAAAATCCGCACTGGTCAATGCCGACACGTAAAGATCAATATCTCGGTATCTCAGATCACTGCCGCATTAATGATATTGGTATTCATTTGGTGTAATTTTGAGTTTCTATTAAAAAAAAATACAAAATCCTTTGAAACTAAAACTGATTTTTTTATGGGGCAATAAAAAATTTAAGTTAAAAAATATTCAAAAATGAACTTATTGTACAAATTTGATATTTATTAGATACATTATCACATGTGAGTAAAGACGTGTGCGGATAACGATTAAATGTTGAAGTACACCATTTGTACGAGTATAACATTTATAAAATATGTTAGTAAGTACTATATCAGTAACTACGAATATATAAAAGTTTAATAAATAAATTATTATAAGTCTCTAACCAATACATAATTACACGAAATTACGTATGCAACTTAAAAAATTTGTAGCTAAATGATGCTAGATGATAAATTTCACAAGCTCACGTAATTTATTTATCAGCTCATATTTATTTATTTAACATTTTTGCAAAATATTACCTTTCCATATTTGTCAAATTTATCCTCTCCACATTTTTACATTACAAGTTATACGTATTTCCTAATTATTTGAGCCCTACTCTAACAAAGCGGAATTAATCATAGGATTAACTATGTTGTTTATAAGCTGAGAAATAGTATTATACATTAGTAACCAAATTGACACAGGCTAAACCGCGCTAAAAGCTAGTGTATATTAATTAATGTTATTTAGTCTGCATTCACAGGAGTTAAACCTCACGTTTATGCAAATTTATCTATGTAAGTAAGTACAATAAAATATTTTTATAAAATCTTACTGAAAAAGATAGAGAATGAGTAAATAAATAAAGTGTGAAAAAAAATTGTCTGTATGTATAAAACGGCTAACCTCCCACTGAACAAATGGTTAAGGAATTTAAGGGTAAATTAAGCTGTACTAAGAACAACATAACATATAAATCAATGCACATATCAAAGCACTAAGGCAAATTAAATTATTTTCACATAAAGTCGATATTATACCTAAAAGATCTCATTCCGGTTGTAGTGACGTCGCTCAAATAACAATATATTCCAGTTATTAATACACGGATGCCTCCCGTCACAGAAAATGGTATGCTGGTTACAACGAGCCACCAAGGACCCAGATTGCCCATAATACTAAAGATGACAGTCAGCATTGAGGATATTGATATACCTAAAATTACCAACGATACAAATATCACAAACCCAAATTCAATGTGATAAATTTTTTAAGACATATCACTAAAAATCGATCGTGTGGTCCCGTCATAGAATAAATCAACCCTTCCTATCCCATGAGTGTCGTAAGAAGCGACTAAGGGAACTTAATAGTCTAAGGATGCACAGCAGCGTCTCTCTTAAAACATCTCCAAAAGCTAACTGTTACAAACCCGCCTGCCAAGCATGGCAACTACTGGCAAAACCCCCCTTATGGAGGAGGCTATGTTCATCAGTGAACAGTTAACGGCTGATCATCATCACTAAAAACGTCTAAAAAATCTTGGTAGCCATTACCTACGGACATGGAATATGTGGACATCACAATATACACTGTAACGTTATTAGTACCCCTCATGTATAACATTCCCCAAAATGTATTATTATTTATTGACTTGGTTCAAATAATTCTTGTTTAATAATTTGTTTTATTGTAGCTACACATCTTCATTTTACGAAGAGGACATCTTGAATGCTAATTGAACCATTATCGTTGCCATCTCAATATTGTTGTAAATGATTTCATACAACTATCAGACAGCAATCTATACATAGTTTTATGAAAAAATCTCGAATTTACAATAAATATACCATCTATTTTCTGCCAGTCATTACTAGCCAAACCATGCACAACTAAGAACGAAATCATGCAGCTGTTTATTTGGTTCTATAGAAACATTAATCACTTTTTACAGTGTATTTCTCTAACTGGACAGGAGCCAAAGTTTTTTACATTTCCGATTTTCAATTTACGAATACATACAGAGTTAGAGTGTTGGAGAAAAATCAAATGGCTAAGAATCAAACCAGCTCCTCGATACACTGGCTTATTGTATAGAAATGGATCACACAATTTATCAAATGATTAAATATTTATATAATTAATTCACCAAAAACGTACTCTTAAAAAACGATTGAAATAGGTAGGTGCCACGTAATTACTGTATAAGAATGTCGTATTAGTGATAACTAGATATATATATTAAATACTAATATTTCAACTCTATCCTCCTAAGCGTTTAGATGAGGGGGGATGAGATTGTTAGTAATGGGGTCTAATTTCCTCATTACTAGCAATACACCCTATTAAATCAACCTCCACGCGGTACCTCCTGGAAACTATCGTGGTTAATTCTTGTGGAATTTATCACATGGACCAACTGACCTGTTTCATTCTCATCTACCATTCTTCACTGGTGCCCCGCCAGCATATGCCGATAGCGCAGGAGGGGTTACCTTTTCATTATCACCCATTACCAAAAATTAGATAGGTTCAGGTTTTATGGACACATCACTCTATCATTTTATTCTGTGCCTCTGTTGGGCATTATTTTACAAATATAAGTATTTGAGTCCAAGATACCATAGGTACCTATATTATTACACATATTCATGCAATATGGCATCATGAACAATATTGAATTTTTGCCTTATTAGCTATAGTTAAATAATACTTAAATAAATCCAACATTTTAGATAATACACATTTATATACTTTTAATTATATATTTTACTATTTATTTTATATATAAACACAATTTAAACTTACCAAACAATGGCCATACTATCAAAGGTTTCCGTCCATGTGTGTCAGACCAAACTCCAAGAAATAATGATAAAAAAGCAGGGCCCAAGGATTCTATGACAGTAATCACAGTGGATACATATGTTACATACTTCTGCACTTCTTCTTCTAAATCATTTGTGTCATTAGTTTTGACTGGTGAAAGAAATCCACGACATTCATCCATATCATGGTGTAGTGAGTGCACACATGTCCGATACAGAAGCACATTCCTTATAGCTGTTCCTGAAAAGATACTTCTCATGTTAATACATATTATATTCTACATCTATACATTTATATGTATTTAATATATTAGACATTTATAATTTTATTATTTAAGTATGTTTATATATATAACAGAGATTTTATGAACTTACTATGTTTGTCATTAGGAAATGAACATAAGTTTTAAGAATAACATAATCATTTAAATACTTTTAAAACAATATGGGGCCAACATAAAAGCAAAGATGACTGCAAAAAGAATTAATAAAATTGGTTCAAAATTGGAAATTAAATTGATTGGAAATTGCAAGTAATCTAGGGCATCAACAGAAATGCAAGTAAATAATAATATTAAGCTAGTTTTCAATCAATTTTATGAAAGTGGAATTTTTCAATTTCACTGTCATTTTTGCTTGAGATACAATATATTCACTGATTCTAAAGTAATTTTAATATTTTTTGTTAATTTTACTAATACTAAAGTCAATTTTAATACAATTATTTTCCTTATAAGTTTGTGTTTTTTTTTTTATATCACTGTGGTGGCAAACAAGCATATGGCCAACCTGATGGTATGCAGTTACCATAGCCTACAGAACACACAGAGTGAGGCAAAATCTCTCCTGACTTAAGAGTTCGATACGGCTTGTAAGCCTGGAATCATCAACAATTCCCCAAAGTCATTGTTGCAGTGAGAGGGTTCAAGGTGGTATCTAGGTGCTCCAGCCCATATGTATAGTCCATGTAGGGCTGGGTTTGTGATTTATAGAGCATTAATTGTTGATCAGGCATAAAATATTATTATTATCATTATTAATTCAGCCATTAAGTGACCACTGCAGGATATAAGCCTTCCCCATAGGGGGAGATTTGCCAGTAGTTACCATGCTTGGTAGGCAGGTTGGCAACTGCAGTTAGGCTTTCAGAGATGTTTTAAGAGGGACTCTGCTGCCCATCCCTCACCTTCCCTTATTCACCTCTTATGACACCCACGGGAAAGGAAGGAACCCATTCAATGACGGGGCATACATGGTGAAAAGTCATAAAAAGCATAAAGCTTTGTTTTAATAGAGCAAAGCACTAGACTTTTTTTAAACTAATTTTATATAGAAGTAAAACTTGTTTAAATATTTTATGTAGGGAGCAATTTTTGGATCTTTACTGGAACTCTTATCAGCTTAAAAAAAATAGAGTTTTTTTTTATTTTAATTCCAGTTACTTTATTTACAGCTAAGTATTAAATATAATAAAGATAATCCTCTGATCAGTGTCCAATGATTTGTCCTATCATTCTTAAGAATAGTTTCAAAAAACACTACAAAATGTCACTATCCCCTTTACATTACAGTAAACAATATGTTGTTTGTTTGCCACTGACATAAAATTAAGAAATGACCTAATAATGAATCAGAATAAAGTCAATCAACAAGACAAGAATACATTTTCTAAAAAAATACTTAGTAACAATACACCTGAATAATATAGGCTATATTTTATCTTGTTATCAGCAATGTAGTTGTGTCTATGCCTTAGATAATATAAAATAAATCTAATTACCTGATAGCGTTAATCCCATCATAATCAAAAATATAGCAAATTCCAAAACTATACCAAATGGTTTTCCGGGCAACTCGCTGATTGTCATTGTATTGGTATTCCTGTTACTTCCAGTAAGATATTCTTCGTCTTGAGGCATTCTTGTTTTTATTATCAATTTATATAGTAAAATGAAATATTAATAATAAACGCATAAATAGAGTACAGAATCACATATAACGATTCAAACCATTGGAACTTGACTTCTCAAAATTACACCAAAGATTAATTCTACAAAAATTGCAGAGATCGTCATGTATCTCAATAGGTTATTGTTAGTACATAATTTTATATTATAAATGTATAATTTCTTTAATAAATAGTTAAATTTCTTGCTATGTTTTGTTTATCCACATTAATTTTATCCGCAGTCAGTCAAACAATCAAAGACAATATGAAACAAATAAAAAAAAGTCATCGCGAACGGGCCAAAAGCATAACCTTGACAATTGCTCTTTGGCGATAGGCATGTGATTTGAGACAAATTAATCGAAGAATCGATTTTTATAAATAAAACCATTATTTATATTGAAAATAGAAATTTAATTTTCGGTGTAAATTCATTTCCGTGTAAATGCGAACCATAAAAATATTTACAATTATTTGAATGTACATACATATAAATTTACAACAATTCAATATAAATATAGTGTGCACTGCCTGAACAATTTGAAATAAACGAATAAAATCTGTAGCAAAAATATTCATTATTTTTAGCTTTATAAAACAGCCTATATATCAAAGTTTAATTTGTCAGCCATAAAAATGATGTTTATGTTAAAAGTAATACAAATTTTACAAAACTAACTTTGGATACAGGTTTGATATATACTTTAAATTTTTTTATGAAAACAAACTGTTAAATCAAAATATAAATTTCATGCAGATAATGTTTACTTTTCACATCATGTTAATTGATGCAGTTGTTTATCCGATAATGCGTAATAAAATTATAGCATTGTGTCTGCCGCTGGCCAGCTTTGTTCAAATTTCAGTTAGAAAACTTTTAAACGTAAAGATTGCATCTAGTGTATGTTCTAATTTTCTTGTTGTTTATGTGTTTATGTTTCGATATGCTAGAACAACATTTTAATTAAGAAGACTTATGTATTCTTAACTACTTTGAACAAAAAACAACAATATAATAAAATAAAACAAATGTGGTAAAATTTAATATTTAGCTTACATGAACGATATTTTCACCACATTTTAAAAACAAAGCATAACCTAATAACTACAAGACCTAGAACTATGAATTAGTATTTTTGTTAGATTATAAGTCTCACTACCCCCTGTAATCCGTTGATCCACTGCTTATGGGACACCCTGTATATCTGATTTTTATTGCCCACGTTTCGATATGATACAATCCACATCATAACGTCGGTAATAAATATTGTGAAGTCAACTATTTCAAAGTTCTGTCGTGATTACGATGTGCACCACATACATGCAAAGAACTTTGAAATTAGGAAACGTCAGTGGTGATGGTGTGTGGGATGGATAACAGAATAATAGTAATAATGTGAGAATTGGCAAAAAAAATGCACAACTTATAAAAAAAAGACACTTTGATTTTATCACGACGATCTGACCGCGACGTAATGCAATTCACGTCGAAACTAGGTGCTCTTTACTTGCAATTATGTCACGTTAAGCGCTGATAGTCTATTTAAAATGAAATACATTTTCTATATATTGCTTTTTTATCGTTGGTAAATAATTAATGTGTTACCTCTTTTGGCTCTGAAAATTTGTTTAACCTATCTGAAAAATCGTCAATAACCCCTTATAGATATTATTGACAATGAAGCGATTTCTCGACCAAAAATATGCTGTCTTTTAAAAACATCTAATGGGATCTTGGAAAATTGTTTGCGGCACTTCAAGAGTTTGAACAATTTGACAGTGACTATGATTGAACACAATCGATTGAACACAAACAAAAACAATAGAAAATAAAGCCCAACCCCAAAGAAAATAAAATTACAAATAAAAAACAAAATCACTTCATATGCAAGCTTATTATAAAAAACAAATGGCAAAAGTATTTTTTTTTTCATTAGCAAAAATATCACTTACTAATAATATATAAGACAATAAGTAACTCATAAAAATATTTTTTTTTATATTCAATATTATATGAATCAATTTATAAAAATTTACTCAAAACGATTTACAATCAATATTTTCGGAGCATCCCTATTTGACAAATAATTAAAAAAATAAAACTGTAACTGTCTACTGTCACTGTCGCTGTCATAATAGCACAAATTATCTATATACTTATATTTTTTATTTTTATGATAGATTGATCTCAACCAAGAACCGCTCATAGTCAGTAGAAAATATTGTATTCTTTGTCTAAGTATTAGGATCGATTCTATTTCTCTAATGATATTTATTAACCTAATATTTTAATTGTATAGTTTTGTAAATATTACTATTCAATGGCCCACCTTAAATTACATTTATAATAATTTGGACATAGATACTTGGATCTATTACTTTGGTCTTTAGAATAAAAATTATGCTTTAATATAAATAAAAATTTTAATTATAGATTTAGTGAAATGACGTCTCAGAATCGACTCCATTCTTGACAAAAAAAAAGGCATTTTACGCATTTCCCTTACCTAAATGCCTCTCGCTTGTTTGTCTATGAATGAAAGACTGAGAGGAAAATCCTACCGGGCGTTTTGCATTATAAAAATCTAACGTTTGTAACTATCGTGCGCAGTAGATTTGTGTAAAATAGAAACAAAGTTTAAAAAATAATACAGAAAAGGTACGTTTTATAAAGTAATAATTAATATCGTATTAATATGACAGTCATCCGTCTGCTTAAGTTTTCGATGACTCGTCAATCATAACCACATCCGCCGTTCGTTGCATTTACTGTTATTTTTTTACGACTGTCGGTGAATGTATCTACTACATTTTCTAAAAAGTACTTGAAGTCATCTCTTCATGAAAATGTAAAAGTCCTTATAAAGTTCTTGTTAATTATAAATATATCGCGACCTATTTTTAGATCTGCTTTCTTTTCTCACTCGTATTGCTGTCAGATATTAGCGGCGTCCTAATATTCCATCCTTTGATTCCGCCTTTCAATGGAATATGTGATACAGTTTTAGGTAAATCAAACGTGATGGCAGTAAACGTATATTCTACCAATGTTACTTCGGAAAATCTTTCACGCCACGATATGTTGGCGTGGGTGAACGACTGTCTTCAATCAAACTTCGCCAAAATTGAAGAGCTGTGCACCGGCGCCGCATACTGTCAGTTCATGGACATGCTATTTCCTGGCAGTGTACCTATGAAAAGAATCAAATTCAAGACAAATCTAGAACATGAATATATACAGAATTTCAAAATATTACAAGCAGCATTCAAAAAAATGAGTGTTGATAAGGTATTGTAACATGTCATTATTCTTATCATTAAGCAAATTATTGTTGAATAACATTACAATATTTTATATAGAACTTAATTTTAAAAGCATCATTAATCATTTTAAATAGTAAATTATTCTATAAAAATTTGGCAAAAAAGTTACTATTCACGCTCAGATAATCACTTTGTTTTACATCAACTCAATTTACTCATTATCTAACAATATTGAAATAATTAAAATTTCAAAAATAACATTACATTTATATTCATATTAAGAATATAAACTGTAGTTTTATTTGTAATTTTATAGGAAAAAATATGTATTTTTTTATAAAAATAAATTCCTATAATAAAATACATATTTTTTTTATTTACAACCTACTGAAGTTTATATACATTATGGTTTATGTATAATAGTTTTGACATCTCTTCCTGTTACAGTAAGTAAGGAAACAGTAACAGTTTTGTTTGTCACTTTTAAACATAACAATATATTACATACAACATATTACATACAACATATCACCAACATAAACCAATACCACTCATATCTAGTCAAACTGAATACAGAGTAATTTCATTTATCTATTTTCTTCAGTTATTAAATGTAAGAAATAATTTTAGGTAATACCTGTGGATAAGCTGATAAAAGGAAGATTTCAAGATAATTTTGAGTTTTTACAGTGGTTTAAAAAATTTTTTGATGCTAACTATGATGGTCGTGAATATGACGCCTTTGATGCCAGAGGTGGCTTCACAATTGGCTCTGGAGCTTGTGACTCGGGTGTGCCACTCTGCGCCGGCCCACCACCCACTCGAGTTCGACGGGCAGCTCCTATGCATCATTCTGGCAGTATGCATTGACTGCATAACATATGCACTGTTATTGTTGAGCCACACTCAGAAATCATTACAAACATTTTAATAAATTTTCTAATAATTAATATACATTGTAGCTATTATCAACTCATCTATCTAACATAAATAACAATATAACATGACAACAAATAAATTTTTCCTCATTAATAATTTTATAATTGGTTTTTAACGATTTTCTAAGTGTGGCATGTTAAATAGTCCTTCCACACAGGTAGCCAGCACCGCAGTAGACTGTCAGTTCTTTTTATTTTTACCTTCATTTTTTCTTTTGTAGATAGTACCAATTGACAAACTGGTGAAGGGTCGTTTCCAAGATAACTTTGAATTTTTGCAATGGTTCAAGAAGTTCTTTGATGCCAACTATGGAGGCACGGAATATGACGCGGTGGCGCAGCGCGAAGGGCTGCCCATGGGGCACGGCGGCTCGTCCGCTCCGCGGTCCGCCGCCGCCGCAAATGTAAAGAAACCTGCTGCGCCTGTCGCCAAAGTCGCAGCTAGACCCCAAACCAGTACTACATTTTGTTTTCTTTTGTCATTAAATGTTGCTTCCCTTATTTTGCATTCTCATACATTATATACCATACTGCTATTATTATAATATAATAAAAAATGAAATAAGTAAATAATAAATTTGAAATTATGGTGGAACCATTGCGTCTAAGAGTACTTTATGTAAATAATAATGTTTTTCATGTATATGATTTTATGCATACTGAATACTTATTATAATTCAACATGTACTATATTAAAAATATTAGCCTCATAAACTACTTTTCACTGCATGCACAAATATGTATTCATTTATACATTATTAATATATTTACACAGCATGTTATACTTTCTGTAGATAATATATGTACTATTCAGGTTTACTTAACGACACAAAAGTATGAATCATAGTGATAATATGCAATTTTTATTAATATTATTGCAATATTGCAATTAATCTATATTTTCTAATAATTCTATATATTGCTATATTGTGTCTATATTAATCATTCTAACAAATCTATTATTTTTAAGTTGTAGAAATATATACACGGAATTTATTACCTTTCTAAACACTTCTTGTTTTGTAATATAATTTAATATGAAGAACAAGATTAGTAAAACTTTAATCAAAATAATTAACCTTAAAACTATCAAGATGTTTCTAAGCAGATATGATTTTGAAATGGTTATAAAGAAATATTTATAGATATAAAACTTAACTATAAGTTTATAGTACTCTAAAGGAAGAAGCAAAAAGAAATAACTTTTTTACATACTATTTTTTTTTTTCAAAATTAATAGCTAGTTTTTCTCCAAAAAGGAAATGCTTGGTTAAACTGCATTTTTATCTATATCCGCAACATACGTCTAATATGTCGATATATTCAAATTTCTAAATCGATTTTGATGATTCATATTTAAATTATAACTATTTACTTCTTTGCTGATCCCATAATAATATTTCGCCATATTACATTTTTTTGGAACAAATTCTAAATCAATGATTATATAATGTTTCCAGTTGGCAAAGCAAACAGCACAGTACGGTCTCCACCTGTCAACTTATCAAGATTAAATCAAAGTGGAAAAGGTGACTCCAAACTTCTTGATGAACTCAACCATCAGGTAATTTTGTTTTTTTTTATATTATTAATCTATAATGATATGAACTATCTATACGTGCAATGGATTACATTAATTACTCAATGAGTATGTCAAACTATTCTTTTAGGATTTACTTTTTTGTTCAAATTGAACATTGAAATTGAATTTCTTTTTTAAAAAGGCTTTTATTACTATAAATTATGAAGACATACATTTTTTTGTATATAGGTCTAATCTCTAGTGCAAACTGAACACATTTTAAAAATTATTCCACTAAATAAATACTACTATTTCTAAAGTAGGCTTATTTCTTTTTATATCTACATGGATGCAAGATCACAACGCATACAATTTATGAAAAGCAGATCTAGCTTTTAATAATCATGTGCACATTTCAACAGGTGAATGAATTGAAAGCGACAGTTGACGGCCTTGAAAAAGAAAGGGACTTCTACTTTGGGAAACTCCGTGATATAGAGGTAATCTGTCAAGAGATGGAAGAACAACAGAATGCTCCAATTGTGCAGAAGATTTTGGACATTTTATATGCAACTGAGGTAAATTAACAGTCATTCTTGTTTTTACATAGAAAATTTATTTGAATCTTCAACACACAGGAGTACAACATACATAATTACAACTATTATACTAAAAATAATAATCAGCACATTATCTTAGTTTACCGAAATGATTGTGTTAATTCCCGTTTCTTATAAACCATAAAACATGCATGTACTAGAAATATACGAATTAAAAATATACAAGTCATATAAAAATAAATTTTAATGAATATAAAAAAGTTGAACAAAATCTTTAAATATATTGTAAATTAGAAATTTTCTATCGAGAAGAAACTACAATTAATGTTTCATATAAATAATGTAAATAATTCTAAAATAGTATTTTTGTAGGTATCAACGAATGGGCTCAAATGTCTTCCACACAGTTATCAGCATAACCATGTCGATATTTTCTACAATATGAAATTAAATTTTTTATGCAAATTAGAATGGCCAATAAGCTGACGTCCCACCTGCTGATAAGTGATAACCGTCACCTATAGACATGAGCAATACCATGGACATATACTATTTCGCCTATGATAACTCTCATGCGTTGTCATTCTTGAAGACTAAGGTGTCTCTGTACCCTGTAAATTCAACACGAATGGGACAGACGTGCCTAAGGAAGACATTGCACAAAAGTCGTTTGCTTGGGTACCTCTGTCTCATTCGTGTTTTAACCGTAAAGCGTTAAGTGTTTGCATGGCTGTGTTTCGGTTTGAAGGGTGGGATATAGCGTGAATTTACTGGGTACAGAGGAATAACACCTGCCCTCAGGAATGGCAACGCATAAGGGGTATCATCTGCGAACCAGTATACTCTGTTATGTCCACGGTACTGTTCATGTCTATAGGCGACGGTTACCACTTTCCATCAGGTGGGCCGTCAGCTTGTTTGCCATTCTAAGTTGTATAAAAAAAGGCAAACTACTTCTGTACAAAATCTATGTCTGATAGATTGACGATTGATTTGATTTTTACAATTTGTTTTTAAGCCACTTTTAAAAGGTTCTTGATTTGACTGTATTTTTTGTTAGATGACATCGTGCAACCGATACGGTGTTCTGTGTTGTTTCTATTCTAATTTTATCATGATTAAAAAAAAATGTAGTACTGAATCCTAAATTGTAGCGATTTTATCAAAAATTTTAAATTGTTACAGGATGGATTCGCACCTCCAGAGGAAATAGACGGCGACAATCCTCACCCGCCCGAGGAAGATGAATATTGAAATCATTATATATAAATATATAACGTCAAAGCGTATCATAGTGCTATTTGTATAATATCAACTCGAAATTATCTCGCTTTACAATCATCGACAGTATCGAGTGCTTAGTGTTTCACAGCCAATGAGTCGTCGCTGAATATTATGTAAATTGTTCAAACAGTGGCCCCAAAATCGCTGGTCTGCACAATGGACTGTCTCTAGTTATATTATGACTAGTACTATGTCTACTACTATATAATTAATCTTTCTCAGCATCTGGCGTTATTGAATAGTCATTGCACATGGCTGTGTCATAGCTAAGTACAATCGTTCATACTTAGGAGCGCGATTTTTTGACTGAGTTACTTCATATTTCTGCTGTTTTTTATAAGTCGAACTATCCATTTCTACCATATTATCATGGACGATAGGAACTACAGTATTGTGCAATTTGTAAGAACTCGATGTTGACAATCGTTACATTTTCGGGCCACTGATGCCTAAGCAACGTGCATTTAATAGGTTGTTAATATTGGAAGAAGTTTACTGTTAATTGTTTATTCTGTTATGTCCCAATTTTGTGAAAATATTGGTACAAAATTTTCATTTTTAGGATGCGAGTGATTTTTAGATCTGAATGTTTACAGAATAGATTTGTTTGCAACGGGACAAAAAGTGTGTCGAATATTATCGTTAAATTTAATACTTGGTGAACTGTTCCATATACATCCTTGTGATATATCTACCTATCCATGATTTAGGTTTAAACAAATACAAGACTTGAGTGTGCACTAGTAAATGTAACTAATAAATTATGAAAAAATGCTAATATTCAAAATAATTTTATGTATTTTATTTTAATCGTCTATACGCGAAAAGTCGCGAAAATTAACGACTTGTTGGCAAAAAAGATGTTATTCGCTGGTTAAGACAAATAGATAATTAATTTATTTACTTTAGCAGTCGTATTATGCCTTAACAGCAGATATTAAAGCCTCTGAATTTCAGATTGTGAATGTCTTATCAAATAAAATAATAACTTTATTATAATTTTTTTTGTTATTGCCTCTTTTTTCTACTAATGTCGCCCTCTGGTTTCGGGTTTCCAAGTGAAATAAAAAATTTAATAATTAAATATTTGAGTCCCGTAAACTTCGTGACAAAATCAGTTAGTACAAAAGATCTAAAACTAAACACTGAACAGATTTTGATAAGATTTCTATGGGTCCAATCTGTAAGTATATCCTTTCAAATAAAAAAAAATCCAAATCGGTTTAGATGTGATGGAGTTATGAGGCGACAAACAAAAAAATACACCCGGCTTAAGAACCTCCTTCTTTTGGAAGTCTGTTGAAAACGACAAAAAAATTAAATCTCCCATACTAATTAAACAGCTGGACTCACTGCGTTAGTATGGAAAATAAAAAGAAAATTCTTTTCTGACTAATCTTTGGTGAATTTCAGTATTGAGAGCTAAGAGAGAACACTCCCTTCAAACCATAGACATAGCATAAAGAATTTTTGAAATGATGCTAATGATTTAGATTTTACCCTGTATATAACAAATACCACTGGGTTTACATATCACACGGCACCAAAAACATTAGAAATTAATGAGACTTAACAAAGTTTTGTCGGAATTATTACAAAAGCAATACAATTGGTAAAAAATCGATTTTTTATTTTACGTTAGCAATCTTAAGTCGTTATCTTGACATTAAACTGTAAAAGTTTCATTAAGTTAAACATTTTTTTAATATATATATGTTATACGGCGCGGGGTTCGAAGCTGCAACCATTGGAAGATCAAAACGGTTCGTTTTCTTATCACTAAGATGATCAGTTAGTCAAGACTTGTAATTATACGAGTAAGTACTATAATTTTATTACTGTGTAAGAATTGAAGGTCACTTTGCAAAATTTTAATAAATCTAAGATAATATAATACAGTACAAGTTATTAAAATGTAAAAGTAAAATAAAAAAATTATAACAATTATTCCATAAATCCTTACTTACTTAATTCATGCACATCTCAGGAATATTAAATCTTCATAGAAAATCACACACAATAATTTAAGAGGCATGCTATAACAATATAAATATTTTATGGTTGTTCTTTACATCATCTGATATACCTAAGAGTTTTAGCTTAAAACATTATTTTAACATATATACAATAGCCAGTAGTTCTTTTTTCTTCTGTTACTATAGTTAAAATATAACAATTTGGATTCGTGACGGTTCTTTTCTGGCCTAATATATTATTTACTTTGTGGGTTTATTACATTATCGAAATAAACATTATGCCATGAATATTTACTTATCTCTTTATAACTACTTATTACTAGTATGATTCGTTGTTAACACCTAACATTGTTAATATAGGAAAATAAAAAAAAAAAAAAAAACATGACACATAATCTAATATGAACAGATTTAAGTTAAATTTTTCTTTATTAAGCATGGAATAGTAAACTAGTTAACCCCTATAGATAGGGGGGAAGGGATTGTTAGTAATGGGGAGGTTAGGCTCCATTGCTATCAATATACCCTACCAGGTCGACCTCCACACGGTTCCCCCTGGAAATCATCGTGCTGAATTTCAGATGCATTCATCACGATAGGCTAACTGACCTGCTTTTTCATTCTCAGCTATCATCCCTCACTGGTGCTCCGCCAGCGTATACCGTTAGCGCAGGCGGGGTCACTATTCCATTATCATCCAATAAAAAAAAACCCTATAGATAGATATATTTATCATCACGGAAATCACAGAATATGCTGTGTATTCCCTGTAATATTACATTACTTTTAATTTGAAAATATTTTTATTTTTTATTTTGAGAGTTAAAATGTTTTATCCATTTTGGAAATTCCAACTTAGAACATCATACAATTTACTCAACATGATCTCATACACTGTATTTACAAAATGTTATATTATTATGAACTATTAAAGACAATTTCACCTAATTCTATATTAAAACTTACATTGAGGTATCGAAATATTCTATAAAACGTAGTCAAATAGGAGAGAAAAAATGATAGCATTGTAGATAAAAGATGCAATTGGTAATTTGTTTTTCATTGCAAGACAGTCAGCCGATCGTAATCTCTAGTTACTTAATTCTTACTAATATTATAAATGTGAAAGTCAGTTTGTGTGCTTGTTATCTTATTGATCCTTGAGGGCATAACCAATCCCTATGAAATTTATACTAAATTGTACTACACATACATGGAATAGAGAAGGATATAAATTATTTTTTATCTTGGTCAATAAATATATCCCGGTTACGCGGAAGAAGTTGCGGGTAAAAGTTAATCATATATAAATATAACAACTATATATGACATTATTACATTTACCTGCCGTATATCTAGTTTCAAGCAATGGATTTACTGCATTCCTGAAATGAAACGAATCGAAAAGTACTACTGGCGAAACTACAACATATGCGCTTTTTAATAATAATTACACATTTTTATGGCGTTTACTGATTCACGATCATGTTTATGATCAATCATAAAGGTAATAAATATAATCAAGGCAGTAAAGATAATTTGATTGTTAAAGTACATTCTTTTAAGAGTTTTAAGTGAGCCCTAAGAAGTAATTTTTTTTTATACACTTGATGTTTAACTTTCAGCAAAAAAAGACAAAACTGTAGTTACTTAAAAAAAATTAAGAGGAATCTTTTTTTAATGATTAATTTTAAATATTGCATTCTACAGAAAATAACTACAACAATGTGTATGTTACCGTAAAAGCTCGCACATTGGTAAATCTTGGATTTTATAAAAACAAGATCATTTTTGTATCTTTCACCAAACCAAACCTAACGTATCTTTCTGACTAAGAGCAGAAACATCACACACTGAATATGTCTAGCAGTGAAAAGCCCAAATTACGGTAAATCAATTTTTTTCCAATACTTACATCAGAGACGTGGCAAATAAAAAAAAAAAAATAGACATAAAATTAAAATGTGCAAATTGATAAATTTATTCGTCTTGTTCTGAGTGTTCTGAATGTAGTCTCGCAGTCTATATTCTGTTGAGTTTTTTTTGACGTTTCATTTATATTTTCAGGCATTATGTTTTTCGTTATCCTTGTTTTTCGTGTCCTGAGAGAACTTTTGGTTATTATATTTTCTGAAGTACTATTCAAAGATGAATTTATAGTATTTAATGTTGTTTCCGGATATACTTTATTATTTCTATTCTTAATAGTTTTGTTCCCAGGAGAATCATTTGAAGATGAATTTATTTCTAATGTAATTTTTTTACTTGATTTAGCTTTATTAGTATCTAATGCATTTTTTTTATCTAGTCTATCATTTTTTTTCTGTTTCAATTCTGACATTTTCGACTTTTTTGTTTCTTTTGTTACTTGCTTTGGCTTAGAAACAACAGGTTCTATACAATGTTTCATTTGCTTAGGAGATTGTCGAGTTCTATTAAAACTTTTATTACTCAGAACTGATTTTTCCATGTGGTTATTTACTTTTAAGACATTATTTACTTCTGTTGGATTATTTATTTTCTTCAGATTTATTTTTGCTGTAAGAAATAATTAAGTCATTTAAATATTATTAAGTATAAATATGTAAATAAATCAAGGAGGAAAATATTGTTAGATATGTATAACATTTAACATGAAAGAAAAAAGTAGACAGCTTGAAAGTTACATGTAATAATTAGTGTGGTTGGAAAGAAAAAACTTTTATGCAACTTAGAATGGCAAACAAGTTAACGGCGCACCTGATGGAAAGTGGTAACCGTCACATATAAATATGAGCAGTTCCATGGACATAACAAAGTATACAGTTTCGCCCATGATACCCCCCATACGTTGCCATTCCTGAGGACTCAGGTGTTACTCCTCTATACTCTGTAAACTCTTTTCAAGATAAGACTATATTAAAAAAAAAGCTTGCTTGTTTTCATCCCACTATATGCAAGTAGATGAATGGGATATTGGGTACTAAGTAAAACATATATAAACATAATAGTAATAAAAAAGTATAATAATAATAATAGTACCTGATATATTGTTTTCTTGACTATTTGATTTTGGTTTATGATTTTCTGAATCGCTTTCAAAATCAGTGTCCCAAAATGACTTTACACATTTATAAATTTTATTTCTAGTTAAATCTGAAATAAAACATGTTTCATATTAGGCAAAAAAGGAAATATTCAATTGGCTATCATAAATAAACACAATAACATAAAAAATATAAATATATATAAAAATATAAACGAAAAATATAAATGTCATTAGGACTACAGAGGAGCCTAGGATATGGTTTAGATTATTATTATCATATTTTTTATCCCTATGCATGTGCATAGGGACAAAAGACCTGAAGTACCAAGTCTAATATTAAATAAACATTACCTTTTTGATCAGTTTTATTTCCATTATTCTTATTTGTATCGGTCTTCTTCTGTGGATATGAAGGTTTATTGATCTTTTGTAAATTTTGGATCACTATTTTGCATTCTTTTATTGCGTGTTTATCTTTTATTTCTCTTTTACTTTCATTCTTCTTTGTTTTTAGTACACTATCTTTTTTCATTATTTCCTCATCAGTGTAGGTGTCACTGACATCGTCATCATTACAAGTGGATATAATAGAAGTAACATCCCATTTATCTTCATCAAATAAATGATTTTTATTAGTTATAATATTAGTTTTGTTAGTCACATTTGTTATATTCATGCGATCTGGAGGTACTATTTTGTGAATTAAATCAAGTAAATTTTTATCCTCCTGTAATACATTACGATTCAAACATGACTGATTGGTAACCAACTTTCTTGTTTTGTGTTTTTCTTTTTGCGTGGCACTGTAAACATTCCCTTGTGGACTATTTGCTACTAAGTTATCAGTACTGACATTTTTGCTCTCCATAAGATCATGTTTTTGAGAATATAACTTTCTTTTAATAAAACTTGGCCGCATTGACACATCTTCAGTGTGTTGAGATAATTTAGATTTAGAATTTTCATAAGCTTGATCTTTGCTTTCCTCTTCAACATTCTTCATAGAGTGTGAAGGTTGTACTTGTTTTTGACTCAATGTCTGAGCTGATTTTGCTAACAGGACCTCTTTAACCTTGCCTTGATTAAATTTTCTTATAGGAAACTGAGGCTTAACAAATTCAAAATCATTTGTCTTATTATTCATAATCACCTCAATTTTCTTAGACTCCTGATTTTGTTGTTTATGCTCTATTTGTGAAGTTGTTTGTGAAGATGAAGATATTTTGTTTCTTTTGCTAGTAGAAGTTTGTACATCATTAATATCTATTCTTCTTTTTCGTTGCTCTAGCATTTCCTTATCACATATTTTCTCTGTATTACAAACGGTCTTTCCTCTAGTTGTTATTTCAGAAAATATTTCATTGTTGTCACTATCTGTTTCTTCTGTAGTATTTGTGGGTAATTTTGTTCTCAATTTACTATCTTCAGTGATATTATTTGTAGATGTAACAGTTGAATGGAACCTCTGGGAAGGCAACAGGCCTGCAGATTTAAATCTATCTTTTTGCATAATTGGACCTTGACTATGCTCTTTATTTATATTATGATGTGAAACAAAATGAGTAGATGGCAAATGACAATTTTGTACTTCGTTTGGAATGGGCCTGTCTCTATTTCCAGATCTAACATGTAACTTATTCATAAATATATTTTGTTTAAAACTGTCTGTACAATCTTTATACATGCTGTTTTCTCTAATTGTTTTTTGAATGTCTGTAATATTGGTTCTAATTGATCTACAACTAGATGCATTATTATTATAGGATATAGTTCTTGTGGATCTGCAGTCATCACTACTTATTGATGAATCACTACCCAGTTCCCCAGAGTCATATCCAGATCTCCGCCTGTAACCTTTAACATACAATTTCAGTTTTCTCCTCTTTTCAATTTTTTTTCTAATCCCTCTCCGCATGAATTTATTATAGGCATCTTTGATAATCCTCTTATCATACTTGTTGAAATTAATGTTTTTGAAAGCAAGTGCTATATCAGCAGCACTTACACTTGTTGTGGTATCTGAAATAGTAGAGGATATGGATTTATTTAACCCATAACTATTCAGTATGTTTTTGAAACGTAACTGACCAATAGTGTCTGTAATGTTTTAATGAAACCATCCCAATGTCAGACAACAACTGTTTTAATCATATTATTCAACTACCTTCAAACTAACTATACATGACATCTTTCCCTCTATAAAAAAAAAGACATAAGAACTTATATCTCCAAACAAAATATATAATTGAGTACTTATTACCTATTTGCTTAAATATATACAATTTAACTACATAGTTACTTATCTACTACAATACAAGTCTATAAACAGTAAATAGGAATATATATTTTTATTAAATCTATAGATGAAAATAAACCTTATCAAAAAATAAACATGTAAATGCAATAACAGTCCGAGTTTGTAATGCTTTAATATGTACTTCTTATATACTACTTTATAACACCTTATTGCTAAAGAAATCAATATAATGAAATATAGTAGATGTAGTATGTTTTATACAAAAACAGATATGAGTGTGTTCACTGAGAATGCATTCTATCTAATTTATTTGAGTGTTTTGGCACGTTTGCGCGTAAGCGGTGGTTTAAGAAACATACTACCACTACTGCTATTTGGTTGCGGGTTCGAACCCGGCGGTGTCTCAGCAGTGCGGTACGGTGCATCCATCGTGCCACCGATACATACGTCCGACCTTGTTTCCGATGTTTTTTGGTTTAAAACCTTAGTAACCACGGCTGGTTCAGCTTTGTTTATTTCAAACTTTACTTCCGGTGGTTCACATTTGATTAAATGACGACGATTACGTCGATATTTGGTTCCTATTTTATTTTCTATAATATAAGAACGAGGCGTATCAGCCGTGCTTACTACAGTGGCCCTAGTACGATTTTTACCATCATTACATATTACTTGGTCACCTTTTTCTAACTTGCATAGCGTTTTACAATGCCGATCATAGTATCCCTTATTGGACTTTTGCTTATAGACCAAGGTATGATATTCTGTTTCATTTACAAGTTTTGGTTTTAATATTTGTACGCTGGCCGGAAGTTTACATCTTAATCTGCGACTCATTAACATCTGTGCAGGAGAGCTTAAACCTTCTCTAGGAGTATTTCTGTAATTCAATAACGCTAATTGAAAATCTCCTCCTGTCTTAATTGCTTTACTCAACAGTGACTTAACTGTTTGTACAGCACGCTCACTCTTTCCATTTGACTGAGGATAGTTGGGTGAAGAAGTCACGTGATGAAAACTCCAGTCACTAGCAAATAATTTGAACTCGCGACTACTAAATTGAGTGCCGTTGTCACTTATTAATATTTCAGGTATACCATGACGAGAAAATACTTCCTTTATATTTTGTATGACTGTATATGAGGTAATATTTTGTAAATTACATACTTCAACATAATTAGAATAATAATCTACGACAATCAAATAATATTTTCTTCTGTACTCAAAAATATCAGTACCTACTTTCGTCCACGGCAAAGGGGGTATCTCTACTGGAATCATAGGTTCCTTTGCTTGTGCATTTAAACTCTCCTGACAAGTGGTACAACGCTTTCCATGAGACTCAATGTCGCGTGACATATTCGGCCAATACATAACCTGTCTCGCTCGCCGCTTGCACCGATCTATACCGAGGTGGCCCTCGTGCACGAGCCGCAGCATTTCAGCTCGCAAACTCGAAGGTATCAGTATTATACTATCTTTAAATACTACAGAATCGACGACATATAACTCGTCCTTTATTGCCCAAAACACTTGTAATTCTATTGGTAAGTTATATTTATGGTCTGGCCATCCCGTTTTTATATACTCGATCAGTGCACATAGAATCTTGTCCTGTTTAGTTTCCTTTTTAATTAATGCCAATTTTGAATTAGATATCGGTATATTGCCCACCACCATTTGAACTTGGTACAGTACATTCTGTTCCACTTCCACACTATATAGCTCAGGAAGCGGCGCTCGAGACAGTGCATCAGGAACATACATATACTTTCCTGGCTTATAATTAACTAATAGATCATAAGTTTGTATTCTTAACAACATGCGTTGTAAGCGAGCTGGGACCGACATCAGTGGTTTTTTAAAAATACTTTCTAAGGGTTTATGATCCGTTTCCACCAATATTTTAACCTTACCATAAATATATTGGTGGAATCGTTCGCATGCAAAAACTATGGCCAGCATCTCTTTTTCGATTTGCGCGTAACGCCGTTGGGTGTCGGTGAGTGTGCGCGAAGCGTATTCGACGGGTCGGCCGGCCTGCAGCAGCACGGCTCCGAGCGCGTCGCGCGATGCGTCCACTGACAGCACTAGCGGCCGCGATACGTCGTACAATGCCAACACCGGCGCGCGACACACGCTTTCTTTTAATGCAAAAAATGATTTTTGTTCCGTATCTTCCCAACGCCATTCATTTTCCTTTTTTAATAAATTGGTTAACGGTAACGCGCTCTCAGAATGATTCGGTATAAATTTTGACAAATAATTTACCGCTCCCAAAAATCGCTGTAAACTTTTCTTATCATTCGGTTCTGGCATCTCCTTTATGGCTTTTATTTTGTTATAGTCTGGTCGCATACCGTTCTTATCAAATACGTGCCCTAAATATACAACTTCTTCTACACCCACTTTGCATTTATCTTTGTTAAATTTTAAATTTATATTTCGTGCTCGATTTAATAGTGCAACCAGCCTATCGTCATGTTCTCGTTTCGTCTTTCCCCAAACAATAATATCATCGACGAAGCTATCCACCCCTTCCAAGTCTTCTAAGAGTTGACGCATTTTCGCATGGAATACCTCTGAGGAACAATTAATTCCAAACGGTAACCGAAGGAACTGATAACGGCCAAAGGGAGTTGCGAAAGTACAAAGATCTACACTTTCCTCATCGAGTTGCACAGCCCAAAAGCCTGAGTTGGCATCAAGTACCGAAAAATAACAGGCGCCATGTAAACGTGTCGCTAACTCCGTTACTGTGGGCAGCTGGAAGTGTGCGCGCTGTACCGCGCGGTTTAGATCGCGCGGGTCTAGGCATATGCGAATGCCATTATTTTTTTTAGCAACTATAACTAATGGATGAACCCACGGGGTAGGATGATATACTTTCCTAATGATACCTAATTTTTCCATTTTTTGTAACTCTAGTAATAATCTATCCCGTATCCCTAACGGTATTTTTCTGGAAGCACATACGACAGGGCGTATGGAATTATCGACTACAATGTGATACTTTCCGGGCAGACATCCTACTCCTTGAAATAAGTCACTATAATCTGTTAAATTTATTCCATAAATTCTTTTTACTAATTTCATTAATTCACATGATTTTCGGCCCAGCACGCTTTGACAATCATTGTCTGCTATCGCAAATCTCAAATTATATATAGTATTTTTATACACCCACTTCATGCTGCATGTACCTTTAATAGGTATTTTATCCCCACTGTATGCTTCTAGCTTTATATTAGTATTTTTAATATCACATTCATTATAACCTAGTTCTATGAATCTCCTGTATGATATTACATTTATGTCCGCCCCTGTGTCCAATTTAAAATTTTCTTCCCCGTTCGTACAAGTCAAAATTTCAAACCACTTTCCTGATTCACTTTTGTTATCAGTAATTACTGATATGTGAAACGATTCTTCCTCGTCTGACTCGGTATTCGCTTCTTCTTCGCCGATTTCGTATACGTGCCTAACTCTGCCACTGTTGAAATTAGTATTGTAACCAGACTTACATACTCGAGCGAAGTGTCCTCGTTTACCGCATACAAAACAAGTGGCATTCTGAGCCGGACACTGCTTCTGCTGGCAGCGCACCCTGGCACCGCAGCCAGAGCAGGGCGCGGCGTGCACAGGCGTGAACCGACCGTCGGCGCGGCGTGGCGCCGGCGCGCGGCCGCTCGGCCCGCCGGCGCGCCGCCCGCGGCGCCCGCCGCTTCCCCGGCACTGCTCAACACTATTCACTTGTACACACTCACTACCACTGACAGTGAAACAATTCAGCTGCCGACCGCTCTCCTGTGATGTTTCCTCGGCGATGCACAAATTCATAGCTTTTTCCAAGGTCAAATCTTCGTGTCGTAATAGCCTATCCCTGACAGTCGCACTGCGTACCCCACATACTATACGATCTTTAATCAAATCCTCTTCTAGCGATAAGAATGCACACTTCTTGCTAATAAGACGTAACGCCGTCACGTACTGTTGAATGCTTTCACCTTCTTCCTGATTTCTCGTGAAGAATTTATATCTAAGTAATGTAATATTTTCTTTAGTTCCAAAATAACTATCGAATTTTTTTAGTACTTCATTTACGTCATCTTTATCTGTATCTTTAGTAAAAGTGAAAGTTTGATACACGTCAAACCCCTCCGGACCGATCAAATTTATTAGTAAACTGGCTTGTACTGCTGAATTCTCGGAATCCACACCCGAAGCCTTGATAAACAGCAGGAATTGTTGTCGCCAACGCCTCCATGCATCGGCACGACTCACAGGGCCTCCCTCCATATTTAATTCGGGCGGTGGTCGCGCGTGCTCCATTATGCCGTATAACAAAATATCCACTCACGACTAGTTTTTTATGCAAATTTATATTTGTTAAGTTTAATCTTTATTTAAATACGTTATTTATAACACTTTTATCAAATTTATACACGTATTTATGATATACCGCTGCCACCATGTAATGTTTTAATGAAACCATCCCAATGTCAGACAACAACTGTTTTAATCATATTATTCAACTACCTTCAAACTAACTATACATGACAGTGTCCAACAGACTCATTTTATAAATGTAAGGTATAATGAAAGAAAAAAAAGTTATTTTGAATGAAAAAGATGGTATAATGTAATTGTATTTTTGACACTTATTTACTTACAGATATTACAATTTTTTTTTTTCAGTATGTTCAAAGCAGACCAATGTGTTTGAACATTCTGAATACAGAATCTAAACAGTGTTGTGATAAATGCAATCTCAATCGATTGTATTTATTACAACACTGTTTAGACGGCCTTGATAAATTCGAAGAGTAAATGCTAACAATGCTTCTTTCTTTTTGCAGCAAGTTCAGATAATTGAGTAACTTTCTGATTCGACCCTGCCATGTCTTGCATGACTGCCAAGTAGTAACTTGATAGGCCTTTCTTGCTTCGTTTCCATATATGAGACGTTACTTACTGACTTGGTCGCGATTTCACGTATTATATATATATAACATAAATAGTTTTCTAAATGTATTTACGTGGATTCCAATCAGGATGTATATTTTTACATACAATTAGCGATACAATGCCAACAACATCTAAATTTATTTGGTTTACGCCGAACTGTATACTCATGACCCATTTAGTCCAGCTTATCGATACCTCCCTTGGTGGAGTTGTAGTACAAGTTTATTTCAGATTGGTTTTTTTTTACATCTTCCTTTCCATGACGCATCGTAGACAAAAAAATTACAGCACAATTCTTTTTTGGTACATAAGAGACTCATATTTTTAGAAAATCAAAATATATTAGACTCAATATCATATGTTTTGTTGGATGGAAAATGTGGATTTTTTTCATTATTCCTACTATTGTAAGATCATTTTGTGTCAAAGATTTTGCGACATTAAGAAATGTGTAATAATTATGGAATGTAACATTTCTATTACTTCAGACATATGGTTCACATTAATGGTTGACCACATCATATGCTAAATTTAAGGTGACCAACTATTTTTTGTTCAAAAAGAGTACACTTTGCAAGTATTTCATAGGTAAAAAAGAAGAAAACTGATAAAAACTTTATTTTCATTTAAAAACATATTTGACTTCGGAGTGGATTTTTTTTATTAAATGAGGATGTTTGTCTAATAATGTAGCCAAATCCGAACAACTTTCATTTTGCATATTAAATTTGACAGTTTTTACAGAAAGTTGCTACTTCTCACTGCTTCAATAATCATTCCATAAAGAAAATGCCCTTTCAACAGCAGCATTAGTGCCTGGACAACATAAGGAAATTTCTATTAAAATTTTTAAATTTTCATGTTCTACTGAAATTCTAATGAAATTCATCAAAATTTAATTAATAATATTGAAATAAAATAATTAAAAAAAAAATTGTAGAAATACAAATGAGTATAAAATTATACAAATGAGTACTTTTAGAGTACAGGATTTGAAAAGAGTACGGTTTATGAAAAAAGAGAATAAAACTCAGTAAATGAGTATAGTTGGTCACCTTACTCAATTTTCTGCCCTGTTTGATCCTTCTTTTCGAGATATGGTAGACAAAATAGTGGGTAAATAGTTTTGTTGTTGTCCACCAAATTTTCATACCATACTTATCAGGTTTACTGGGTAGGTACTGTTTGAATGATACGCATCCATGAAAAGGTGCGATTTTCTCCAGGCAAATAAAACTTTCAGGTTTTGGTTTAGGTATTCCTATAATTCTCTAATAGATGCAAGTTTATCTTTTGACTTCCTAAGGCTCCTGGTATTTTTATCATTAAATCTTAAGAATCATAATCTATTTATTCCTATTGTAGCTTGAAATATTGGATGGCCAAAGATTGGGCCTCAGTATTCTTTAAAATCCATACCTCCCTATTTATTAATGCTCTATAGTCAATAGAAGACCTAGAAATGCTTGCATTTCAATTTTGTCAGTTGGTTTCCATCAATTTTGTAAAACTCTAAGCCCTTCAGTATTGATATATTTCAGTATTATTTTGAATAAGTGCCACCAAAAAAAGGTTGAAACTATCTAGAATTTGTTATAGCTTACTCCGAAAGAAGAATCACTTTATGAATACCATGGCGAATTATATTGTGTCGAGGTGTTCGACTTTGCCTGTCAGGTTCTAATTTCCAAATTATTCTATCTCAACCTATATAAGTGTCAATTGAGATGTCTTCTTGTAATGGTATATTGTCACTCTCATCCATAATTGTTTTCAGATGCTGGTTCTGTCACTTAATTTCACTCTGAGAACAGCTATCAACAGCAAAATTCTCATCATCACAATTGGGCTCACACACAAAAATAAAGGAATGTTGAATTTCACTTTATGTTAGTTGGCTTTTAGTCATTTCTTTGAATAAAAATAAATTAAACATGACTGTTTTATGACAAATCTTTCTGATAATTGAAACATGTTACTATTACAAAGATTATGATTATAGCACAAACAAAGGTCTGGCAGTCATTATTGCTTACCCCATAAGACTATAACAAAATAAAAAACAATCTATCTCTTTCACACATGAATAAAAAAATGTTATCGTGTCTGTTGGGCACTTGTAGGTTGATGAAGTACTATTTTCATTTATTAATAATAAATTACATTTTACAAATATTTTCATTGCACATTTAGATTAATAAAACATTGGTAGTAATTTAGATAAAAGGCGGATTCATAAAAATAAATACTTTAGTTTTTATGGCAACAAACGCAAAATTGTGTAATTATGTCTGCAAGACACTAGTGGATTGTTATGGATTAATATTTGTAATTAATTAAAATAATTGGGTTCAGCTATATCAGATAAATGATAATTATATTGCATTCAGACAATACAAAATAAATATTATAACTAGCAGACAATAACACAAATAACAATATACATTAGACGAAACACTATACAAACAAAAAAATAACAATATGATGCAGAGATAGAGCCTGCTTACTCCAAAAGGAAGGTGTAAATAATAAAAATAATAAAATCATTTTCATACCTATACTTCTAACTGACATTGGTGAACCACTTCTTCCATTAAACATTGATCTTTGGGAGCTCATGGCACGAGGGTAGCGTGACTGATAATAACTAGGCTGTCTAAAATCAGAAACACTTCGCAACGACGTTGTAGGAGATACCTCTCTTCTGTAATAATTGGTATAATGGTCCATTCTTGGTTCCATGCGAACTTTTTTATCAAAAGGCCGTGACATATTCATTGTTGATGTTAGAACATTATTTCTAAAGCTTAGACCAGTAACATTGGTAGCGTTTATATTAGGTCCTCGGGCACTAAATGTCTAAAATGAAAAAAAGTAGACGTAGTATAAAAAAGGAAACAATTTTGTTTGATTTTGAGTTTGATACTTCAATCTCAAGTTCTAGGAATTGAATTAACTTTATAAACTTACCGTATTCTCGTTTTGATAAGTAAACAAACGGTTCGGTAAAAAATCATTTTCGCTATCTGACATGTTTGATTCAAGTCAAATTGTAAATAAAACTATTTCACTTTAAATAAAAGTAAAGTCTTCATTTATAATTTCATATATAACATTTTTTTTTTAAAGAAAGAAGATGAAGAATACGTTCAATTATAATTTAGTATATTCCATTGATAAAATACTTAAGTTTAACGGTTTCTTTCATATATGGACGCTTTTTCTTTTTCTTTTTTTTAATACGTTTGTTCCGTTGCGGAACAGGCTAAGGTCGGAGTCCATGCTGCCTAGTCTTCAATATAATAAATTGTCTGGAATCGGCGCTTTTTCGACAAGCAGTCAATCGACGTTTTTTTTTGATTGACTAATATTACTTCATTTGACTTCAATCAAATACTTAGATGAAAATTTATTTATTTAGTATTAATAGAATTATGTAAATATAATATGATAACAGCGGGTATTACATCTTACAAGTAAAGGAAGATTTATGATTCACAGCAAGTTGACCGCGGGTGTCCTCCACGACAAGCGATCATAGCCAAAAGTATTTTGCGACGCGCGATCCTATTCGTCTATCTTTTTTTTACAACACAAGGGGTAAACTAGCATGCGGCTCACCTGATGGTAAGTGACTACCGCCGCCCATGATCATCCACAACATCTACGGCATTCCAGGTGTGCTGCCGGCCTTTTAAAAAGGAATATACTCTTTTCTTGAAAGTTATGTTGTATCGGTTCGGAAATACTGCTGCTGGAAGTTGATTCCAAAGAATGATTGTGCGTGGGAGAAAGTGCCTTGAAAAACGTACGGTAGAAGACCGCCACTCGTTTAGATGATTGGGATGAAACTTTAGTTTGTAGCGGGTTGTACGGTGGTAAAAATCAGAAGCAGGTATCAATTCGAACAATTCCTCAGAACACTCCCCATGATAAATTCGGTAGAAGATGCACAGAGATGCAACATCTCTACGCAGTTTCAGTGGGTCAAGTCGGACAGTAAGGCGTTGACTATTAATAATTCGAGCTGCCCGACTTTGAATGTGGTCTAAAGGAAGGAGTTGGTACTGTGGCGCTCCTGCCCATAAGTGAGAACAGTATTCCATATGTACCCTGACTTAAGTTTTATATAATTTCAAGCGGTGTTCCGGCATGAAATACCGTCTTAACCTATTGAGTACTCCTAACTTTTTGGAAGCTATTTTACCTTCTCCTCCAGATGACTGCAAAACTGGACGTCGCAAGATATATCAACGCCCAGAATTCCTAGACTCGACTTTTTATCAAGAGAAATGCCCTGAAAGTGAGAAGATACGACAAACGGCGTCTTTTTTGCGATGAACGCGCAGACTTGTGCCTTCTTAGGGTTAAATTGGACAAGATTTTGTTCACCCCAGATCGAAACTTGATGGAGTGATGTTTCTATTTCAGACACAAGTCTATTCCGGTACTCATCGGTATGTGCCCGCGAGATCTTTGCATGACCGGTATATAATGCATCTCCTGTACTGACGTCTGCATAGCAATGAATATTACTGATCTGTAACATATCATTGAGATGCAGAAGAAACAGAGTCGGAGATAGTACACAGCCTTGCGGGACACCAACATTCACAGGTTTTAAATCAGAGCATGCTCCGTCGATTACGACCTTAATGATTAATAGAATAATTGAGAAAACTGGCGACCCAAATGCACAGTCTCGCAGGCAACCCAAATGAAGGTAGCTTTGAAAGCAGCGCTCTATGCCACACCCGATCAAAGGATTTCGCAATATCCAGACTAACAGCTAAGGCCTCTCCCTTACTCTCGATTGCCACTGCTCATCGGTGTGTTAAGTAAGCTAAAAGATCACCAGCCGAATGTCTCTGTCGAAAGCCGTACTGGCGATCACAGATCAGCCGGTGCTCTTCTAGGCACCGAAGCAGTTGGCGGTTAATGATGGATTCCATAACTTTCGAGAATAAGGAAGTGATAGCTATGAGCCTATAGTTAGCTGGATCTGAGCGATCTCCCTTTTTAGGGATCGGATGTACCAGAGCAGTCTTCCAAAACTTTGGAACTATACCCGATGAGTAGCAGAGGCGAAAAAGACGCGTAAGAACTGAAGCCAACTCTGATGCGCACGCCCTAAGTGCAATTGGAGGAATACCATCGGGCCCACCCGACTTATGGATTTCAAGGGAGAAAAAAGCTCTACGCACTGAGCAATGCGTGAATTTAATGTCAGGCATAGAGCTCTTACAACACGAGATAGTCGGTGGTGGTTTCTCCCCGTCATCCAATGTCCAGTTTGACGCAAAGATGGATCCAAGAAGATAGGCCTTTTCTTTAGCGTTCATAGCCAAAGAGTCATTCTCACTGCGCAATGGTGAAAAAATTGACTTATAGAAATTCCCTTGTGCAGAGAGACCAGAAAGCTCGAGTTCCCGAAGGCAAACTAGCCAATCTCTTGCCAATTCTACTTGTCTTTTGAAAGACCTAGAGGCTGAATTGTACTTCTTTTTAAGGGCACTGGTGTTAGGATCTCGCGACACCACATTTTTAGCTCAGGCTAGGAAACATTCCTGTTTTAAACGAGATGCTGTTCTACAAGAGGCTCCATACCAGGGCTGGGATTTCCCGCCGACGGGCACCACAGAATTAGGAATAAATAATTCCATTCCCTGAAGCATCACATCAGCAATGGAATCGGCAATGGCGTCGGGATCATCCAGTGTGAAGCAAATCCTGCCTCCATGCCTGCATCAATCTGCCGATCTGTAGTGCCGAATACGACGTCTACCATATACATCGTCTATCGATGTATATGATCGGATCCCTATAGCTGTTGTTTTTTCTTTTCTTCTTCTGTGTTTTATAATTATTCTTTTCTTCTTCTAATGCACACAGCAGAAATGAAACTGTTTGACTAGACGCCGAAACGAATACGTTCACAACTTAACATCCTGCTGGACGCGTATTCGTATTCTTTCCGATCCAAATGCGATGCTAGTAATTTGGTGGAAACTAAGGGTGGAAATCATCTTGTACATGTATAGGGTATAACTTACTAAAATAACTACAAACTATACAAGAAAACAATTTGACAAAATATTTAGCACCTCTGAGAATGTTTTTGAGTTCTACATATATTGTATATCGCCCACGCTGGTACTATTGGGTCCGTGATTTATATATTTCTTTTATCACATAATTTGTGTTTCTGCTATTAAACTATAACATAATTATAACTTGTCTCCATTTTGAACAGCAGGCTCGCCAATATAATGAGAAAAAGGAGGATTTTTATATAGATTGGTAAGGCATTCCTGACCAAGTCGATTTATATAACTTATATGAAGTAAGTATTCTTAATCTTTGGTTATATACTCTTTGTTAATATAACCTACAAATTCATGTTTGCTTTTTTTGTTTCCTTATTATTGTGTGACCCTATCAAAAAGTAATTCATTCATTAAATACATACAATATTATTTTGATTAAACTTTTGTTAATGTTATCTTAAACAAAATATGTCATCACTAACTCGTTTATTCGTTGGAAATATTCCTGAAAGTACAAATGAAAGCGAGCTACGGTCTGCATTTTCTGTTTATGGAAAAATAACCAATTTGGACATAAAAAGTAAATCAACTAATGAAAATGATCAGAAAAAGTTTGCTTTTGTAACTTTAGCAGCCACAAATTATGATATTGAATCATGTAAGTAGCCTTTAAAGTTACCCACTAGTAATATATTATTTATACTAAATATATCAAACTTGTAATTACTATAATTGCTATGTAGGTTGCCTTAGAATCTGCTTATTTTAGTCGAATTACATATGTCACTCAATGACAATCTGTAGTGACATTAATTAAACATAAAAAACTTCATGTCTAGGTATTAAACATTTTGGAAATGTAGTATTCAATGGCAATCAACTATATGTCACCCGAGCTCGTGAAAGTTTTTTGGAACGCCTGCAAAGAGAACGAGATCAAGTTCATCAAAAGAAAGAAACTGATAAGGTATGTGTTCACTGTCATAATTGGCTGCATTTATATCAAAAAGTTTATATACCAAATTCAAAAATATTATTATTAATATACCTACTATAGTCTATTTCAAATTATTTAATAAAAAAATAGCCAAGTTTTACTGAAATTATCATAGAAACTCTTTAAATGAAATTAGTAACAAGTACATTTTTGATTTGTACTACTTATTGTACATCGGGAGGCTGTCGTTTAATAAGGACCATAATTATTAATTTGTTTATATTTTTATTATTTTCTATTGAAACTAACTATGTATAGCTATTAACTTCTATTTTATTTGTGATACTAGTCCATCATGTTGATTGCCCAAATACTATTGATATGCCAAATTTTGTGTGCTGCTGTTAAGGCATCAAAAAGTAACACTCTTATATTTACAATATTAATAAGGTTTATTTTAATGAGTGATGATTGTGATATAAATTTATAGTATTCATAGTATAGCTTATTATTAAGATTACTTGAAAAAATATATTTGTATATATGGACAAACAGTGTAGGATGATTCCCTGCACTGCATTTGAGGTTGTCACTTCATACCAGACGAATGCAGTGCAGGGAATCAGTGGAGTCAGGTAGCTTAGGACCTTTCCTTATGGCTGTCTATTGAGGAAGCCTATGTTCTGCAGTGCATGGATAATGGCTGAAATAATTATGATGTTGATTTATATGATAATTACAACATTTGAATCACTAAAATAAATATAATACATTATAACTATTGGTAATTTTATTTTTAAGATTGAAATAGACCAACAAGCATTACCTAAAACAAACCCAGTTATAAAATTAGGAGAAAAACTCAATCCTCGTAAAAGGAAAAATGATGCTAAAAGCTGTTTAAGTGATACCACTCACAAACCTGTAACACTGGGAAAATCATTTAAAAAAAGTGCTAATGATAATTTGGTCGATTTTATGCCTGTTAGTGGAGTGAAGAATTTTAATGCACCTGATAAAGATAAAAAGAAACAAGATGCAGATAAGAAGAGAATGGAATCTATTAAACAAAAGAGACAAGAGTTCAAGTATAAACAGATGGTTATAAAAACTGGTTTAGGTGGTATTGTAAGTATTTTACATTTTTTATATTAATGCAGTTATTATTAGAGTCAAGACTTATGATATTCTATTATTTTAGGATAAGGTATCAAACAAAAAGATAATATTTACAGATGATGAAGAAAACACTTCCCAAGACCAACATGTCAATGAAAATAATAAAATGAAAAAGAATACCTTATTTGATGATGATGGTGATAGTGATAATGAAGTTAATTTTGAAATAAAAACACAGTTTGAAGGAAAACAGGGTCAAAAGGTATGTATACTATATTAAAAAAAAATATCTTACTATTATGGACACTAAAAAGTAAAGGATTATAAAAAAAAGGTAATTTTTAAAGCTGAACTGTAGTTGTATATTTTTAAAGTCAGATATGTAGAGGCATTGGAACAACACAGGCAGTTCAGTAAGGTTCATATCCATCCTTATCCTTTTTATAAGTATATTTATATATTACCTCCTATTCCCTCTTCTTTTAACCCTTTCTTATAAACAGTGGAGTTCAGATATGTAGAGTTGAGTTGAATTTGGGGAATAAAAAAAACAATGTCTATATTTGGTGACATCTGAAGGAAAAATAGTTCATTAGTTAAAATTATAAGAATGAGATAATTGAAATTAAAGAATGAAATCATTGGTTATAGGGATTAATCAACACATGAGGAGTTCCATAGATATTACAGTATATTAGGTGAAATTCATGTAGCTATGTTTAAAAAATGGGTGCATGTTCTATTTGTAATGTTATTTTTAATTATATTATTTAAATTGAATAGCTGTCTATTGGCATAGTATTTTTTAATGTAATAGGTACCAGTTTATTTTCATGTAATTTGGTTATGAAAGCTCGACTAGTTTTGTGTGTGAGGTGTTGAGCATACTATCTGTGAAAGTATCGTCAATTTTTAACAATAAAATTGTATTAATTAATTACTTAATGTAATTTCTTTTTATAAAAAACTATAATGGTAGATTAATGATAAAAGTTAATTTTGGACAAGCTATTCTTGTCTATATGTGACTATTACCACTTTCTATCATGCAAAAAATATTTGTTAAATCTGTTGTTACTGTAAAATACTGTTAAAGGTTTTAGATTTGCAATCAAGATACAAAACTGATAAACGTTTCATCTTAGATGAAAGGTTCATTGAAGATGAACAATTGGACATGGAAAATGAACAACAAACCATAGAAGACGATGAAGCTATAGCAGCTGTACAAACAGATGAAAAAGTAAAACAGCTTAATATATTACAAGATGTGCTTGGAGTTGCTATTAAATCTCATCATACCCAACCTAATGATCCTAAAGATAATAAAAAAATCAAGTAAGTGAAATACAAAATATATGTTTTATAGTTTGTAAAGATAGGTTGTAAAAGTTTGCATACAAGAACATGAGACTTGGTAATCAAGCTTTGTCTATAATAATAATATATATATATAATAGTAATTGATATAATGATCTATAATAATAATAAGCAATTATTGCTAACCATTAACAATTTATGGAAAGTATTAATAAAATATAACAGTAATATAATTTGAATCCATATCTCTTGAATTACTTCCCAGATGGCCATTATTAATTTAGCTGATACTATACAGCATTGTTTAGATTAAAAGAAATATTTTTATTATTTTAAGGTCCAAAATGGGCATGCTTCGATTTGACCCAATGCAACCAGACCATGCAAAATTCTTAGCACCTGTAGAAGAGATTAAACAAGATCATACAAAAAAATCGAAAAAGAAAAAACCTAAAGAAAATCCAGAAATGGAATCTCAAACAGAAAAGTTGGACCAAGAAAAAGAGAAAGTTGAAGTTTCTAAAGAACAGTTCTATAAAGTCAGTGAAACGTTGAAAGACACTCTTGAACAACCAACTACATTCAGTTTGAGGAGTTTGTTTTCCAAGAGTGAAAATATTGAAGAAGGTAGAGTACAAGAATATACAGTAGAATCTCTCAATTAATTATTACATAATACTATTTCTAAATCAGTGATTAGACCCTTGAAGAATAAGTCTGGATAATCGAGATTGTACTGTATTTAGAAAATAATGTAATAATTTTAGAGTATATTTATTGATATTAATAAATATCTTGGTTGCTTGACATAAAAGTTTTCAATATTAGCATTATTATAATAAGAATTAATTTTACTAATATTTTTTTTAGAAACCAAAAGTCAAGAATCAACTTATGTACCTCTGGCAACATCAAAAGAGCGTAAAGTAAAAAATCCCTTAGACCCTGGAACGAAAAATCCGTTTGTCTATGATTCATCAGATTCTGAAGTTGAAGAGGAAGAAAAAAAAGAAAATGCGGATCTAATACCAGAAAAAAATGAAAATAAGATAGTGTGGAAAGAAAATTTATTTTTCTCAGAATCAGACGGCAGATTAAAAGGTTCTTGGAATTTTATTATTTATTGATAGTAATATCACCTGACATAAAATAGCTGCAGGAATTTCTGTAAACTTCATTAATAGATTTATATGTTACATAACTATTTTATGGTTAACGTTTTACGTTATAGGCATTTTTAAATAATCATAAAAAACTATCTATTTTATTTAAATAGCATTATCTTTGATTTAAATTATTCCTTTGTTCTATATTTGTGGGTAGTTTGTTTTTTTGTAACAATTTAGTGCTTTTTTTAATGGGTTATAAAGGAATGGTAACCTTGTTTATTATCGTTGTACATTGGTGGTGCTTCAGTTAGGGATGATTGGTGAGATTGAAAAGACAGGTCAATTAGCCCATCGTGATGAATCAGTCTGGAATTAAGAATAAATTTCCAGAGGTATCCACATGATGGTTTAGGATATATTGCTAAGAATAGGGACTCGCATCTCCATCACTAACAATCCCCTTCCTCCTGAACAATTATTATTAATATATAAGCCATTTTGGGGGGTATTGCCAGAAGATGCCTTGCTTGGTAGGCGGATTGGCAAGTGCAGTTAGGCTTTGGTAATATTTTAACTTTTTCATCTAGTTGTTTAATGCAATGTGTCACATTAATACGTCTGTTTTTTCGGAATTGTTTCAACTTTTATTTTATCAATTAATAAAAGGTTTATCTTGATAACTATTAAAGTATTGATGGCTAATTCAATTGCATTTTCAGACGGCTTGGATTTCTTTAATAAAATTAGTCAAGATGAAAAGAAGAGAAAAGAGAAAAGACAAAAGGAAAGAAGAGAATTAAAGTCGCTCATGAAGAAACGGATATATAATAAAGAAAGAAAGAGTCAAATGTTCCAAAAGAAAATAGGAGGACGGAAAAAATCATTAAAAAAGAGCTACAATAAAAGAAAAAGTTAATTTAGTATTAAATAATAATGAATTTTCAATTGTAAATGTTAATAAAAACTTAATTATTATTAGTGAAATTTTTATTAAGAATAATCTACATCAAGTTTGTATATAAACTTTATCGCCTCTTCCAAGTTGGTTTCTTTCTAGCTCCAGGTTGACCAGGCTTCTTACGTTCACGACGTCTGTGATCACGAGTCAGCAAGCCAGCCACTTGCATTTTCTCCAACATATCTTTATCAACAAAACTACGCAATCCCCAAGCTATACCCCACCTAATAGCACCAGACTGACCTGATGGTCCACCTCCTTCGATGTTGCATTCCACGTCAACACGGTCCTGCATATTTGTAAAGAATAATGGGAACATAACTTGTTCTCTAGGTTGCACATCCTCGAAATAAGTCAAATCTTTACCGTTTATAGTAATTTTACCTGTTCCAGGAACACGAATAGTCACATCACCCCTGGCTTTTTTTCTTAAACATTCATAAGTGGTAACAAAGGCTCTACCTTCATCATCATAGCTAGGTTTAGGTATTTCTAAAGCAAACCTTTGAGTAACCAATGGTTTTCTATATTTTTCAATAAATTCCTTATGTCTGTATGCATAAGGAAGAGAGATTAATCTCTCCATTAATAATTTAAAATTGTCATACTCCAAATCTGTGATACTTTCTACCAAAACTTGTTCAAGTTGCTCCTTAGTCAACCAAATACTATTATCTATATTGAGTTCACCATTAGGATCAGGCACTGCTTTTTTTCTAATAACCTTGTCTTCAAAATTATAAGCCTGTTGAATATGTTCAGCACCATCATGTAATAATTTGAAGAAATTTGGTTTCCCTGTGTAGAATAAAAAATGGTGTGGTCTTCCCGCTTCATCAAATTCAGCTGCTTTGCGGGCTGGAAATACTTCTTCAGGAGGTTTCATTAAAGGACGAGCTGCAGGGTCATAGATACCACTAGGAAATAGATATTCAATGGCCCGGTCTACGTCTTTTTGAGTAAACGTTTCTGGATCTTCACCCATCATATTTGCGAGATGTCTCTTTCCAATTTTGTATTCGAATTCTTGTTTCTTCATAAATTCATCATGCTCTTTAGCTCTTTCCAAATACGCCTTCATAGCTTTACTTATTTTTTTCTTTTTACTTAATGTTTCCCAGTCGGTCATATTATCTAGGGCATGATTTGTCGTAGGGACATTTTTAGAAGTATATTTGCAAACATTGTTCAAGATTATATTTTTAACGTAACATTTGCTTATAGGAAATAAATGTTTTACACTAAAACAAAGTGCCATTTTTGAACTTGTAGTACCAAAGTCAATAAAGGTTATTAATTTTAATAATTTACTAAACAAGCAAGAAAATCATTTTAATATATATATATATATATAGTTAATCTAAAACATTCTAACCTAAAAACAGGTTACATCAATGTTGCTAGATAAAATAGATGAGAATTTACTAATAATTGGCCTTCATGTAGTCCGAAGTAGCAATGTGCGTATTTAATAACGATTACAAATTTATTCGACTGAGCAATTAATTTGATGTTAGCTGTGAACCGTGAACTCCATTTTTAATCTGGTATTTACAACATAAACTAATGTGTATTGGTTATGGTAGAAAATATTTTTTTAAATGTCTCGCTGTGTTTCCTAAATTGTAACATGGTCAGCTTATCAAAATTTTCTCTTCGCAAATTACCGAGTTTAATTCAGATTATCTCATAGAGTACCTGCAAAACGTTCATTTGAATTATTTGAATGAATCCGAAAATTATTCGTGTTCTGATTTTATTCACTATATTGTAACGATCGGTAAAATCATTATTTAGTAATTATTTTGTACGACTCGGTACAAACGTATTTTTAATGTTGCCAATTTAACATATTTGGTTATAATTAGCAAATTTTGAAGCTTATCAGTTATCAAGAAAAGAAATATTCAGTTAATTACTAGTAAAGATGTTGAATTACAATTACTGAACACATTTTTGTCGTTTTATAGCTTATTCACTATCAACTGTTCTTAAAATAGTAGATACATGATACTTACGTACTTTTGTAATTCATTTATAAACAATGGATTTTATAATTCATTATCTTGTATCGTAAGCCACTTTTGGTGTGTAAATTTTAAAATTTTGCAATTTGATAACGGAGGAGTAACAGTTGCCACAGACGTTTTCTCTTCACCGGCGTATATAGAAAAAAAAAAAATTGTATTTATGTGAATTTTGCAACTAGGTATTTGATGGCTATATGTTATCGACGACAATTTATAGTTTTAATTTCTTTATTATGTGTATATGTTATATAGTAATAAAATCACAACACATAATTAATGAATTTTGTTTCTGTGATATGCAATGTAAATTATGTTTAAGCTATGTCTATTCATATACAAAGAGTATTGCATAGTGCACTATCAATTCGATGATACGATCGATATTTTCAATATAATTCATTTGGTACTATCTACTCACTCGATACAATAGATCGATAGCTCGATTGGACAATCAGTTCATTCACACTAGTTATTCTCTCCAACAATTTATCTCAATTCATGTAAGCAAAGCCGCTAAATAAAGCCAGAAGGTTAGGTAACAAAAACTCATTGTAGCAATTACGTACCATGCTATTATTAGTGCGTTGTAATTTATAAGAGAAAAAAAATATATGAATATATAAAAGGTAAAAATATAGGTACTCAGTTATATCTATTAAGTAGTTAAAGGTATTTAAATCAATGTTTTGTTTTCATTATTATTCGTTTAGATCGATTTATTACTTACAAGAGACGCAAGGGTGTGGGGTCCTAAAATCGAACGGAGGTTCCTCATGTAATTAGTACTCAATGAGTACATTCATATACTCTAACCCTAGTGCGCATTACTTAGCCATCGTCGAGAAAAAATTCCTAGTTTGAAATAATTTTGTTTTTAATTTATATTTAAATTTAATAAATATTATAAACAATATCTTTTCAACTTTTATACATTGTTGAACCGCGAATTTAATAATTTCTAACTTTTTTACATTAAACACATGGAAATTTATTATCAAATTTTAATACAAATAAATTTTTTTTTTCAAACTTCTGGATTTTTTTTTGCAATGATTAAGTAGTGCGCTCTAGGGTTTGAATATATGAATACACTCACTGAGTGCTAACTACACACGGAACCTCCGTTCGATTTGAGGACCCCATACCCTTGCTGTTTCCTTGTTAGTAAAATTATTCGAATACGAAAATTAGTATATTACTAAATAGTAGTGGAATCACAAAATTAGTTATTACTACTTTTCGCATAACTAAATCATACGGATACGCGCACTACTAATGGATGACAAACTGTTGGTCAGATAGTAATATTATAGAGGCAATATAAGGTTACGATATTAATCTTTTATTATTTTATTAAAACATCAGGAAATGGAATAAGGGATATATTAAAATATAAGAACTGTAGTTTCCATTTCAATATCCTAATAGATATTATTCTTCAAAATTGTCTGAGAACCAGCTACAGTTATGTATAGGATATTATTTATCTTTAGCGGTTATTGGTAAACTGGTTTTATATTGCGGAATGCTTGTATCGTCCAGTTTACGTTCCATATTGAAACTTAAATATTCAAGTATAAAAAATAATACAAGCGTGATTAAGTAATATAAAATCTATTGCTACATATCTCATAACACAAATAATCCACTTATTTTTAATACTGTGTCACTAATTACACATTAAATGAGTCGCAGATAAAATATAAATTGCAGCAGTAGTATACAATCTATGAGTCACATTAGTTGTCTCCGTATGAAGAATTTATTATAAAATTTAAAATGTATGATTTTATTAATTATACTGACTACTTTCTGATATCAATATCCTTTAAATATAATACATGTTCTAGAACATTCATATGATATTAAGGTAGATATGAAAACTAGTGTTCTGCAACTTTGCATTTTTATCACTTTGCAGATAACTATTTATAGTTAGATTGAAAATAAATAAATTATACAATGAGAAAGCACTGTGATATTTGCATGGTTGCAGAATACCTTTTAGAATCCAGTATTGTAATCAAATACAATTTTTTAACATAACTATCATCACAATTTAGGACACTAGTTATAACTCCAACCTCTGGTTTCCGAATTGATTATTATTTAAATATGTACCGCAATTCAATATCAAATCTAAGATGTTTATAAAGCGTATTCAATCATACTTAAATATCTATATTCAATTCAGAAATCAGTTGTAAGTAATATTGTTTGATTGAATGATACTTATTTGTCAATTCTTACGCAAGCACAATGTCTTAATTTACAATAAGAATTAATGATAATAAATTATGCGACTGATTTTATATTTATTTGAATTAATGTATAAAAGGTTACAGCAATAATAATAATCTGTTCCAATTGATAATAACAATCCATTTTTTTATACTTTAATTTTAGTGGTATTCAAATAATATAAAAGAACTATGGCGACTAATAGATAAGGATACTATATTTTTTATAGACTTATTTACATACATGTAAACAATATTGGTATGTCATTTACACAATAACAAAATAAGAATAAATACAGATAAAAAAATTTCATAATACAGGATCATTTAATAATCAAAAACCTTTTAAAGTATTTATTTTTTAAACTGTTATTAGTTAAAAAAATTTAAGTACCAATGCTTTTTATTTATTACATTAAATAAGAAAATGCTATACACATAGATTAAAGATGCTGTAAGTTGCCATTTTGTATACGATGTGAAGTGCTAGCACTTTTTTAATAATAATGAGACATGTATTTGTAAGTAAAATGAATTTATGATTTGCTGCTTGAATTAAACTTTCATGGTGGAACTTTATTATTATTATATTAACTATATGATACTACAATAGAAAGAACAGTACTATTTAGTATTTTGATTTACTAAATTTAAAATATTTTTTGTAAATAATCTGGAAAATAATGTTTAGAAAACAGGTTGCGTGTCCAATTGTAAACATAATAAATAGATTTTACAATATAAGAGTGGAACATTGTATATGTAACTTAAATAATATCATATAGTCGATATTTTAATTTAATTCTTACTATATATTAATGTGTTTGAACAGATTTTATAATTATACTGTAATTATGAATGTATTTAGTCTATACGAAAAGGCACAGTTAAAGTACGAGTATCAACTTTTACACCTGCATTTATAGATCAGGAGGAAACAAGCGAGGATTTAGTACAATGTATATTGGTAATCTCAGAGAGATATTAAATTTTAAAGAAATGTCTATTATTTGAGTATGGAGGTGCGAAGAGTGAATAATTGACCTATGCATTTTTAATATCAAATTCATAATTATAAAAACAATTCTATAATATAATCAACAAAATTAGATTTTTATTACTTTCATTATAATTTGTGGCAAAATTATATTTTCGCATATCAATTAACAAAAATCCTGATAAAACATCTGAAACCCCAATTAGGATTACTGCTGTGAGTTTATTTTAATTTACAATCAACAATTTTTGAACTGAAAATTTAATTATATTACATAAATTATAAACTTACATATATTGATAGACGTTTACATAATAAATTTTTTTATATCAAACGTTTTTATCCCAATATTGCACTTATATGGAATGAAGTTAAGATTATTTCTTACTACTTATAAAGTGGAATGGTTACTTTATTACTTAATGGTTAACATTTTGATTTTAACTACTTTTTTTTTTATAAATGCTAATCATAAGAGACTAGGAATAACAAAGCGTGTTTTACACAACAAACCGGTGTTTAAATTCTTTTAAAGATAATTTGCAGTCAAAGAGTATAGTCCATTCAGAGTACTTTTGTCTCCTCACGCGTAAGTACGCGAGGCAACAAAAGTATATTTTGAATTATTCAGAGAGAAATAATTAATAATCCAAGAAACATTACAATACTTCACAATTGATTTATCTAAAAATCGACACTAATATAAAAGCAATATTAAAACATCTAATTTTACTAATTTTCTATAAATAATAAAACCGCCATTACAAGTACTGTTTTCTTATTATTTATATGTGATGCCATTGATCTGCTGATGCAATAATTTTAATGCAATCTTTGGATACATTCCTTTAAATGCAAGATTCTAGGAACGTTTGTCCAAATACTTTTTGCTTCATATTAGTGCAAGTCAGAGATTAGTTAAATGAGATCTATCACGAAACATGGGCGCTTGTGGTCCACATTATACTATACATGACTACATTAAAACCCGGTGCGCCTCAGTGTTGAAGCAAATCCTCTTGTGAGTGGTTTGTGTACTGTGCTACGTCGGATCGTCTGATGACATCAGGGCCTCTGATTGTTCGTCGAGATCTGGTATATTTCTTATTGCCCTATGAAATTATCAATTAAATTAATTACCATTTTATCAACGTTACATAATATTTTAAATTTATGTAATTGTAGATATTTAATTAAAAGCAAGAATGCGGAGAAAATAAATGCTATTTTCGTTTTTGAAATAAGAGTAGTAGTAACAATAGCATGGTTTTCAGAAGAATTCAAAAGAATTATTACTATTACTAATTATTAGTGATAAAGTATTACTAGTTAAAAGGGTTTATATTTATTAAGAAGTCTTTAGTTTTTATGAATAAGTTTCACAACGTCAAGTTGAGTGTAGATACATACGTGAACCCTTCGGCGGCTCGAAGACGCGTGTTAATCCACGCGAATGGCGTCAGCGAACGCGGCAAGTCGAGCGAGCCGACGAGCCAGCCGCCGGCCGCCAGCACGGCCGCGGCGCCGCGCCACGCGCCGCCCGCGCCGCCGCCGCGCCACGCCTCCACCCCCGCCGACAGCGGCGCCACTAGCGCCAACATGCACGTCGCCGTCTGACACGAGGTCAGCGACCGACCCCTGATGGACACCATGATTATGTGATTTGTATTTTTTATTGCCAATAGTTACCACGCTTCGCAGGCGGGTTGGCAACCGCAGGTAGCTTTTAAGAGGGATGCTGTCGCCCTCAACCATTAAGTCTAAGTAAGTGTAAATATCTATATTTATACTATAATAGTTAATACTGGAAAAATTAATGTAATCAAATTAATTGTAATTCTGCAACAGGCTATATATATATATATATATATATATATATATATATATATATATATATATATATATATATATAATATTAATAAGATTACATTATATATATATATATATATATATATATATATATATAAAGGCTATTATTATTATAATGAATAGATAAATCATTCAGGAGTAAGAAAGCTTATGATTTTGCATATACAATCTTACCACAGCCATAGCGATTCAATTAGTAGCGGCCCCACGGCTGCGTCGAGCAGTAGCCAGCTCCAGAGCCTGGGCGGTGGCAGTTCGGCTGGCTCTACACCTACGGCAGCTAGTACGCCGCCCATCGCCCATGCTATGCATCCACAGGCGCATCCCACCAAACCTACAGATTTAAATGTATACTGCTATTAGGTATACATATTTTTGGATAAATTGTAAATTAATTGGTAATGATTAAATAATCAGAAAGCAATTTTTAATAATTATTTAATTTTTAACTGACTACCTAATAATGTTTTCAGTGCGTCATTATGTGTAATAGATAATGTGTTAATGAGTATGTTTATGTGAGGAATCATCAACATAAGATACAGTGAAACATATCAATACAATACACTAGTAAATTATAGTTTACTATTCTTAAATCCAGAGGTAACCATATCATGCTTTGTTTGTGAAACATTAATACATGTTATTAAATTAGAACATGTAGTTTAAATAAGAGATAGTAGGAAAATGAATGAGTGATGAAAATTATGATGGTCAATATAATATGGAATAGTCAATCTTCGAGTGTTGGCAGTCGTATGCATACAAATGGTAGTAGAATTAAACAAACTAATTATAATTGAATAACCAGTGATATGGACTTCCACAAGATAAGACATAGTTTAATAAAATAATTATGAATAAATTATTAAAATTGAATGTAAATCAAATAATATATAATGTTAGTACATACAGTTGGTTTTTTATACTTGGCATTTTTAGTAAACAATAGGGGGTGTCTTTTTTATCAAATAACAGGCTTAATTAAATTGCAAAAAAAGGAAAGAAATTATAAGATAGCATTTCTAGTGCATTGAACAAATTATTTTGTAAAATTATTTTAAAGTTTAACAAACAGTGTTAAACTTTAATAATCTTATTAATATTATCAATATGAAAGTGAATTTGTTTATTATATTATAGAACTTTAACAGACTAATCAATCATTATGAAAATTGGTGTATATATACTACATGGGATAGAAAAGGATATAAGTTATTTTTCATCCTAGTCATGTGGACAAATTGTGGGTAAAAACTAGTAATAAATATTTGATTCATATCTTAACTGACACTTCTATATAATAACAGTATAAATAAATATGGCGACCATAAATGATTTAATAGATTTTAATAAATAGGGTTTTTGTTGGGTGTGAGTGTTATAAGTTATATAATGATAAAAACATAAATTTTCATTAAACACTTTTTATAAAGTTTGCTACTTATCATAATTTTATATATCACTCACCAACAAGCAATGGAGAGTTGATGCCATCACCTTTCTTTAATTCTTGCCGATACATTAAAAGATGCATTGCATAGAATAAAGCGGAGCCGAGGGCAGACAATACAGCTTTCCAGTTATTCTGACTTTCTGATAAAGCTAACACCACCTAGAAGAGACACTTCTTTTTTTAAAAAGATAAACATGTTTTGTCAGTTCATTTGTACTTATTCTCAATTTTACGGTCTTTTTTGCATGTGTAATACATGACATCTTTGTGGAATATAAACTATTTATTTATCATTTATTAATAAATAAAAAACATGAAGTTCCAAATTTTTTTTAACTAAAAAAATTTAATTTAAGTCTCAGAGTGATTTGATTTTGTAAAAATTAGTAAATTTTACAATAAAACTAATAAAATTCAATATATATGAAAGCTTACCAGACCAGCAGCTGTAAGTAAAACAGCGACACTCTTGGATAGGTTGAATCGGTCGCCGGGTGCTTGAGTAAATATAGCGCCCAGTGAGAGTGCTACTGCCCCCGTTGTCGACGTGTAGATTGTCGTCGTACTGGCCCCGCTGTGCTTTAAGCTCAGTCGGTATAGGTAGTTTGATATGAACCACTGAAAGAAATAAATGTCACACGATCAGACTAATCGCCTGTTCCTCAAGTTACGATATTCTGGGATATGAGCAACTAGATAAGGAACATCTGGGGGCACAATCCAGAATACCCAGACTCGTAACTTAGAAATGTTGTATCAAATCTCGAACCTCATTTACGAAAAGTTATGTGCTTACCATTGTACCACGTCGTTAAAACTATAGTTATTATAAAATTACAAAATAATTTTAGTCAAATAACTAGTGATATGGACTTTTGTAAGGCAAAAGTTAATTTCTAGTGAAATTGTCATGATAGGTCAACTGAGCTGACTTCCTTCTCACTTATCATTCTTAATTAGGAATATCAGTCATCATTTTTATGCATAAAAGAAAAACATACGGGTACAGCGAACATGAGCGCGAGCCGCAGGTGGCGGCGCGTAGCGGCGGCGGCGGCGCGCCGCTGCGCGTGTTCGCTGGCGCGCACCGACGCCGCCCACGACAGCCGCGCCAGCAGCGCCTCGCCCGCCATCGCCGCGGACATCACGCGCACCTGGACAATCATCATTTACCTTACATTTCTGACACAGTTTACATTAATATACAAAAAAAACTTTAAGCTTTGTCTATGGTACCCTTCATGTCTATAGGCGATGGTTATCACTTTCCATTAGATGCCATCAGCATGTCTAGCATTCTAAGTTGCATAAAAAAAGTGTCATGAAACTTAAATTTAAACTTGAATTTACAAGGTACAGGATAACACCAGTCCTTAGGAATAGCAACACATGGGGGGTATCATGGGAGAAACAGTATACTCTGTTATGTCCATGGTACTGCTCATGTTTACAGGCAATGGTTACCAATTTCCATCAGGTGGGCCCTCAAGTTGTTTGCCATTCTAATTTGCAAAAAAAAAAAATATTTGTTGTATATGCAATATATATTTTGATGAAAAAGTATTATAAAAAAATGTTTACTATGAGATTTACATAAGCACAATTCATATTTTATACATATCTCACAATATGTATAAAACTTGAAGCTACACTATAGAAATAATATCTATTTATGTATGCATAATGAAAAAAAGAATTACATAAAATAAAAATATTAATTAGGTAAGAATTTCAAAGTATACAATTTTCAAGGTGGAAAAATTATAACTAAATATATTAGTAGACTTACACTAATATTAAGTAAAATATTATTAATGTTAATGATAATAATTCTCACCTCTGCTACTTTATTGAATCGTACAGCTCTTGGAGCTGCATCATCACTGTCAGTGGTCTCTCCAGCACGGACTGGTACGAATGTAGAATCACCCTAGAATTAGTTATTAATCATATGAATTTTAATTATAATATCACTTTATATAGTTATCATGAACAGCTTAGGTCTGAGGATAAAGGGTTCAGTTAGCATTACAGTTAATGTTTTTATACTAAAATAATAGCAACTAAGAAATATATATAACATTTATAGTAGTAATTGTCAGCACTTAGTAAAATTTTATCATTATCATCATCATTTCAGCCATTATCTATGAACTGTTTAACATATGCCTTCCCCACAGATTGCATTAAAAAACCACCTGCATCCAGTGACATCCTGCAATGCATTTGAGGTCTTCACTTTAGTTGTATGCATATGCAGGGTTTTAAAAAAATAATTATATATTGATATTATTAAAAAAACACCATTATTTAATAATGTGGTAAATAGTGATGCCTACTATAGTAGTAGTAATGAGTAGGTAGGTAGATGCATTTGTCAATTATTGTTGTGAACACAATACTCGACATGTCCAAAGTGCAATAAATTTAAATTATCCACCCTAATATTAAGTAATCCATATAGGATTACTATTTTGTCAACTAATAATTTTCCAACAATAATTAAGTATATATAAGTAAAACAAATTTAAGATAATACTAACCAAACTATTGGTGGTTTCACTAAAATAGTTTTCATCATCTGTTTCAGCAGAATGTTCTAATAATTGCTGCAATACAAAAATAAAAAGTTATATAGAAAAGAGTATCAGTGGAAATAGAAGGTTATGATGTTATGACACAAATTTTAATAATCACCTCATAATTTATATGAATTTTAATATTTTACTACCAGCTATTATAAAGCTTTATCCATATAAATTATGATAAAAGTATACAGTTTATCTAGCTTAAGGTATATATACATTAATTTGATTTGATTCAGTATAGCAATTTAAGCATTATCAATAAAAAATGTTTATATGATCCTAACACATATCTTCTGAAATTTGATCTAAAATACCAAACAGATAGATAAGCTATTAAATGGAAACTGGCAATATAGCTACCTATAGCTATAAACAGTATCAAGTACATTTTTGATATACCTATATATATATATATATATGTATATATATTAGAGATACCCCTATATTGTTCATTTATTCCATTCCTGGGAACTAAGGTGTTATACATTTACACCTACTAATTTCATTATAACCTATTCTTTAAAAATATAGTCATGCAATAACAACTGCTGAGATTAACTTATGTAAAACTTTTGTAAAAAAAACAAAAAATTTAAAGTAAGAAGACTTTTGTACTTTATGGTGATTATTTTATTCGATAATATATAACAAAGCAAAAACAACTATATGGCTTATTAGAGGGTTAGCATATCTTAGCTTATATATTGAAAATTATCTATAAATGATGATGACACCACATACAATCTTGGGTATTAAATATCATACATATTCATTGAATGGTTTAGACCCAAATTTTAAATTTAGAATCTCAGTAAGACTTAAATAAAGGCCAGAGAATAATATTATGGATTAACTATAATGTCCTATAACTGCCAGTGTATTCAACTCGTGACTTAACATTGTCATTTAAATGTTTAGTTAATTAAAACATTAAATTATCATTAAGGATTAAATTACATTTAGATATTTAAATAACCCAATTATATTTACCTATTTTGAAACAAATGTTTTTCTGGATGCATACTTACAGTGTAATCAACAGGTCGACAAGGATCCCTTGTAGGTGGTGTGAAACACAACACCAATAGGTATACAAATAAGAGTGAACTACGAACATAGGTTACTAGGAATGGTCTCTCTAGCTTCTTTTCTACATATATATACTGGAAAATAAACAAATACATTGTTGAAAAATAAACTTAATTTTACAGTTTATTCATTTTATAGTTATATAAATATAAAGACAAAAACTTACTTTGGTCACCTCTGATGACAAAACCCACAATATAACAACCAGTAGTAGTAAGAATAAACCAAACGCAAATTTTCTACGACTAAAGTGTGGATTACCATCTTTGCTATTTTTACCAAGGGAGGAAATTCGAAAATAATCGTGACATAGAGTTAACATGAAGATGATTTTCAACGAATATACAAAGAGAAAACTTGAATGCACGTTACGAGTTGATATGGTTCATAGTGTTTTAGCCGGATTATTCGGCAATCGCTCATATATGATATTATCCGTCCACTTCTAATGCGTTATAATATATGTTATGATTTATAAATAACAATAAATATTGTAAATATAAGATTTTCGTATTAGGAACTGAATATTGTGATGGTTTCCAATTATTTAACTTTTTTATTGACATTTAGTTAAATGTTAAACGTAATGTCAATGTCACTCAAAGACTACCTCAAAGAGAAGATACAGAATTTGAATTTAAATACAGATCGAAGAGACTAGTCCGCTGGACTGAACCATTCAATTTCAAAAACCTAATTGTGTTGACTTCGAAATATAATTTTGTACAAATCTATGCAAACCAGTTAATTGAATTTGAATATTTTAAAAACAAATTAATGTTTTGGTATATCTTTTAATATCAATATTTTAGCAATGTTATAGTACTATGTGTTGTGAAACCTCTTTATATTTCGTTATTTTTATTTTTCTGTCAATGACAATAATTTGAATATTTTTTTGATGTTCTTTCTTATGGAATTGAACAATTTTCTGAACTTATCATCTACTGTTTTTCTCCACCTGCTTCCATCGAAACCTAATTTTATTTTATTTTTATTATTCGGATTACTCCACTATGCATATTAATTTCTTATAATCGGAAAAAACAGAGTGAGGTCATTAATTTTCCGTTACATATGTATATAAACATATGATAAAAAATAAACACATATTTAAAAAAATAATATTATATTGATATTTATTTTTAAAATAAATCTATGCAACCAGCATAGATTTATATTCTAGTTTTGTCAATATGAGAAATAAGAGAATAGTGCTGACTCTTCAGTAATTTAATGACATTCCATCACTTTTCGTATGCTTATTGAAATTTTAATAATTTCTATTAAAAATAAATATTTAGATAAGATTCGTAATTCTATTGGGTATTACTTTATTAAGCATTTATCTCGTAATTTAAAAATAATAGAATAGTACAAAATTGGCATAGGTGAAAATTTAACCTAACTTCTTAATCTTATTTTAATAGCAAGTCAAAATGAGCGCTTGTAATGTAGAAGTTATAAAATTAATCGGAAAGTATTTGAATACCCCTGTGGGGCCCGTTTGCTATAACACTGATAGGGTAAGTTTGAGTGTTAAATATTTCAGTGGTAAAATTTTATAATTGTAATTCCAAATCCCTTGCGAGTTAGCAAAAACCATTGAATTCGAAAGGCTTTTCTATATTTGCATCTATTTATTGCTTTAATCACTTTTAAAACTTTCCAGTTAATTTTGTCGTGACACCTCTCTCAAATATAACAATATTTGATCAGGTTTCTTCTGTTATCTACGACAATCTGTTTTCGTTTTTTATGTTTTTTTTTTATACAACTTAGAATGGCAAACAAGCTGACGACCCACCTGATGGAAAGTGGTAACCGTCGCCTAGAGACATTAGCAGTACCATGGACATAACAGAGTATACTGTTTCGCCCATAATACCCCCCATGCATTGCCATTCCTGAGGACTTAGATGTTATTCCTCTGTACCCTGTAAATTCACGCCATATCTCACCCTTCAAACCGAAACACAGTTATGCAAACACAACTGCTTCATGGTAAATTATTAAAAGGCATAAATAATTAATGTCGAAGTAAAGGTTGACTAAACACAACCTATTATCTTACATTATTATTTATATGCCTTCATTAATGTAGCATTCTAATTGTTAAGTTCATGCAGATTCTTTTAAATAGTTCTCTTTACTTAATATGTAAATGTTTTTTTTTCATAAATGCAATTTTTTAGGTATTGACAACAGTATTGGATAAGCAAAACGTAGATGGTTTTGCTAGTATTGTGTTAAGATTGGTATCGAAAAATGAAAATAAAATGTCACAAGATAAATTATTAGCAAGTTATCAATGGCTAGAACACATAGCCATGTTTTCCAACCAAGCTATAACTAATCCTATTTTTGCTAAGAATTTTTTACAGGTGAGTAATAAGTTTATATAATAATTAACATTTAAATATGTAAATGAGTTATTGTGCTGATTAAATTTAAATTTACAGGATATTAATAAGGCCTTAGAAAAGAGCACATATCTAACTGGTGATTTTTTAAATATAACAGATATTGCAGCTTACTATGTATTATATCCTTTGATTGTAAGTATACCTACTTTTTTAAATGTTCTATTAAATAAGTTAACACATTTGTTTCAATTGCCTCAAAATACTTCAGCTATTTTGATAATATTTTCATAGTGATTTGTTATGAAACATTCATAGGAAATTGAAAAATAATTAAATTATTAATGTATAAAATAACCACCCCATTACATATTACCTACATTTACATTCCACAAAATTTTTATTATAACTAAGTACTTTTTTATTTTAATAAAAAGACATTACAAAGTTGTTTGTTTAATATTTAGTATTTATATCTATAGTTAAGTAATTTTTAACATTCTGTGGTTTTGATCCAATATTTTATTTGATTCTTAATAGCTAGAAAAATTGTTGTAAAAAAATATAAGTTTATCTACTATATAATTTGTAAACAATTAGGTGTAGCTGTGTTGTAAATATTTTTTTACTTATCTAAAAGTTATACTTTCAGGAACGTCTTACTATTTCTGAACGTGAATCATTGCTTCATCTGTGTAGGTGGTCAAAACATATACAAGCTCAACCCAAAGTGTGCGCGAGCAAGCCACCTCTACATCTCAATACTTTAACATTGTCGGTACTAGCTCCTACTGTAGTACATTAATTTTATTATATATACTGACATGTGAAATATTACTATTGTATTAAAAATTTACTCAAACAATATATTGAGCAGCATTTTAATAATATAACATTACAGTAATTTTAAAATTGTAAATAAACAATGATAATATATTTCTGTAATAAAAAAGGGTGTCATATTAAATGGAAAGTAACATTCAACATTTTCAATTTTTTATGAATTAGATATATGTATATATAAAAATAGTTATATCTTAGAAGTATTAAAAGCAAATACAGTATTGATATTTTGTAACTATATAAATCGTTAGATGTGAGGAAACAAAAAATTATATGCATATGGAATTTCCCTTTTGTATGAATCCATTTAAGAATGTAGAAATGAACCATTCTATAAATTTATTTGCTTTCATGGCTAAACATTATATTTTAAAAGAAATATGTCAAATATCTATTTAGTGAATATTTATTGGGAATATGTATTAATCGACACAATAAATTTTTAAGCTGAAACTTGTTTTAAAAAATTTACATCAGTAATTTATCCATAAGTACATCTAGTCAAAGTGGTATGTATAGGTGTATTATGTACGATTACATTACTGTTTTTATTAGTTTCAATAGGTTAGGTAGTCAATTAGGTGTCTTTAAACATAGAAACTTATCCATGCCCATCCAGGTCCATGAGCTATGAACCCTGAGACTTATCTGGGATGAGAAAAATCGATTTTACGTTTTTTTTTATACTACGAAGGTAGTAAACAAGCATACAGCCTGTCTCATGGTAAACGGTTACTGTACCTATGGATGCTTGTAATGCTAGGGGGTGTAACGTGCGCGTTGCCGACCCTGAAGAAACCTTAATATATCCTTATGGCCGTAGATATATACGGATATAATACGCACAACCGCCCAAATGAGAGGCTAAACGCGGAAAAGAGTGTTCAATTTACATTATGGTCGTAGATAGTTTCTTTGAGGGACAATGACCTACCTTAAAAGACCCAATGACCTACCTTAAAATGAAAGGTTCCAAGAAAATTATGGCTTCTGCCCTATCAAAAAGTTCTTTTGCCCTACCCTAAATTTGAGTCTATGGCTCTGTATACCCTTTTAAAAATATTAATTGTTATATTGCATTTTAAAATAAAGATTAAAATTTTGTTTCACATGAAATATACTTTGGTGTTTACAAAATAATTGCCTACTTATCGTCTACAGTAAAATCATCATTATGATCTTCGCTTTATTATATACGTAGGGATGTGAAGGTTCAAAGAAGTGTCATAAACAACAATAAATCCTGTTCCACATAAAAAATCGACTTCAATTGTGGCAAAAACAGTTATTTTGATTAATAACGTAAACTACGGAACCTATTTTGATAAAACTTCTATGCGACCAATCCGTAAGTATATTTTTTCAGATAAAATAAGAATTTTCCAAATCGGTTTCATTCGTTTTTCATTTCAAACTGTTGTTTAGGTATATACAAGTACTACCATTAAATGCAGCAATGTAAGCCACAAAGAACATTAAATCTATATAAAGCATGTTTATAAATAATGAAATTTTAATTAAAATTTAAAATAGTCGTTTGAATGTAAACATTTGTAGGTATAAACTTCAAACGATTTGATACATTTTTAAATGAAATAAAATTGCAATGGAATACGTTAATATTTTAATATTAGTACTTGTAACGTGTACCTTTAAATATTGTGTATGTGTGTAATAATTGTCATACGCTTAATTATTATATATTAGTTTTTATCCGCTACTTCGTATGTGCAGAATTTTGAAGTTGGAACACCAATAAAATACATCATTTCTAGATGGCGTATTAAGATAAAACATATACCAGATTGTAAATTAGACCATTAAGGATACAGTTGTTGAAAACCCCTTCCAATTTAATACAGTAGCTTTTGCGTGATGCCGGAACAAATATATAGACAGACAAAATTTTGAAAATTTAATATTTTGGTTTCTATTGCTCTTATCAAGACCCCTCATATCAAATTCTTATATATCTCTATGTAGTGCACAGTATTTAGACTTACCTACTCGCAAATTAATTATAACATACTAATATATAAACCAGGAGATTGTTTGTTTGTTGGCACTCGTTAATTTCTAGAACTACCAAGTGGATATAATTTTTTTGCATTTGATTGCTTATTTCTTGAGGTTTTAGGACCGCGGGATGCAGCGAGTAGGTATATAGGATTAGTTGTGAAAGGTATTATAGGTGTACATAGTAGGTACTAGGTATAAATAAGTAGCACTAAGATACGTGTTACTACTTACTTATTAGATATTGAGTGATCTTAATAAGCCGAAATCATATGATATGTTTTTCTTATTGATTGAAAATGGAATGTTGTCCCGGAACTCCAGTGAGGTATAATAGGTGAGGATGAAAGTCGGTCAGTTTTTCCGTCGTGACGAATTCGACCAGAATTAACAACGATGGTTTCCATGGAGAACAGCAAAAGTAAAGGTAGACCTGATAGCAATGGAGCTGTTAGATTCCATTATTAACAATTCCCTCCCCTCATATAGGTTAGGTGCCTATTTTTTATGAAATATGAAAATGGCAATTTTTTTTATGAATATTATTTGGAATATGAAAATAATTTATGAATCTTTATACAAATCCGGCGATTATATGATGGATTCCAATTTCAGTAAGTATAGTAGAAAATGTATAAAAAATCTATTTATTATCATTTTAGGAACTGAAAACTGTACTACAAGAGCCATTGCCTAGACAGGTGTATCCTCATGAGCTAAGAAATACTAGTTTGGACGATCCAGTTGTGTTTCACCCACAGCCATTCTCGTTCCCTGGTTATCCTATCGTTTTATATTTATGAAAAAATTTGTGCACGGCGAAATTAATGCCGTTTCTATGGTGGTAACGGATCTCGTAGTAAAAGGCAAGTCAATATTTGATTTTATAATTCTGATTAATTATACACATTCACTGTAGATATTTGTTGTAGCACTTAGCAACATGTGCTAAGTCATACAACCTTCAATTCTCTGGTAGACTTCATGCATTGCCGTTCCTGTTGAGTCTTTTGGTTTTCATAGATAGGTACAAGAATCTTTCATATGTACTGTTTGCAAATGCGTCATTACATATTTTGTGTTTATTCTAGACTATATAGTTTAGATCACAGAATATGTAATAGCTATTATGCTTTTTGAATAACCTTAAAATATGTTTCAGAATTATTTGAGTGAATATCAACAAATAAAGTTGGTCATATTTTAAAACACAATGTATTTCCAAATTAAGCACAACTTTTATTATGAGTAGGTGCGACTCATAGAAACAATTGAATACATTTTTGTAACTACATACAAACACTCAAATCAATACAAATAAACATAATAATAACATAATAATAATTATAACATACGGGGCTATGACTCCGTAGACCATCGGTAGGTGAAGCAGTGTATTAAATCGCTACACCATTAAGATGGCCAACAGAATCTAGAAATTAGAATGGAAATCTTACTAATAATTGCTAGCAATCCAGTTTGTATCCTAATTCATATGAGTAAAGAAAGGGCTATAGCTAATTTGTTTTTAATTGAGGATACATGCAAAACATTCTTTTGTTATGGGATTTATTCCAATACGAATGAAACAGAAATATATATTTAATTCTTAACTCTACACTGAATGAAAAAAAATATACATGAAGAAAAAGAAAAATAGAAGCACTAAAATGGTGCCATTAAATATATGCCGTATGTCCTTTTTAGAAATGCCGCTGATTTTGTATATAAATAGGTATAATACACATATTTATTTGCTGTTATTAGTTAAGTAGGTATTAAAGCAATTATATGTAAGTATCTCAATTACTCTCTGCTTTTTTTGTCTCATCAAATGGTTTTCGATCGGAGAATCTTAGCATCAAACATCGTTCAAGTTTATTTGAATAAGAACAACCATTATCTTCTTCTTCTGTAACAAATAATAAATTCATTTTAGATTATGGATATTAAAAATATGACAGGCTCTTATAAAGAGATATGATATTTTTTTTACTTTTGCTCTGTTTAAATAAATTTAGGTACAAATAAAACTTATTGAATGCAAATCACTAATGTAGAGCAAATGAATATCATTAAAAATTACAACAGCTCAGTTAGGATATTGAACGTCATACATGTGAATGTAAACCAGAGGGAGACTTTGTACAAAAGTCGATTGCCTGGGCACTTTTTTTTTTTATACAACTTAGAATGACAAACAAGCTGACGGCCCACCTGTTGAAAAGTGGTGGTGGCCCATTCGTGTTTCTACCGTGAAGCAGTTGTTTGCATGGCTGTGTTTTGGTTTGAAGGGTGGGATATGGAAGTGAATTTACAGGGTACAGAAGAATAATACCTGAGTCCTCAGGGATTGCCATTCCTGAGGACTCAGGTGCTATTACTCTGTATTGGACTGTCTCTGTTTCGCCCATACTTTGTTATGTCCATGGTACTGTCTTGTCTATAGGCGACGGTTATTACTTCCTATCAGGCGAGCCGTCAACTTGTTTGCTATTCTATTCTGCGTAAAAAGGTGACAAATCATATGCACAAGAATGACATTACTTGTATTCGTTAGGCATAACTGCAGATTAACTACATATGGGTACAGCCATAGACGCAGTAAATATTTTGCCATTGCTAAGGTGCTATTCGTGTCTATATGCGATTATTTTTACAAAATAGTTTTTAAGAAACTCAGTACGATATTATATAGGTTATCATGATGTAGGCCTTAGCAAGGAAATCAATAGACTAATAAATACACCCTACCTAAAATAAGAATTAGACCCCTGCAATATGCACCTACATACAATAGGTAAGCAAAGCAGATGTTTCCATCAATATTTATCTCCAACAGCTGTACTACCTTGTATATATCGATGTTGTCTTTAGTATTTTTTGCAGATATATTAAAATTTAATTTAATTTCGTATATTCACCTGTTTGTAACTCTTGAAAGCACGCTCGGATTTGATCTCTCAATGCAGTACGAGACTGTTGTGAAGCCACCGAAAATTGTACTTTGTTCCAAAGTTCGTTCTCACGAGGTATTCCTTGGGAGTCGACCTGTTTGTTCATTTAGATAATAATGTAAGTACATATATAATAGGTATTTCACCTATCTTATATCAATTTACCAATTTTGGTATGTTTTATACTAATTTAGGAGTTATTTCAAAAAATATGATCAAACAAAATATTCGTTAAATTCCATGTAATATTGAAATAATACGTTAAGTATTTAAATATTAACGAAATAAAATATTATAAAAGTTAAAGTGCATTTTATTAGTTTATTTATTTATTTATTAGTACAAATATGTGTACATGGCGTACTTAATGCTAAAAGCATTCTCTCCCAGTCAACCATAGGGAAGTGTCAGAATACTCGAATGCGGTACTAGTAATGATTGATATTCATACATTCTAAAATTACATATATAAACGAATAAATATATATAAATAACAAATATACTTATACTTATATAACATATACTATATTATACACGAATCTGAGAATAATATAAAGTACTTAAGCACATCCATAAATTGTTGAAATGTGAATAAAGTTGGCATTCTCGTAGTATTTGGGATAAACAAGAACAGAAGAAGACACGGGAACAAAGTTTTTAATAAATAAATTAATATATTTGTAAGAAATTAATGTCGTATGAGAATAATGGGAATGGTTTACACGTGAGAGGTAAATACTAGTTGAAACAGTTGTACACGGTACAATCCCGGCATCTCGGCTTGTCTTTTTCATTACATTTTTAATTTTATTTGCAGGAAGGCAATAAGTAGGTATCAACTCTGTAACATGGTCAACAATAATATTAAAGTAAACTTTAATATTGTTTACTTGTTATTAACTTGGTAACAGACTGGATACCTATACTTATATCTACTTAAGGGATTGTAAGTAATGCGAACTACCAGCCCCATTGCTAGTAATAACATATACCTTGTCTGATTGACCTCCACGTAATACCCCTTGGAAACAATCGTGCTGCATTTCAGGTAGATTCATCATGATGGGCTAACTGACCTGCCTTTTCATTCTCGCTTATTATTCCTCATTGGTGCCCCGCCAGATAGCCCAGGCGAGGTTACCGTTCTATTGTCATCCATTAAAAAGGCCGATGCAAGGGATAAAGGGACAACAACACTTGTATTCCCTGTGTCTCTATATATGGCTTAATCCGGATTTGATGAGGCGAATGACCTTACCATAATCAGTATAGTATGGGAATTCCCTGCATATATCAACCTACAGATAGACAAGCACATCGTAGCCAATTATTTATTATTTTATTTGTTGTTTTAAAAGTCAAACTAATTAAGTATTTATTAAAATGTCAAGTGATTTCGTCAGCGTGGAGCAATTTCAAAAAGTAGATGCATCTTAATTTAACTGTGTTGGGGGAAGGGATTGTTAGTAACGTGCACTAACAGTCCCATTGCTAGCAATATACTCTATCAGGTCGACCTCCACGTGGTTCCCCCTGGAAACCGTCGTGCTGAATTCCAGGTGTATTCATCATTCATTCTCACCTAACATTGCTCACTGATGCCAGCGTATACCGTTAGCGCCGGCGAGATTACCATTCTATTATCATCCTATAAAAAAATTAGACTGTGTTTTTGTGTATATATTCTATCTAATGTGATATAATATATATTAAACTAATTTTGAGGAGGGCACTACATGCAGCAAAATTATCTTAATAAACACGACAAAAAATATAAATCATGATAAGCTACAAAAATTTAATTATTTAGTTTCCATTCACGTTGAAATGCGTTGAGTGTACGATTAATAATTAATATTGATTTTTCATTTTGCAGTGTAACCTAAATCGAATTACCTTATTTTGGGATGTAAATACTAAACCAGGAATATAAATAACCTCAGGATTTTGATATTATTTAAAAAACATTAACTTCTGTCTTACCTATTTAGATAAGCTTCTTGACTATAACTATTATTCAGTTATAATTAAAAAGATAACTTACTACTTGTAGATTGGCGAATACACACTGACTCAAACACTGGAAAAAATAGTTTTGATATAATTAAAAATCCACAGTCGATTAATGTAAATAAGAGTATAAGCATAATAATTAAGAAATAGTATCGAAATAAGTTTCGCAGTTCCTTTAATTTTTTACACCACTAAGGTGCTCAACAAGCATATATGAAAGGACCTAAATATATTTTTACATAGTTATTCAAATGAATATTAATTATACCTGATCTACATCAGCTTTATTTAGTAGCGAATCACTTCGTCTGGTCCTATTATTTGTGATACTATTACTACTCGTAGTTTCATTAGAAATGTTCCGACCGGCTGCTCGTGGAGCTGACGTGACCAATTTTTCACCTCCACTCCCTGTTCCATATCCGCCGTAGTCATAATCAGTAGCGTTTAGTACGGAAATATTTTGTTCCCTCAAATCACTAGTGTTTCTTATCTCATGTCCATATTGATTTATATTCCTGGGACTGTCTAAACGTGGATAGTCCTCAGATCTGCGTTGGCGCTGGTTGTTCGTATTTTGTTCGACTTTAGGAGCATAACATGATTTTAATGCAGCAGCTACTTCTTCTTCTAACAAATGTATATTTCCTTCCCCAGCACAAGAGAGAAAACATGGTAGTAATATTAACAGTAATGCGGCACCCTCCATTGCACTATGACTAATGATAGAGTTGCATTATTTTGTGCTTTAAATTGGAATAGCACAGGAAACTGGGTTATTATGAGTGACATTTTAACGACATCAAGGTAGATGATAATTTGTTGTGCTTTTATTATAAAGTCAGACTACATACAGTGGTGACAAATGATCACAAAGTTCTAAATTAGTATATGCTCATGTTGGTTATGTATATGTACTAAATTACTTTAATGCTGTTAACGTTTTGTACTGTCACTAATTACACGTTTAAAATTGGTACGCAATTTTTTTTTAAAACTGCAGAATTTATTGTTTGAATGTGCAAGACTGCCTACATAATCATCTGTTACCAAGACCTAGTCCTTAACATAATTAATTGTATTTTACGATTACCTATACTAAAAGCATTTTAGCAGCATTCGTAAATTTCTATTTACGTTGTTATACCTATTTTTTTTCTAAATCCCAAATATAGTTTCAGTTTTTGTTCTTATTAAGTTTTATATTTTGTTATTTCTTATTTTAGTCTTATTTTAAATAATACATAGTTATTTTATCTAGATTAATTTTATTCATATTGGTACAATAGTCATTAGGTACATAAATATAAGACATGCATTTATTTACCAGTAAATGTAATTATTATATTTTTAATTATATTGTTATAAATATAGGTTTATAATATTTATTACATATTGTAAATATATTTATCCTTTGCCATAATGCCCCCATTTTCCATTACCCCAACCACTCCAACTGGATTTTCCGGAATTTCCAAATATTCTTATGCCTGGATATCCTGAGCTAAATATGCCATAGCTACTCCCAGCTAATGCCGATTTACCATAGGTACTATATATATCGCTGTCATCATTAGATACACTTGCATAACTGCTGCCAATTATACCGGTGGCTCCAAAGTTGCCATAACCGTTGTTACCATAGTTGCCAGATATACTGAAAGTCATCGGTACATGGATACCTCGGAGACCGTACGATGTAGTACGAGGTCTTGGCCAGAAAGTTTCCGCCTTTTCCATCGATTCTTCTGCTGCAGTTGTTGTTTGTTGTTCTGAAAATAATTGCGTAAAATCATGTGTATATTTTTTATTTTTACTTTGGTCATTGAACTTTTATTGATTATTGATTAAGCCAGAAGAAAACGGCCTGGTGTGATTTTCTGTACTTATGGAACACAAAAAAATCTGTACTTATAATTACGTATCTACTGTAGCGTCTATGAGCATCACCTATACAATATTCTTATTTGTTGAGTATAAATATACCATTATATTTCCTTCTTTAAATAATAAAATATTTTTAGGTTCTAAATATTGTGGTCAAAGTAAAAGGCTAGGTTTAATGGACAAACGTAAAAATAAATATATTTATTTCTATGGTATAAATTTAGTGTCATTTGATAGCTCTAGTTTTCTATCTCATAATTACATTATGACTACAACAGGTTCTCACAAAGCAAGTTTATGTTTATGCGATGGAATTATTTTGCTAGTATTATTAAATGTTAGGTTATAAACTGAACAGTTTTGTAATTGGTTTGGGAAGAGGTACTCTACGATTCTATATTGAAACACAAGTATATTTGTTTTGGGTTTGGTCTGCAGAGAAATCTATTTTTAGGTATAAGAGTAGTCTGATATAAGAGGCATAACATATACACATAAGGTTTTCAGGAGCACCAACGCATGTACAGCGATAACGTTTATTGTACTTATTTTTAATTGCGATTGTTACCATTTTCCATTGAATGGGCCGTCAGGTTGTTTACCATTTTGTTACTCTTTTGTCGGCCATTTTCAGTAATACGTACTTGTATAATAACAAGAATGGATAAATATTCGTCCATTCTGTTGTGATTATGCAGGTAATTTATTGTAGATTTAAAATTTATGTACTTGTATTTGTGGTAAATTATTAACATATTTGATAATTGTTATGAAAACAACATTATTGTTACTTGATTTAATAACTGGGTGTGTAGTTAGATCTTCAGTGTCCCGTGTACGCCTCTGGCTTAAAGACCACAAGTCTCCTGGTGATATAGTATCACTGGCAGGTGACATGGGTGGGCTCGGTGACAAGTATAAAGCTGGATCCAATATGGTGGCACTTTCGACGCTCCAAATAACACAGACGTAAGCGCACAACCAGCCGAGCCATTTCTAGAACAAAAATATTATGATTTGAAAATCTTGGTTTTGTTTTGCTGTTTGTTTCTATTTTATTTATTTATTTAATATTATCTTGTACACACTAATTATAATAATAATATGAGGCAATGAAATATACAAAGGCGAGCTTAGCTCTAAAAGAGTTCTCTTCCAGCAAACCCTAAGTGGAAAGGAGCATCAATGTTAGCAGGTAGAGCGGCGGAAAATAAAAAAAGACTTTATATTAAAACTCGACGCCTTTGAATTAGTAGCCAATTAAATTTTTTTCGATAGGCGGAGACATGGTCCTAGTCTAGTTTTTTTTACAATTACACCAATTAGATACAATTTGTTATAAGAAACTAGAAAACAAATATCTGAAGTACAACACATAATACCAACAAAGAAGTAAATTTTATCGATTGCAAAAGTAATTATTACATTCCGTTTAATATTTATACAAAAATAATTGAATTGAGAGCCTCCTCCTTTAAAGTCATTTAAAAATAAAGGGCAACTATATTAGTTTTGTTTATACATGCGTATGAAACGTGCTAAAATACTCATCGATCATTTACATGCATTGAGGATAAATATTGATATTGTGGGTACCTTTAATTATCTATATATGTGTATCTGCTCAATTAGCAATGAAATCATCACAGGTAAATTTCCTGGTTAATACTTAATACCTAATAGCTCAGGATTGTACTAAGGACGAAGATATTTTTTAAATTATAAACTTTAAAAAGAATTTGAAGAAATATAACAAGTAAACAGTAAATTTCCGCTGCAATCGTGCGGTCATATTTTGAAAGCTAATGCTTCCAAAGTTTTAAGTTTTATAAGTAACGTTAATATTCTAGATAGTTCTATAAATTATAAATAACGTCTCATTTTGAGTTAAGTATTGAATTCAAATGTAATCTAGAAGTCTTGGATTCAATGTGGAATCGAGCAAAAAGTTTATTATAAGCAATTTGTAGTTACAGATACATTTATAAATAACACTGATAATATAAAAAAAACACATAATTTTTGTGAGTAAAAGGGAAAAGGTTTGCAAATTCACGATTTTTTAAAATGTGTATAGTTTTACCAATGTTGAACAGATTTGAGAACAAAATAAAAAAAATATAAATTAAGAATATATATATATATATATATATATATATATATATATATATATATATATATATATAGGTATTATAAACGTATGTTTTAAGTACAGAAATATGTATGTGTTTTTAAACACATAAGTTATATATATAAAATAAGTTAAATTTAAAATGTGTATTTTACATATATTTATTATAGTATTTTAGATATTAACAATCCAAATTATAATCATAAATATTTACAATTTAAAAGCGTATAAAATTAAGTTTGTTAGAAAAGTATAGATTAATTTACAGACGAGTAAATACGACGATTAAAAAGCGTAAATAAATAAATAATGTAGTCTGTCATCTAGTGCAGTTATTTATTTAAATGTAAATATAATAATATATAAATAATAAAATGTAAATACTATAATACCTACATGTAACTTGGATGCAGCCATAAAAACTTACTATTCACGTTAAAATTAATGGTTGCAAAAAGATATAACTGCTATTTTAAATTTACCACACCTTAAAGGTATTTAATTGGTATGAGTGTATGATTGCGCATCTTATTGAGTGGATGAGTATTATTAACATATGATTTAACCGCATAGAAATAATATACTTACATTGCAAGCCTTTATGACACTTATTTTTATTAGGTACATTTGTTATTTTTAAAATATATAAGGCTTAGAAGGGTTATTATTTTTATAATAACCCTTCTAAGCCTTATATATAATAAATATATATAAGGATAGGAAACTACGTAATACGAAGGCATAATGTCTTATTTCTCAGGAATGGTACACTTGTCGTAAATCGCAAAGGTGTAGTTTTCAATTATTAAAACAATACAAATCAAGATATTTTTTGTGGTTTAATTATTTTTTATTAAATATTAATAATTCAAACCTAATTATTTTTGATTTGATGATTACAGTTGTATCAGATAGTTAGCGATACTTATTAGACAATGTGATATGCTATTATTTATTAATTATAAATACTAAAATATAATTAAAATAATATAATATTATAATTGAAACAATTAATAAATGATAATCTATTAATAATTATTATTATAATAATCTACTTACTAGCATTTTGATTCACACAGAATTAATTTTTGGTTTAATCCCCCACTGCACTTTACACCGATTGACAACTGTTTGTTACGTAAAGCTGGAGTGAAAGACTTTCTCCCAGTTTTGGGAGGAGCCTGGATTTTTAATATTGTCGCTTTCAAGGTCGTCTGGTTACTAGTGTTGTGGAAGTAAATGACCGAATTATAGCTCCAAGTTTAATACCTTGCTTTTGATTAGAAACAAGATACTTTTAGTAACCCATATACCAACAAATTTTAGATAATTTATAGTAATAATTTAGATAATTTATAGTAACGTTAGAATATCATCTATTAGCTCAGCGGCTTCGTCGTCGGGTTATTTCTAGTTCCCGTGGGAATTTTGAGATATACCTCTTTAGTGCCTAAATCGGCTTGGTTTTCATTGAAGCTGGATATTTATAAAAACAATAGTTGATATAGATCCATAAGTTGACTGGCTTGCATATATACAGTGTGAATGTAAATTATTAGCGATACGTAAAATTAATATTCTACCCATGTTAAACCATGGAATATGTTGAGACAGAAACTTCGTGAATCAAAAATTCAAAAACGACAAATAATTTCGTACATACTAACTAAACCTAACTAAACAACTGAACATGCCGCATTACTGTGGAAGGTTCAATTTTTTTTAACCATATATAAAATATATTTTTTGGTAAAAATACTCAGTTTTACTAGTAGAATACTCCTATTAAGGGTTACTAATGATTTTGAATATTTAATTTCGTATATGCCAGTGTAAGTAGAAAGTGCTAAGGCGACTGGCACATATCAACTAATCAATCAGTCATTTTAGAATGTATTTACTTAGAGCATTAGGTGACTATATTTGTGTAAATATTTTATACAATTTATGAATACACACGTGCAATAGTACTTACCTACTTAAGATCATTATGCGGTTTATATTCCAACCACATAGTGCTTAGTTAAAAAAAATTATAGCAATATAAATAATAATATTTGGATTACAAAAATTTTATTATAAACTTCAGTTGTTTTTCGTTCTTTTACAACGTCCTATTTTCAAGTACGTACATCCAATATATATTTTTGCGAAGCAATTTTAAATTAAATTTAATAAGATTTAATAATTACATAATAAAATTGCTGTGATCTATTTTGTTATTTAAAATTATTATATAAAACTATGCAAATGAATATGTCATGACAGGTTTCCACTTTTATAATCAAAACAAACATTTGCATTCGGTATATCATGACCCGTCTTTCTAATAATGACCGCTTATAAAAAACAGACGTTTGGAAACTGGTTTTAAAGTGTAATATGGACATTAAAACTGGCCGATGACCCATATGCCCGGTGTTCGAGTTATTTGAAACTTTAAAGATCCTGTATGAAGTCGCTTTGGTCGCTTTGGCATCTAATTCACAGTATCAACAAACAAGTTTTACACAACACTAAACTAAATAAACATATTGTTGAATTGTAAGAATTTTTTATAGATACCTGTAAAATATTAAATTAATTTGTTAATTTTTTTTTATAAACAACAATAATGCTTTACCAAAGGGCGGATTACAATCTTTAGTATCTAATGGATTACCACAGAAAAAGTACAGGTTGGGCCAAAATTGTAATCATGGTGTCGTATTTATACCATGCCAGTAAAGTAATCAACAAATTGATCTATTATTGGTGATAATAATACAGAAAAATTAATAGAGTAGAATATATAGGTCAATAGATGGTAATGATGTGGTATTTTAAATACACAATCGGGACTTAACATGATGAAAAAACCATCCCAATTGAGTCTCGATTGTGTATTTAAAATATATATAAATGATGCGAAAGTGTAAAATTAGCTATAATGTGGTACGTTTGAGTTTTTGAACCATAAATAATGTGTAAGAAATAGAAATCGATGTACTCAGAAGTAGGTATAAGCTATAGGATCGCGAATATCTACATACAAGTACATTTAGTATCATAACTTTAGGGGCTTTTTGGATTTTCCGGCAACTAAACAACATTTACCTGAAGTGACTTGCAGATTAGAATAATGATATTTTTTTACCTTTATGTTTGGTCAATGTCAATGAACCAACACAGTCTAAAATACAGGGCTTTGAAATGTTTACTAACCGATGTGTTTCGTATTTAAGATGAGTATTTCAGTTATACATGTATGATTACTTGTTTTTCTAATGGAAAGTACACAAATAAAAATTATGAATTGTTATCTACAAGCACGAATTACAATGGACTAACTTGTGTTAGTGATAAGTAGGATATAGTGTTAGTAATTAGTGAGTGGAAGATCTCAAATTGTCTGTAATTTTTTATGATATAATTATCATTATTGTTTCAGCATTCAGGTCGTCAGGTTGTTTGCAATTTAAAGGAATGGCAAACAAGCTAACGACCCACTTGATAGAAAGCGGTAACCGACACCTACAGCTTGTAGTCGTAATTAGTACCATCACACTATACAGGATATCTTCAGAAATTAATGTTTTTTTAAGTAGTATTTTTGTAGAACAAAATATAAAAATTTTATTATACAAAATTATAATTAGAACGAATTGTTCTTTTAGTAAGAAAATATTTAAGTAACAGTGAAACCCGTGTCAAAAACAGTTGAGTGCTTTAGATTAAATAAGAGGAGAAACAGATAGACGTGGGTAGTGATTTTGTTTTTTACTATATATGTAGATTAGTGGAAGATTGAAAATCAGATAAACAGATAAACAAATCATCTTAGTTCTTATAATATTCTAAGAGCCTAGTGTCCAATCGTACGAACTGGAGAGAAAAGAAATGGACTTTGTTACTACACGAGGCTAACTACATAGGGTGGGGTGAAAGGAATTGTTAGTACTGGGGAGGTTAGTCCCCATTACTATTAATATACCCTATCAGGTCGACTTCCACGCGGTTCCCCCTGGAAACCATCGTGAACAAATCTTAATGAATTCGTCACGATAGGCTAACTGACCTGCTTTATCCTCACCTATCGTCCTTCACTGGTCCCCCGCCGGTGTATACCGATAGCGAGGGTAAGGTTACCATTTCATTATCACCCATTAAAAAAATCTACATAGGGTATATACAATACAACATATGACTTTTTATAATGAGATTGATTGTATTTTATCTTACGAGTAAGAAGGTATCAAGAGTCTTGTTGTAAGCATGAAATGTGTATAAAGAGAGGTATTTCTTGGTTTTTCTGTATGCCTCGCAGGAGATCTGTACCGATGTAGCGTGACGATAGATACAATATTTATCTATAATTTCTAAATTTGTTGATTAATTTAATATTGTTTTTGTGATTACTGCATTCTATATCTTATAATCATTACAAAAAAAGAAAAAGCATACACATATTAAGACGCTTGACCCGCGTTATTATAGGCTAATGTCTTATTAGAATGCTGACTAATCCTCTCAGTGTCTTAATAAAGTAAGCATCTTAGTAAGTAATTTTTTATAAGAAGAAATTCGTGTCCAATAATGAGTTATGTTGATATTGAAAAAAATAATTAATTGATTATATTATATGTATATTTATTTATTTAAAAATATTGCATAATCCAAATAATACTAAGTAATACAAATACATGTCATTGTAAATTACAACTGTTATTTAACGTCCCCATCCACGATGTCCACCCCAAAAATGCCCTCCTGAATGTGGTCCCCAATGGCCCCTCTGCCCCCAGTGACCACGGTGTCCCCAGTGCCCGTTATGTCCCCAGTGTCCAAAATGATGTCCACCATGTCTAGACTCCTCTGGTTGTAAACTCTCGTCCTCCTTGGTTTCTGTTACTTGTGTCACTTCTACTTGTTGCTGTTCAGGCATGGGGACAGAGGCTGCGTACGCCATGCCAGCACATATCAGCAACCCGATGCTAATGTACTGTAACATATTAAATTTTAATTATTAGATACATACTTTAAATGAATGATTATGAATTTATTTTTTATATTATATATATATATATATATATATATATATATATATATATATATATATATATATATATATATATATATATATATATATATATCGATTAGGAAAAATAGTGCAATAAGATTTAATAGAATATATTGTAAAACATTGTAATTTACAAATTATGCTTGAATCAGGTAGGCACATAAATTCTACTAAGCATGTAGGATGCGTTTATCTAATTGAGCCCTATAAAAAGTATTATGAACATAATAGAATCAATTCTTGAATTTGAATAGAATTTATTACACGGATCAATTATAACTGTAAATACCTGTTGATAACTGTGATACTTTTTATCGTAATTAATACGAGAAATGAATAAATAGGTATCTAGGTATTTGAATATAAAGACATTAATGTACTCATATTATTGTAATTATTATAATTATTTTTGATTTAGTGTCAAAATATTACTTTCGCTACAGGAATGCATGAATGGAAATTCTTTATTGTTCCCTTCAAAAAATGTTACAGAAAA